ACTGACGCTTTATCCGGAACTTTGCAAGGATAGCCAGGCCCCTGAACGACCTCACTCGGAAAGATATATCCTTCACCTGGATGGACACCCAGCAACAAGCATTTGATACTCTCCGAGAGGCCTTCATCTCTGCACCCATCCTAGCCCTATGGACACCGGACAGACCAACCCGAATCGAGGTAGACGCTTCAGGCTTCGCTACCGGCGGTGCCCTCATGCAGAAGCAAGATGATGGCCAATGGCACCCCGTCGCCTTCAGATCAGCCTCTATGCAACCAGCAGAACGAAACTATGAGATCTATGACCGGGAAATGCTAGCCATCATAGAAGCGTTGAAGGACTGGAGGAACTTCCTGGAGGGACTACCCCAGCCATTTGACATCATCACTGATCACTCTAACCTCGAATTTTGGCGCACAGCTCAAGACCTCACCCGCCGCCAAGCTCGCTGGGCTCTATACCTTTCACGGTTTGACTTCCACATGATCCACCGCCCTGGTAGAATAAACACTCAGGCTGATGCTCTTTCCCGTATGGCAGCGCACCAGGTACTAGACAATGAGGATAATCGACAGCAGACAGTCCTTAAGCCCAACCATTTCACCAAAATTGCAGCTTCTATCCTACGGAACCCCTTAGAGGATCACATCCGGAAGGCCTCACAGCGGGAAGCACAGGTATTGGAAGGTCTCAAAACAGTCAAAGAGCATGGACTACAGCGCTTGGCCAATGGAATCGCCGAATGGGAGGAGGACAACGGTCTGGTCTACTACCAAGGACGAGTGTACGTGCCAGCAGACAATGATCTGCGCACCGAAGTACTACGTCAATGTCATGACCATCCCACTGCCGGACACCCTGGGCTCCACGGAACACTCGATCTAGTTAGCACCCATTTCTGGTGGCCAACACTGCGCTCCTTTGTGGAGAAGTACGTAGAGGGATGCGAGACGTGCGCACGCAAAAAGATCCAAAGACACCCACGAGCTGTAACTCAGCCATTAGACGTACCCTTGGGTCTATGGGAAGAGGTAGGGGTGGACCTGATAACGCAACTACCTAACTCCCAAGGATACGACGCAGTCCTAGTCTGCACAGACCTCTATGGGAAACAAATTCATGCCCTCCCATGTACCAGCTCCATCACTGCAGAAGGGGTTGCTGACATCTACTACAAAGAAATCTTCCGTCTTCATGGGCTCCCTCTTCACTTCAAGTCTGACCGTGGGCCTCAGTTTGCAGCCAAACTCATGCGATCCCTACTTGCCAGACTGGGAATAAAATCAGATCTTACTTCCGGGTATCGCCCGCAGTCTAATGGTCAAACTGAACGCGCCAACCAAGAAGTAGAAAAATACATTCGACTCTACGTAGGCCGTCGGCAGGATGACTGGGCAGAGCACCTCCCAATGGCTGAATTCGTAATCAACTCACGGACCCATTCTGCATTAGGCATGTCCCCATTCGAGCTAACCTACGGATATCTCCCCTTGTTCAACATCCCAGTTGGACAACGCAGCGGGATCCCAGCTGTAGATGACCGCATACGGATACTCCAGGAAGCCCGACAGGACGCAGGGGCTGCCTTGCACTTAGGGAAAAAGCAGCAGAAAGAGGGATACGAACGAGGAAAACGGAAAGCCCACCAGTTCAAAGTCGGAGATTTTGTCTGGCTCAGTGCGGAAGACATCAACCTCCAACTGTCCAGTGAGAAGCTAGGAGATCGACAGCTCGGACCCTACTGAATCTTGGAGAAGATTGGACCCCTGGACTACCGCCTTGACCTCCCTATCTCCCTTGACCGCATTCATCCTGTGTTCCATGTTGACAAACTCTACCCCTGGAAAGGTAACACTATCAATGGAGAAATACCACCACCACCAGAGCCGGTCTACCTAGAGGATGAAGACGAACCGGAGTATGAAGTAGAGGAAATCCTGGATAGTCGGGTCCGGTGGAAGAGGTTGGAATACCTGGTAAAGTGGAAGGGTTACGACGCAGGGCATAACTCCTGGGAACCAGCGCCCAACCTGAGCCGGGCTCCAAAAATTGTTCGCGCCTTCCACAAGAAACACCCCACAGCAGCAAAAGCTTGACCATCGAGGGCAATGGTCATAAGAAGGGGGGTAATGTCATGAAGTATGTAGCCCCTATCATTTTCCTTTTCTCACCGTCTCGACGCCCTTACTTGTACGATTACATCACTGTCAAATCCCATCGATTACTGACCCACCTGATCCCCATCATCGATTACTGATCCACCTGTTACCCTTCTCCTTCTACTGGCTTCCGCCACCTTCCTTGTTCCTAAACTGTACAGTATTACATCGTCATTTCTCGCAGATCGGATTATGTATATAAAGCCAGCCCCTCACAGCCTGGTCCCTCATCTTGACCTCTCTGTCATTATCTGGGACCAGGTATGTGCTTACTTATTGTTACCTATGACTACGATACTCAATATATCTCTGTCATTATCTGGGACCAGTTTGCCTCCGCTCCGCTTAGTTGCTCCGCCTCGCCACCTTGCTTAGTTGCTCCGCCTCATCGCCTTGCTTAGTCACTCCGCTTTCCTGCTCTGCTAGTCACTCCGCTTTCCTGCTCCGCTAGTCATTCCGCTTTCCTGCTCCGCTAGTCACTCCGCCTCTGCCGCTTCGTGACAGATGGGAGGCCAAAGATTCTTGGGAGGAGTCTCAGCGGGGGTGCCATCTTCTCTACCCGCCATTGCCGCAAGGCAGCTTGAGCGATTTTAACTACTGGGTTCTCATCTGGGAGGGTGTAGATCCGTAAGATGGCCCGGTGACATATTTTTTCCAGCATGAGGTCCATGGGGAGCAGATTTGTGTGAATGTCGAGGAGATCCGTTGGGGATGACCTCATTGCGCCCGCTGTTGTGATGGTTACCATTCGCTGTATACGTGTGAAGTTTCGTAGTGCTTTTAGTGAGCCTCTGCGGTTTTTTGCCCCTTCAGGCTGATGCAGGGGGGTGTACCAGACGTCCAGTCCATAGGTCATTTTGGGGATAACCACTGTTAGATATAGTTTACGCATCATTTTCAGAGAGACTCCAGCAGACGGGCGACTTAGCTTCCAGAACGCTGAGGCAATGCTCGATGCCTTGGCAGCGGCTTGTGCCGCTTGCTCATTCCATTTCAGTTTTGAGTCGAGAGTTATCCCGAGCATTCGGACTTCAGTTTTCTCCGTAACTGCAGTTCCTTGTAGGACTAGGGCTGGTGGTGGTGCCTCCTGTTTGGTTTTGGGTCTGGGGAAGTGAGTGAGTACGAGTTTTGAGAGTTCAAAGGAGGAGTTATGTTTCATTGCCCATGAGAAGCCTCCTCCTGGTTTGTTCATGAAGGATTCAAGCATCTCCACATTACCCGTTAGGCTTTTTCCTTCCACCAGTATGTTCTTATCATCGACGAAGCCAACTGAGAGGCCCTGCCGTCGCGACTTGAATGCGATATCAAAAAAGTCAGCATTGTAAAAGAGGTAGGCTATCATCGACAGCGGGTCCCCTTGTCCAATGCCATTAGTAAGTGAGATAGGCGCAGAAGTGAAGTCACCAAATTTGAGTCGAGTTACGCGCCCTTTGAGAGAGAGGGATACTGCCTGCACCAGTCGTTCCGGGATGCGTCGTTTTTGCAAGTTGTATAGCAGTCGTTGAGTGACCGCGTTTGGGAAGGCTCCTTCAATGTCTAGGGATAGCATGGAAGCCTCTCTTTTATTGCGCCATGCATTTTTGATTTTGTCTATGACCATGTGTATGCCATCTGTCGTCATTCGACACGGTCGACCTCCGAACTGGGTGTCTGGGAGAAGGTTGTGCTGTGTGGCAAGATGATGTCCTCTGCTATAATCGAGGTGTAACCTTTGGCTAATGTGTTAATCAGTGCAATTGGACGATACGATTTAGGTAGGGAGTAGGACTTCCTTGCGGGCTTTCGGATCACCACCGTAGTGGAGTTTAGCCACTCTTTTGGGTATGCCTTCAGGTATCCTATGGCGTTGTATATTTCACATAGGTAAGGTGCTAGCATTCCCGCGCATTTTTTGAGGATGATATTCGGTATTCCGTCTGGTCCTGGGGCCTTGTACGATTTCAGTCGCTGAAGCGCATCGATGATCCGTTGTTGAGTGATTGGCGGTGGGTTCAGAAGTTGGTCTCTGCAGGGATTGCGGTCTAGTGAGTAATTTCTCGGTGCAGAAGGAAAGAAAGTTTCTGCCAGTAGGGCTGCTTTTTCCTCATTTGTACTCGCTATTCGCCTTACTGCTCCGTTTTCATCGAGGGCCTTTAGCTCCGGGATGACCATTGTTGTATCCTGATCTATGTTGGGGGTAGTGGCATATTTGGCTGCTGTGAATATAGAATCCGTATCGACGTTGTCCAGAAAATCCTTCCAGTGTTCTTCTTTCTCCTTGAAGATCAGGGCCTTGTACTGGGTCCATAGTTCTCTGAGTTCTCTGTGTGAATCGTCATCAGGTATTGCTCTGTATTTATAAGATTTTGCACTTAGCCGATTGAGGGCCTTCTTCATCTCGGAGAGTTCGCTCGTCCACCACCTTTTTGAAGCTGGGTATGGCTGGCTAAGTGGAAGTCTTATGCTTCTATAGTGCTGTGCGAACCAAGAACTGTGCTTCGAGAGCGCCAAGCGACGCAGGTCGCTAGATTAACCAAGTCTTGTTCCAGACAGGTTCAAACAGGGTTCAGACAATCATAATTCGAGGAAGATTCGCGATAGGGCTTTCGTTGAAATACAATCGATAGGAACTGATATCTTCTCCGCAACGAAGATAATAATCTCAGTGCTCACAAACCGGACACCCGTTGCAAGTCTAACGACGATATCTGTCACTGTGTCAGTAAGTTAGTCAAAACTTGCATGACACAAGCTGCGTGTCTAGGTTTACAGCATAGAGATTTGGTTGTTTGGGGACGTTGTAGCGTATGTACAGTTCTTGTCCTTCTCACTTCCAAGGTTCAGGCATGAATATTTGAATGGTGAAATTTGATGTTCCACTTATATGTAGACCTCGTGCTCAGAGGCCGGAAATAAATACATGCATACTCATACAGGGTCCATTCATCGTATGTGATACAACGTCTATTTTGTGTTCAACCATTTGCCCAAGCCAAGACCGTTGTATATTTTATCCAGTCCCTAAGGGAACAACCTGTCAGCTTTCATTCATCGATGGAGTTGAAACCCTACCGTGGCCGAAACGATTCCTTTCAACAGACTGTCTAGTCCCAGGCCGCTCAGTAGGTTTCCAAGAAGGTTGAGCACACCAGCTAGCAAAAGGCCGACTCCTCCGACAATTTGAGTCAATGGTTCTGCAGTAATCATCAATTGCTTGTCCAACAGGGAATAAAAAGTACCTACGGCCGAGTGCATCAAGTAGAGGCCCAAGATCTTTCTTTGCTTTCGGGAAACTATCTAGTTTGTCCCTAGCCCATTCGATTGTGCCGCCGACTTCTTCCAGTAACTACGACGACAGTCATTACATTGAATGTAACGCAAGAGAAGGCAGGCGCACCACTTTGAGGGCCTCAGCAAGTCTTTGCTCCTCGGGCGTAGCATTATGGGTTTGAGCGTGTCGTTTAGCTCTGTCGGACAAGCGGTTATCTGGGTCCGCGCCTTTGATCATTCCCATAGTCTCATTGAGGATTTTCTCAGCCTGTTGGAGGAGAGGTTTGACTTGTTGAACCAATTCACCCTCGTCGCGATCCTCATCCTTCCTTGCCTCCATATTCTCGATGTGCTAGAATGATTTTAATCAGTCACAAAGTCATTTTAGAAAAGAGGAACCGATAGTTGTGCACCTTGCGTATCATTTTGCAAAGTGGTACAACCCGTGAGTTGGCATCCTCGATAAGTCTCGATAAGCGTTCAGCAAGCTCTGCGTCTTTCTTTCTTTCATCGTCACTGCGGTCATCGCTAGTGTCACTTGGTGGTCCTCTCTGGGCCACGTCAGGTGGAGGGGTTGCGGCGGTGTTTGGGTCGCGCATATCTTGGACATTGATTTCTGACATGTTTGTGAAAGTTCTGGGGAGGATTACCGACGTTTTTTTTTCACCGCTATATATGTTTATGCGCACCACCCCTGTAAAGGTGATATCATGTGTGATGCTGGATGATGTGATTGTTCTGTAATGCGCGCCTCGATTTCTGAAGACAAACTTCTAGGAACAACCACGTTATTAGCGGTACCTGATACAACGCATATAAGTGGCGCAGCCCAGAGCTCCTCAACTCCAGCCAGACGTCACTGGAGTTTTTGGATAGCCTTGCATGCGTATCAATTTGACTCAGCAAGTTTTGAATCTGATTTGCGTTTACAATCATCGACATTAACCGTCAAAGAACATGCACGGCGAGTGGCATACTGCAATTACTGACGGTGGCAGTAGCTGGCAGTAGGTGGCAATGTTGGTCCAAGCAAGATATACGAGTGGGAGTTTATTTCCTAATCGGTCATCAATGACAGTTGTAATTTCCATAATACGAAGTTGTTTAACAACCGTCACGATGTCTACTCCAGATAACCTGTTCGATGCTTACCATTCAGACTACCAACATCTTATTGGCTCTGTACGCAACAAATTGGAAAAAGATGCACAAGAACAGCAAGGAGGTATGCTTTGATTGACGCTCCTGCCTTGTGCAGACTTGTTGAGTTGGTGAATGTAGAACAACGCAAAGCTACTCTTCGACGTGTCGAAATTGAGCTGGATGAAGCGGACGACATAGTGAGTACGGAACCTTCGTGAAGTTGGTCTTTGTTCAGACATAATACGCATAGATTTCACAACTAGAAATTGAAATCCAAGGAATACCAGCATCCATTCGTCCTCAATACACAAACCGTTTGAAGCAAGCCAAGCTCGATCTCAACAGGTACAAGAAGATTGCGAAGGAAAGCCATGCACAAACGACACGGAGTTTCATACGCTTTGACTCGACCTCAATGTCAGACGATCCGTACGACGAGCGTGCCGACGAAAGGACAAAATTATTAGCTGGACATCAAACTCTCGCAGATGGAAGTCGAAGAATTGAGAACTCTACGCGGCTGGCACTAGAAACAGAAGATCTAGGTGCAGATATTCTGCGGTCACTAAGAGTGCAAAGGGAACAGATTGAGAATACGTCTCATACCGTATGTCATTATCTGGTGTTCGTAATCTTATTTTAAATTAATGCTTTCAGTTGAACCAAGCGGAGGCATCCATCGACCGGGCTTCGGGGACTATACAGAAGATGATTCGCCAGTATGTTTTACAAGCATTGCACTCCCTCTTCCTCCGTGCCGCTCACTCGCAACTCTTTGTAGAATGTACAAGCAGCGCTTCGTTATTGCCGGAATCATACTGGTCCTCATTGTCGTCGTTGTTCTCATTCTCTACTTCAAGCTATTTTACCGTCGTCATTAACTGGAAACGTCTTTTCTCTGCGTTTCTGTTAACTATTTACTCTATTGACTTATTTATTTTATCTCCTTCGTACCTCATTTCCTGGGACATTACAATCATGAACATCTTACTTCGTTTGTATCTGTACGCATCGCATGCATTTATCCATATCACCAGGACTGCGTCCTCGCCGTAACAATAATCGTTTAGGTTCGTTGCGGCTTTTAGCTCCATACGAAAGGAACAATGTGACGTCTATAGTACTTTCTATGGGTTCTATCGTGTATGAACAGTGTATCAGGAGGGAATGGTACAAGGGAAAGAACAGTGCGACGTCTACAGAGTGGAATATAAATAGTATATCTTCATGGTATACAATATACAAGGGTAACTACAATATACTACATTATGGTTGTGGAATAATTCAGGCAATATGCAGATGAGGAGGGTTATGGTGTCGTTGAAATATCATATCGATGTCAGTACGGAATGTCATAGCATGAGTTCTTTTCTTTTCCGAGGAGCCAGTGGCGCCTTGGGACTTGTGCTCTCTAGCTTCACGAAGGGCACATTTGTGCTGGAGAAAGGACAAGGAAGGGACTCGTCCAGTTTTCGCCGCTTCAGAGAGGGCGGTAAGTTCTGCTCTGGCGGTACTCCTCCTGAGGTATTCGGGATTAAGATGGCTGGAGCTGACGAAGCTCGAGATACCGGCATTCGTCGAGCATAAGGAGCGCAAGCGGCAGTGAGAAGTGCCGCATCCTCGTTGTTAAGGGAAAAAATATTTGGTAACGGAGCAGGTGCAGCCTGTGCTGAATGAGGTGCGCTGGTCAACTTGTCGGAAAGAACGATAGGTTCGGAGAGAGAAAAGGCCCTAAACAAGCAAGACCAAAGGTTAGGGCTTATGCTGTGGCAAACGACGAAAAGATACCCACTCTTCTGCTTCCAGTTTCCTCTTCAATAAATTACATTGTCGCTCAAGGTCGTCCCTCTCGTTCTTCAATTGTTGATTACAATCCCTAGCCAGTCGAGCAAGGTTCAGCAATCCAAGAGTGGCAGCGGCGTGAAGCTCCGCTCTTCTCTTCCACACGGCACAGTTGACCCGCAAAGTTTTATTTTCCGCTGCGAGCCGGCCGCACTCAGATACAGCAGCGGATGAAGGGGTAGCCGAATCCCAAGATTTGGTGTTAGTTTCACCTAGGTAGAGTTTCCGTATGCTCGGGACTAAGTGAGGACGGATGGGCGGAGGGATTGTCGAGGGATCGACATTTACTGCAGCGTAAGTTGCATGAGGGGCAGTCGTCATCACAACGGTCAAATAGCTTACTGATAGAGTACAACCTTCTACAAGTGGGACAAGGTTGCAGACTGGTCGCTGGTTTGATCGTGTTTACGGTGCGAACTATGCACGACCCGCAAAATACGTGGCCTGCCATCCGATTCAGCGAAAAAAATCGCATGGACGGAAACCTCGAAGCTCACCACAGGGAAGACATACGGGCTCGTTAAGTTCGTCTATACATATGTTACAGACGAGCATCTGGCGGTATGTTCAATACGCAAGTGAAAAGAAGTTTGTTCAAGTGATCTCTGGAATGACCCATCGCAGAAAAAACACTTTATATGCCAACACGGAAAGAGTAGGCTGCAAGTTCCGGTGGGCACCGAAGCCCGATAACGACTATGGGCATGTTGAGAAAATTCATAGAACTTGCGCGAAGCTGGTCGCAGCCTAGAGAATTCTTGACTTACCGAGAACCAGATAAGGGAAATACACCGCCTTAACCGGAGTACCCGGTCCTTCGTCGGCCATTCGCGACACAAAGCCTAGACTCTGCTAGCGTTCAGCTACAGCGTATCAGTACCAGCGGTTTCTTCAGGGAAAGCTGTCTCGATGGTGACTCCGACATGAGATGAGCATGTTCAATGAAGTTTTACCGTTCTTAAAGATCGTGGTCCTGAATACCATACTCTACCGGAAAATCTGGACAAAGATGAAGCGTCGTTCCTGGCTTGGGCGATATGGGATCCGAGCGTGATGCCCTCAATGCTCGCCTCAATAAGCAAGCTGATGGATGGGTGGATAGATAGATATTCACGATGATAAACCGTCTGAATTGAACTTCAAGGATCCTGAGGCCGAGACTCGGCAGGGATTGATACAAAGCCGCCGGGTCCAAATAGAGCCAAATGGTGGCTTATAGTACTACATAGCTTTCCCAGGCTTTTCTAATCACAACACTGATTGAATCTCAAGCAAGCCGTCGACAGCAAGACGACTCGATATTTCCGACAAAATGGTGCGTATAATATGCAATGCCTGGATATAGGATCTATTTGAACATTTGCACTACTGCAGGCCGACCAGAAAACGACACCGACGAATGTCATGCGGGAGCCCCGCATTGACAAACTTGTCATTAGTTCGTGCTTTCAAACCCTTGAATTTCAAGGTTTCTGATTATTTGTTGACTCTACAGACATCTCAGTCGGTGAATCTGGTGATCGACTAACTCGAGCCTCGAAGGTCCTCGAACAGCTCACTGGTCAAACCCCGGTCACCTCAAAAGCACGTTACACTGTCCGTACTTTCGGTATCCGTCGTAACGAAAAGATTGCCGTGCACGTAACTATCCGTGGACCGAAGGCAGAGGAGATTCTTGAACGAGGACTGAAAGTGAAGGAATACGAGCTGCGACGAAGGAACTTCTCAGAGACTGGAAACTTCGGTTTCGGAATCCAGGAACACATCGATTTGGGTGCTCGATATGACCCTGGTATTGGTATCTTTGGTATGGACTTTTTCGTGGTCATGGGCAGGCCAGGTGCCCGGGTAGCAAGGAGAAAGCAGAAGAAGGCGCGCATTGGATTCCAGCACCGTATCAAGAAGGAAGACACGATGGCCTGGTTCAAGCAGCGATTCGACGGTATTATCCTGGTGAGTATTCTCATACCAATCATCTCATATGTCTTTGGCTCATTTTCCTTCAGAAATAAACGCTTTCACTCCATTGCATCACATCCTACTCTATTTCTACCTCTACCCCATGACCAGTATGATACGTATGCAATATGTACCTCCCACACGTCTTCCACAAGCCATCTAGCAATGAGACGACATCCGAGGTCGAAAGCTATACATTTACCGAGTTTTTCAGTAGAAAGCGTAGTTCGCTTTATGTTGAGATATGAGATATGCTGGTCGAATATGTACAAGACTACTAGTACCGTCCACTGAGAACTAGGTACTGATTATTGAGCTTAGATATTTCAATAGCCTGACTTGATACGGTGTCAAAAAGGCATAGATCTTGAGCTTGAGTTACAAGGTTGACGTTGGAATCCTTGCTAAGCGTAAGCGCGGGAACATCTACAATTCTCTTCTACTTACTTTCCTCGACATCGAAATGGTAGTACTCAAGCTCCTCTCTCCTCATTATGTTGACCGTATCTTGTAGGGCGGTGGTGATCGATATCCGTATCCAAAACAAGTGTGGTCTCCAGCTGGTAAGAACTCGACATTTTTCGGCAATATTATCTGAACGAATTCAGGTGGCTGGTGGGTTCGACCTTCAAATTGGAAATCTAACACCTTCATTGTGGCTGCGGGAATAGCGGGAATATGTTATCTTGTGGGAAATGTTAGTGCTTCGAAAGAGGTGCGTCTTGAACACCCTGCGCTCCATTCGTTCATCTTCAATCTGACCTACTTCGTGACCTTGAAGTATCGGTACATTGCACCTGCCAAGGATATACCATCTGCTAAGGTGCGTGGACGCTCCCGTCATCGTCTAGTCTTCAACTGATGTGTGGTTGGACATACACAGTGGGCGAAACAATTTCAGGTAGAGCAGAAAGACACGTAGCCATGACCTATACATTGTATATCCCTAGAATTCTACAGAATCATCAGCACGACCGACCGACCGACCGACCTAGTGAACGAGTTCCTTACGATGGCATCATGTTGCAGACCTGCAGTATTCGATCAAACATCCGATTTCATTCTTTCCCTCTCTCGACTTATCATTTTCGCAAGCAGACAAGCCTCCTTGAGGAGTATCGGGGATATTAGAATTATTAAATCACTTTGAATGAATTCTGGACGGTGAACATGCTGCAAGAGCATTGAGAGTACGCACAACGGCTCGAATGATCATCCTGGCCGTAACCCATCAGTCAAAGTCTCAATCCTCTTCTCCCGACTTCGTCGCTGTCGCTCTTTGCTACTTATTTCAGAGTAGCGTCTAGAAATGCTGTGAACAAGCTTCCGCAAATTCCTTGTCAAAACATGTCGCGCATCAGGTAACGGCATTATGCACCAATGAACGTTTATATGCATCTGTACACAGTCTCTTTAAAATTGCGCTCAGCTCGGCCTCACATTTACTTCCAGTCGAAATTCACTAGGGACACCAGAATTACTTACATCTTATGGGAAGACGAAGGGCTCCAACAGAAAGAACGCATGCGCAGGAAAGACGGCTTTTTGCGCTAATAAACTCACTCTTTCCACCTTGAGGTATGCCCTACAGCTTGTCCCGGTACCAGAAGTTGCGACAGCTGTTGATAGTTTGTTAGCTATCATTCAAGCATTCGGGGGTATATCTACCTGAATTCTACGTTATTTGAATCCATGATTCCGAGAACCAGCGAGAACCACGCTAGAAACCCGAAGTCACTCCACTCAGCACTTCTCTTGCTTCGTCCCTGCGACCGCGAACTCACCTAGCCCTATACATTGGAAAGAATGCAGGAAACATGATCAACATTCCTCGCTTGGTCTCGATGTCGGAAGTCTCTGGCTTCATGTTCGGATAACTGCATGATTGTGCGGAATGATACTACTGGAGGGAAGATCAAGTTTTTTGGACATACCGAAAAGATTATATAGTTACAATTCACACCTGAACCCCCTGGTAATTTCTAGGTCTAGCGATCATACAGTCCACTTTGGCCACTTTCTGGAAATTTCCATGTATATTATCCAGGCTTTTGATTGGAGAACGCACTGGCTTCAGTCATGGTTGATGATCGAATATAGCTGAAGATATATTTTCCGAACGGCACAAGTTGAAGATTGTGTTGGATTGCAACTCATTTCCGGCCTTATGTACCCAGTCAATTTGAATCATTCAACGCTGATCAGTCATTAAAGTCAAGGTCTTTGGGTATTACAATGAGATCATCTTCATTCGAATACCAGACGAGCTCTTAGCACATAAGTTGTACATAGAATACATAGAGTAGGTCTAATGACACATTTCACGGGACAGACCGCTGCAGTTACATGTTGATAATACGAACAATTCAAACTTGAAGTAAATACTGAGCATTTCTGATTATGAAGTGCGAACCCTAGTATTTGCACTATTTGATCAAGAAAGAAAAGGGAAACACGAGGTTTACTGTCTGAAAGAAGAGATTGGCGAGGATAGAAGGATAGTACGATGTGATAAAGTGAAGGATTGGACAACTGAAGAAAAGTGGGAAATTTGACCGTCAACCTTGAAACGTTTTGGAAGGGACTTTACCGAGAAGATGAATTTAGACGACTGATGCGCCATTCGGTCTGGCGACGGTGTCGTGCTCGTTTTCCTCTTCGTATTGTTCAACAACTACAACAGCATCTTCATTGTCGAAGACATCTGGGGCAAACGGGACACTACAGCTATCCCTCAGAAAGCCATGTAGATTGTCGAAGGAATAATCAACCTGCGTCGTGACCGAGCCAAAAAGATTCTCAAATGTGGAACGGAGTCGTTTGAACAGCCAGAAATATGCCAGGACAGTGACTGACCCAATTGCCATGTAAAGTTCGGGCAGTGCTGAGTTCCCAATACCGTCATTAGTGAAGCTAGTTGGTGCGAGAACAATCAATCCATCAAGGTCGTGCTTCGAAGAAAGTTGCACAGACGTGGTGTGTAGGGGGGAAGCGCTCTCATAGGCAGGTAAAAGGATTTTCGGCTCCAGAGAGCGAGTAAGGGGTCCCCAGAAAATTCCGTCACTACAGGGATCGTTGACGAGGTTGGAGAGTTCTGAGCTCTTCTCACATGACACCGAAGGCCGGAGCATTCCATAGATGTCACAGTTATGAGGGATTGGGGCAGGGGTGAAGACGGGAAAAGCAAACAACCCAGGGATAGTGATAGTAGGCATAAGGCTGAGATCACCACCCACGGGAGCAGCGGCAGGAGCAAGAGATTCAATGCTATTAGGGACCACGTCCGAGCTCGTCATAGAGGATTCGGTTGGAGAAATAGGAGCAGGCTGGGGGGCTACGGCACGGCGCTTCCTAGGCCTCGGAACATAGTCATGGCGTCGTTTCCGATGACGGGTGAGTGCAGCAGGATCGTTCGTAGCGAACCCACATATATCAACGTCCGGGCAAACAATGCTCTTTTCGTTGGTGCTGCCATGCAATTTAAGCTCATTGCAATAAGATTAAACAAACCACTCACTGAGTCCTTAGATGCGTATCGACGTTAGATTTCTGTAGATTCGAAAACGTGCAGCCATCGTAAGGGCATTTATATGACCTGAAGATTCGGTCAGTGATTCTATGATCGCAAGCCAGGGGGATTCAGTGTGTGGCGTACAATGAATCTTTCGTTACTGGGTCTAAATGGGTTCGTAAATGCCTCGGTAAGTCACCTTTGCGTGCAAGAATTCTGTGGCACTCAGGACACTCTCGAGGATCGCCACCGTCGGTGGGACTCTACGAAACAAAGCCTCCCTCAATTGAACCAGTTCACAAGAAGAAGCGACGATACTCACAGCGCGAGGCATGATTTTAGAACTGATGAGAAAAAACGCGACAAATCTATGGTCGATCGCAGGCGAATTTATACGTTGGGAAAGGGAAGGAAAAAGAAGAAGAAAGGCAGGAAACAAACACCGCCTGATGGTAGAGGCGCTCAATTGGGGGTCTAATGTCGAAATAAAAGATACCCTTTACGGATGGCCAAACAAATTCAACCAAAGGTCAACTTTGTGCTGGAGAAAAGCGAATTATGTAGAAAGAGAAATATAATTTGCTTTTACCTGTTTGTTCCACGGTGGCACCGATATTTCCCAAAGGAAGCACATGACTCAAAAAAAACGACCTTAATCATTGTGTCGATTGTTTTCTATCAAATCTTTAGTCGGATTGTCAAGGTTTTTAACCTCTGAAAAATCCACACAATGCTTTGGCCCCTCCCATCAGACGTGAGGGTTGAAAATGACCGTTGTAATTGGGTGTGAGTATGCTATAAAAGATATAGCATCTACTTGGACCGCCGTAGGATACAAGCTAAAAAATCGAAAAGCGGTTTCATTGTTCTCTAATTTAAGCAAAATCATCAGTAAAATCAGGGTGAAAACATAACGACCGTTCACCCGTGGAATTAGCGCCGAACTGCCACTCATTAGCTCTACAGACAATAACCCCCTCATTCGTATCGCGACTTCAACCTCAGTAGGGAATCCAGATAACCTCCCAATCGACGGAATGTAGATTTCTTTTGCCCCACGCAAACGCTTGCGAGATGGGCACAGAAGCAGCATCGTGTCTCCTTCAAAGAAATGCCACCCATTTTTCTCCCTTCTTCGAATCCTCTCCTTGATTTACATGCTGAGGCTTATCTCAGGACGCAGGAATCTTACCAGAAAGATTGCGTGACCCAGTCCTCTGCGGAAGCAGAGCGGGAGAGGCCTGCTTGTGCGCCCTGAAGAGGGTAGACCCAAACGCCAGGTGGACCACCACAAGCATTTTACATTCACAGTAAATTTTGCACCCACATTAGTGGCCTCCCCAAGCATAAAAGCTTAAGACCTAGCAAGAGCACTGGAGAAATGGGGATTAAGTCAGGGATTATCTGGTGATTATCTGGTGAGAGCAGTCGATGGCAGGGAGTGGACGTTAGAGTCTCGTAGACTGCGCCTGATCTGAATTCCTTATAGGCTATCCGGTAGACAGACGGGAGTCCCGGTTTCTGCAAGCATGCTGGGTGACGCTCAAAATGGGTAAGAGCAGAACTTGGAAAATTTTGGGGCTCGGCAGATCCATACGGCAGGGGCAACTAAATCTTCTGAGTAGAGGATCAACGCAGCCCGATTCAATGAGACAAGACGAAGTTCGACCAGGACAATATCAATGTTTACAAGGTTCTGGTCAGATCGGAAGTTGAAAAAACGATTCATGTGCCTCGGAACTCCAGACCGAAAGCTCATCATGACAGGAATTGTAACACATCTGCAGTTTGCTGGTGGCGATTTCCTCGAGTGCAATGACCATGATTTTGCTATCAGCGACGACATCAAGGGCCATGGTATGTGTATCCACACACACACACACGTCTTTCTCCTTCAAAGCACAGTTGTCACTGTCTTCAAGCTCGAATTCCCAATTACAGACTCTGAAAATGTTTGAAAGTCTTTCCTTGAACAAAACCTTCCCGGCTTCACGCGGTAAATGCAACGGACTGAGGTAGATAAAACGTGTTCATACCTGCAAAGCATAAACAACGATTCCTGTTGTGCCTGATGCTTTCGATCTTGATGACTCTGCTGGCAAGAATCTGAGGATGCACTCTTGTGGATTGAATGTGCACCGAACCGCAGGTTGCAAACGAATATTCATGGATACCTTCCGTAAAGGTTAGCTTGTACATCAACGCTAGGACCAAGATATGCTCGCAGTGAAACTCACGAAGCCGCTCAACCAAAGTCTTCTTATCCGACCAGTACTTGACCTGTCCCAAAATACCACTCGGGTAATCATTGCTGCCGCGCTTTACAAACAATTCAACACCCCTCAACTCGCTCTGAACGTCCTTGTCTTCCTCTCCAGCATCATCGACGCGTCCTTTCTACAGAAAATACTGAAGTTCTAGTCTGAATGCTTCCACTCTATCGCTTGAAGAATTTAAGAGCGACAGGTAACGTTTCTTCGACTTCGATAATGCACTGCGGATAAGTATCCTCTTTCCTAGGACGACAGGCGATGATGCTGTTGGCAGGTTTTGACAGTATTCGAGCTGGCTTACAACGACTGAGAGGGAAATTGACTGGGGGCTGAGATTGATTGAATTGAGATTGAGCGGTTGCGCAGGTACATTATGATTCCACTTGGGCAATACTGATCCATATTTGTTCCTGATATCTTCTGAAGGCCGGCCTTCTTCCTAGGTAAGATTAGAAAATGCCAAGACATCGTCTCCCTAGGCAGAATCTATACGTTGGATTCTTGACGCAGCTTGACGCTTTGTAAAATTTGAGTCGAGGTATAATGGCAAGGACAGGGACCGAGAGTCACTCACTGATTTTCTTTTCAGGTCAAGAATATTCTTCCATTCTTGGGCTCGTCTTTAGCTTGCACCGACATCTTCTGCTATGGCAGAATGGGAACGAAAGGCGTGCGACGGCGGGGATGAGTTGGAAGGTTCGGTATTTGAATAAATAGTATTTTTATTTAGAGCCAAAGATATCGCCCGCCTAGCTCAATCGGATAGAGCGTCAGACTTTTACGTTTGTAGTATCTAGGCGGATCAATCTGAAGGCTGCGAGTTCGACCCTCGCGGTGGGCTATAAATTCTTTTTTTTCTATGCGCAAATCAGACATTTTTCATCCCAATATCGGCGACCAAGTAACATTTGGCAGCAAACCCAACGCAACTTATCGTCGCTCGTAATGTATTAGAAAAAGTTCGTATGCAAGTTATGTAATGCGAAAGTGGGATAGTTGTATGTATAATCCATGCATGTACAGTCTTAGGAGAGGCTCCGCTAGACGTGGGGGCGCGGTTGCACCAATATATACAAAATCAAGAAGGGGTATACGACGAATCCAGCTCATCATTAGTTGGTGCTCTTCCTGCGTTCTGCATTAAACGTCGTAAACGAGCGAGTTCAGCGCTGAGTTGCCTGTCCACCGCGTTACAGATCAGTATCAAGTAGAGTTGAGGGAAGACTTACCTGGCAGTCTCACTATCCTCCTTGCTATCTTTTTCATTCTTTTCCACAACCTGTTTCATTTTATCAAGCTCCTTCATCCACCTATCTTCAATCTCCTTCGCCTTGTTTCGATCCTCTTCCCTCAAAACTTTCACGACTTCCTCGCCCTTCCGACTAGCCTGCACCTCCTCTACAAGCTTCCGATACTTTTTACCCAAAGTCTCCGCTTCTCCTTTCCATTTCTCCTCTCGTTTACGGATTTCGTCGCGGAGACGTTCGGTATCGGATTTCCATGATTCCGTTAAATGTTTAAGGCTTTCTCGGAGAGTGATGTACTCTCGTTCGGATTTCTGTGATAGAGCGGTTGATTCGGCGAGAGCGACTTCCATTTCTCGAAGGCTCTTTTTGGATTGGGAGGTTTCGGATTTGAGTTGAGAGCGGAGCTGAGTGGCGTCTGTTTCGGCTTTGCGCGCGCGTTCGAGGACCTGTAGAAGACATAAGAGGAAAACAGTACAGTAGAATGGAACAGAAAGTACGCACTTCCTGCAATAGTCTTTCTTTCCTCGCTACCACATTATTTAAACCCTCGTTCTCCAATCTCAGTCTCTCCCTTCCCTCTTTCAGATCTTCCGTCTGTCTCGTGAGCGAAGCCACACTCCGCTGGCTCAGTCTCAACTGGGCTTTCGTATTTTCCAATGCATTCCGTGCATTGACGACACCAGCCTGAAGATCCGCCAAAACTTTGGTTGTACCCCCGGGTGTAAGTGATGCTCGTCGATTCGTAGTGTTCGGTGATGGTGGCAGTTGAAGTGAGGGTGAGGTTGGTGAGGTTAAGGATGCATCGATGATTGAAGAATGGAGAAGAGATGAAGAGCTGGTAGAAGGAGCAGGAGCTCCTTCCTCAGCCAACGCTCGAGCATTACCTGGGAAGTCAGGATATTATAAGTATATAGATTAGGATGGGGAGTCAGATGAAAGACAAGATCCTGACACACCTACAGAAGATACTGGTATTCCTGTAGAGTTTTTGTTGGGTGAATTTCGTGTTCAGATAGGATAATAATACACACTACTCAAAGTACGAGTTGGACTCGATATTCTTTTGTATGCAGTTGGACTGGTCATCGGCACCCCTTCCTTGATACTGCTGTCATCCAAGCTACCATTCACACTGTGGCCGAGGTCGCGCCTGCCTGCAATGGGTAACGGTAAATTGGAATCTGGACCAGCTATTCCTTGTAGGACTTCGAAACTCGTTCTTCTTGCCATTTTTGTAGGTGACGACCCATTGGGTGTTGGAGAGCGACCAGAATAAGATGAAGGTGGAGGGGAAGTCAAATTTGGTGTTGAACTTGACATTGAATCGGATAAATTGGGGTAAGGACGTGGGCCACGGAGGATATGATTCTCCAAGCCAGTTACTTGGGCTTGCTGCTGACGGATATTGTGTTTCAGCGTTGATATCTGGTTTCGCACCGCGACTGAGGCGTAGTTAAACCTTGTTGATACGGTACAAAGGAAATTCACTGACCTGGACTGTCAATAGAAAGCACAGGACTAGGAGCACGTATTGAGCGGCCCGAGGATCTAGATGAGGGCCTTTCGTGTCGGGACGGGGGTGAAGCAGGAGTAATTCCACTCAAAGACATCTACAAGGTATAAAGAATTTAGCTGTCAATAATTCAATGGTGTTGGTAGTTTGATGAAGACAAATTATTATTAGCTGTGGGAAAAACGTCTCTTTGCTCCGGACTGCCATGTTTCTTCGTTCTTTTCGCGCTGGGACTCGGAGCTTTGCTAGACGATCTCTCTGCCAGCCCGCACCTGTCCATTGTTTATTTCCGAGCAAAAAACGCGTATCAAGTGGTATGACCTCACGAATAATTCTCACCTTTTCACACTGACGATTATAGTCTTCAGTACCTCGCGATGTTGTTCACAAAGAAATTATGCCACGGATATACATTCATATCCTGGCTCTGAAGTATCTTACTCTCCAGAGAAGCTTTTACAAGCTTTAGAAATGATGGCCGACTCGTCTGAGTCCCTTCCACCGATTCCATCAGGTCAAGACCAAGAGAGTTTCTGGCGCGCCTATCTACTGGCCAACCAAATCATCATGTATCTAGCTGCAAGACCGGCAACGGAAGCGGAAACTTTCGCTGCGGTGAGCTCTGAGCCTGTATCTGTACTAAATGTACTGAAACGCTGGTAGATATTCCAATCCGCATCCGTGCCCGAAAACTCCGCCGTTGCACGAGGACGTGCTGGTGTGCTCAAAATCACGAAACAAATCGTTAAAATCATGCTTGAAGTTCCACGGTCATCATCGCTGAGGTCTTCCCATTCAGAAGTCTTCCAAGCGTTCGAAAGCCTGCAAAAGACTCACGATATCTATGTCGCACCCAATGAAGAGAATGCGAATGATCTGGAGAAGTGGTCGAGATTTTTTGTGGGTTTAAGGACGGATTTGGTGGAGTTCACAGCACGGATCGGAACAGTGGTTGAAGAATGGGAATCAGTGGAACAACAGATGAAGAAATGATGAAGGTGAGTGATATGCGGCCCAGAGCTTGCGAGGAGTTGCGAGGGTAAATCTGATGATTGCTTATCATACTTAATTGTATGTAGCTTCCGATTCAGGCCAATTCATCTCTGGAAAAAGGTATGTACATGCATACGCCACACTATACCATCCCCCATGTTCAATTATCTGTTCTTATACATCTTCGGCCGTTGAGCATTGGAACATTTGCATTTGTATCGCGAACTCATAACTACTCAGAGGAGCTCAGATCTAGAGGCTTTTCTCCACTATCCATACATTCAATCTCAATTCTCTGTCAATTAGAACAGATGTTTATTGCAATCAATCTCTGGGCACTCTTTTCTGTTGGTCTCAATTGCACTTCTCTATGAATAAACATGGAAATGACTTATTCCCGCAAAGTCCGATTCGCTTGCCGTGATCACATGCTGATGAGAAGTCGTAATTTCATCGCTTCTCAGATTCTCACTCCCACTTTCATGTTCCCCCCTTGTCGTTGAGTTGCGTGATAACAGCTATGGGTGCAGCACAGAATCCAGGGACTGATCTGAGCTTCAAGCAGCTTGTAAACGCGATTTTGTACAAGTGCAAATATGCAAAAAATCAGTGAGTTTTTATATTTCTCCAAAGCTGCAAATTTGATCCCGCTTACCAAAATGTTACCAGGCTCGTCGAATTACCGGAATCCGAGGTTTGCCATATTCTCTGCTTTCACTATCCCTACTTACGGTGAATCTCTGCTTCAAGCTCGATGGCCTCAATCGTAAACTCCAAATTGCGTCTTCCGCTGTACGAGGATGCCGGAATGCGTCTCAGAAAATCAATCAATTACCCCCAGAACTGCTCTGCAATATCATGTCCGGTGCCCAAATGCAACTCACGAGCTTTCTTCCCGATATTACTGCATATGAAGATCACGGCCGAGAATGGTACTCCCTCCTGCATGTCTGTCGTCACTGGCGGGGGATCATCGCTCGCTCGCCAACATTGTGGTCGACAATAGACAACACACTCATTGACTCGGAGGATGAGAATAATAAGAAGAACAATGTTGTCCATGAACGATACTTGTGTCGGTCTGGAGCAGCCCCGCTAAGGGTGTATCTCGGTGTTAAGGAGATGAAAATACGAAGGAAATCTCTTGGTGTGCTATTGAAACATGTCGCGCGGTTCAAAGAACTTCACGTCGTAGCGGATCTTTGGGAAGATTCTTCCACACCGATCTACAACCTCTTCGTGGAACCGGCACCGACTCTAGTTAGCTTGACCCTTCGTACAGACGGGAAAGACGTGACTAACGGGTCCCTACCTCCAATTTTTGCTGGGGAGATGCCCTCACTCAAAGAATTAACCTTGGAGCATTTCACTGTCTGGCCCACAACCTATTTTCACAACCTTACCTCCCTTTCCCTGTCGGATCAAGCCTTCAATCGTCCCACCACACTCTCGTTTCTCGACTTTCTACAAAACTCACCTGTGCTTGAGATGCTGGCTCTGGTACGTGCCGGTCCAACACTTCCTGCGAATACGGATATGATACCTGCCACAGACCGCGTCGTTGATTTGCCTCGCATGCGTCAATTAAATCTGGGAGGTTGGCCAACGACGTCTACCATATCCAGGTTTCTATCATACATATCCCTTCCGCCAGAAGCCGACGTGTTTATCTGGGGTTCAGTTTTTTCGAACCCTGATACCGACTTGACGGCGCTCCTTCCTGCGAACACAAACAATCTACACAACATTCAAGGAATTACGAAGTGGTATCTAACTCATTACTCTGTCGCTCAGCCCGGAGACCTTCTATACGTCCCTTTCACGGCGATCGTTGGCTCGTCCAACTCCTTACACAATTATGGCGTGTTCCGCTCGAGTCAGTTGCTAGCAACGCTTCCGAGATATCCGTTGCATAATGTGACATCATTCGTTCTCCGGGATAGCTCGTACCAGGCAAATAGATTCAAGACGTCAGTCTGGGTGGAGATATTTGGCAAATTGAAGAATTTGCAAGAGTTGCGGATTTTGGCATATCAATCAACCACTACGACGAGAAGTGTGTTAACGGCGTTATTGCCTGCGTCATCAAAGGGCGCGAAGAAGAAAGATATAAGTCAGAACGGGAATAGACGAGAAATTCATGAGGGACAGAAGGAAGCAGGGAGTTCCACTTCCAATGCTGCAAATACGGAGTCCTCCGGAACAGGGAAATCCAAAGTTCCAACGGACGAGGAACAAGAGCCAGAAAACTTCCACTCGCCTCCACGTGGAGACCACTCCCGCTGCGAGGTCCTCTGCCCGAGACTCACCACTCTCAGCGTTGAACATGATCCCGATCTAGCCTCCATCTTCATCACCAAACTTGTCAAATCCCGAAAAGAACACGGGTGTCCGATCGCTTCGCTCATAATCCTGGTCTTTGACCCGCAATACGGTGTTTCCCCTTCTCCGCGACCACGTTCTACTCGTTCTGATCACGACGTTAATAATCAGAATCAGAATCAAAACCAGAACCATCAAAATGGACACCATACTGCTGGAGTGAATGCTGCGGATGACAGTTCGTCGACTGTATCGTCGAGAGATATTTTGAATGAAGAGTATAATCTTCGGAGCAAAGAAGATGAAGAGTTATTAAAACGGCATGTGAAGGAAGTGAGGTTTGAGTACAAGAAGCCGCTGTCGCAGGATTTGGTCCCGCGAGGGTGGCCAACAGATGCGTATCGGAGGACTTGTCTGTCGTATTCGTTCTAATGGGCTTTCTTGGATCGATACATCTTTCATGTTAGTCACAAATATATTAGGGGATTTATGGTTAAGTATTGGTTTATTTATGTATCACTGAATAATGAATGTATAGAAGGACCATGTAGAACGATGTACCTAGTAACTAGCAACAACCACTACGTATCATGCTAGAATCCTGCCATCCTGCATATTCATACCCCAGAATTTGCCCCTCATTCTATCTACCCATACCATCAACTCATTGGTACGGGATTGAGTGGAGTTTCGGATGTCATCGCTTGGTCTTCGGTAGTCGTCGGTTACAAAAGGTTGCAAACCAGCACCAGCAGCGCAGGGTCACTACGACATCCCGCAGATCTATTTGGTGTACATAGTATGTATTTGGACCTTTTCAGAAAGTTCAATTAGCCTTTCAAGTACTTAAGTATAGATAGATAAGTCCTTACACAGCTCCACCATGAATGTTGTGATCCCCCAAAAGGAACAGGTATAGTATGGTCAAGCGAGTGCCTGCATTGATGCCTTCTGATGGTTGCTAGATCTGGTGGATCTCTGAGCTCATCGCTGCGGGATGTAAGAACTGAGCGTTCAACTTGTGACGAAACGCTCCTTGTATCGAGATTCAATTTCAAATGTCCCGCTACGCTCAAGGCTTGAGTTCCCGCTCTTTTCTGGTTGCTCCCGGCCCATTACAACTTTCCCAGACGAGTATTGTCGATGTATACTACAACTATGATATCCCCTGGCTATCTTGTACCCAAGGTAGTTCGCCTCCATCATTCGTAGTGTATATTTACTGACAAGTTTGTGCAGCTTCTATTCATTGGTTGCGAATGATTACAATGTCTGAATGGAAGTTAGTGGCAGAAACTTGCGCTTGAAAATGCTCCATCCCGAGTTAAGCTATTGTAGGGCATCCCGTCTCTGTGCCACTATCATGGTGTAGTGAGGAGAATAGATTGTTGGAAATGTCGCAGACTTCCTCCAAACTTGGTTCCCCGGTGTCTTTTTAAGCGGAACATGCTTTATCAAAATTCCAACTCAACTTGTGCACCAAGATGTCTGATATGAAGGAGATCCTCGTTATCGGTGGTACTGGTGCTCAAGGTAGTATGGTGGTCAAAGGTATGCGGTAGACAAGGATTACTAGTAGGTGAAGGCATAATGTAATTAATCTCTTCCATCTAGCCCTATCGCAAAGCAAACGCTACCGTGTAAGGATTTTGACCCGCGACTCTCAATCTTCGCGTGCTCAGCGCCTTGCGGGGCTTCCGAACGTCAAATTGATAGAAGGGAGACAAGACAACCAGCTTGACTTACACAGGGCATTCCAGGGCGTGTACGGAGCATGGGTCAATACCGACGGATTCAGCCTCAATGAGAAGGAGGAGCTATTCTATGGTATTCGGACTTACGAAATTGCCAGACACGAGCGTGTGCAACATTTTATCTGGGCAAGCTTGCCCTATACTCTAAAGAACGGGAACTGGGACATAAAATACCATGCGGCTCATTCAGACTCTAAAGGCAGAGTCAGGGATTTCATCCTTGCTCAGGGGCAAGGGGATATGAAAAGCTCCATTCTCACAACGGTTCCGTACATGGAAATGCTTATTGATGGGGTTTTTGTCCCCCAAAAGCAGCCGGATGGTTCATTTGTTTGGCTCAATCCTGCGAGTAAGTCACTCACCCGTCTTTTACTCTGAGTACTCAATTTTGTGATACAGCAACTGGCAAAATTCCTCTTATCGCGCTTGACGACGTTGGTCATTACAGCTTATGGCTTTTTGATAATATCTCGGAGTCAGCGGGGATGGACCTGAAGGTTGTCACTGACTATGTTAATTTTGAAGACATTACCAATACTTTCACCAAAGTGACGGGTAAAAGAGGACTTCATAAGTCTTTGCCCCTGGAGGAATATCTGCCTTTTGCTGAGCCGTTTCCCAACGCGCCTGTGAATTGGTATGCAGGTCCGAATGCAGCTCGCGACGAGTCATTGCTTTCATGGCGGGATAACATCACGGCTTTTTGGCGACATTGGGACGACGAAGTGGATGTAGTAGCGAATATGGATTTACTCAATCGAATTCACCCAAACCGCATTAAAAGCTTGGAAGAATGGATGAGGAAGGTTGAGTATGACGGTAGTATGAAACCAATCATGAAAGGTCCGGAGGACTTGCGCCGGGCAAAGATAGAATTGAAGAGAGGTGGGAAATTGTAACCAAATAACAGAACGTTGTTGTAAGTAGTGCAGAACTTGTATCACCTTTTTGTAAGCTTGTAAACTGGTTGTAAACATGATGCCAAATCGTACTTGATCTAGTAGCTGCGCCTGCTGGGCACGAAACTTGACAATTCTGTAACAGTGGCCAAGCCGGGTGATAGATGTCGTATCAGTATTTTATGACGACTTTGTCCCGCGCGGGTGAGCAGCATACTGCACTGAAGGGTGAGTACTAGTACTTGAGTAAGGACGATGAAAGGCTGAGTAAGCGCTCAGCACCTCCGCAAGCTCGAATCATTAATCCGGAGCCGGTTACCTCTACTACCGGAAGCGCTCGATATAATAAGCAAGTCCGAAGTAAACTATGTTACACCTGCCCATAATTCGTCTTTTTCAGTGTCATCTGCGAATTTGACCCCCGATGGCGGTTATATCTACTCCAATCACTGAGATGTTTGGCATTAAACATCCAATACTGCTCGCTGGCATGGTTCGTGACCGGTTAGAGCTTCTATCGCAGTCTCCATTCTCAATCATTCTACGCGTAGAATGTCGCTGCTGGGCCGGAACTCGCAGCGGCTGTCACTAATGCGGGAGGTTTAGGCGTTATCGGAGGGTTTGGATACACGCCAAAGATTCTACGCCAACAGGTGATTAAACATCCCATCATGTAGAGTGATACTAATGACTAATAATGCTGAACAGATACATGCTATCAAAGACGATTTGGTTGACAAGAGCGCTCCTTTCGGTGTAGATCTCCTTATACCTCAAGTTGGCGGCAGCGCGCGGAAGACCAACGTCAGTATCAGTGGAACATTTCTTCAATGCTACGTTTGAATGCATTAATTCATCTAGTACGACTACACCAAAGGCAAGCTTGACGAACTCATTGACGTGATAATCGAGGAAAAGACCGCTCTTTTTGTTTGCGCGGTCGGAGTTCCGCCCAAGGCTGTCGTAGAGAGGCTACACAAAGCTGGAATTCCCGTCATGAATATGGTTGGCCATCCTAAGCACGTTCAGAAAGCTCTGGACGTCGGTGTGGATTTGATTTGTCCACAAGCAGGGGAGGGAGGAGGCCATACCGGCGACACGCCAGCCAGCGTGTTGATTCCAGCTTGTGTAGATGCTGTCAAGGGAAGGAAATCGCCGTTGACGGGCAAGCCAGTGTATATAGTCGGAGCGGGTGCAGTTTATGATGGACGGTCGTTGGCGGCAAATTTAATGTGGGGAGCTCAGGCTGTCTGTGAGTAATCATCAAGTCTCAAGTAAATTATATTCCTGGAAATTCTTACTTCCATCTGCAGGGGTTGGAACCCGTTTTGTTGCCTCAAAAGAGGCGGGCGCACCCAAGTATCACAAAGACTTAGTCGTATCCGCAGGCTTCGACGACATTATTCGCACCATTATCTTTACTGGGCGTCCGCTTCACGTTAAGAAGTCGGCCTTCATTGAAGATTGGTAAGATACCTCGTCGTTCCTATTGTTAAAATTAATCGTTCGCAGGGAAATCAATCGACAGGCTGAGATCAAAGAGCTCACGAGTAAGGGTATCGTTCCAAGTGACTGGGCCGTTGAACAACGCCCGGAGATAACAAAGGATCCTGAATCCCGTCCGTGGCTTATGGGCAAGGTCGCTGCTGTGCGTTTACATTCTCCTGAATACTGATTGAAAATACTCATACAGCCCTAATAGTTAATTAAAGATATCCTTCCCGCAAAGACTATTATAGAGAATATGGTAAATGAGGCGGCAGAGCTACTGGAGCACGGGAGCACTCTAGTAGTAAAGACTAAAGCAAAGCTTTAAGTTCAGCCTAAGTTCGACGGTTTTTCGCTCTTCTCTAAATGCGATGTGTATTTATTCTTACATTAAAACGGTCCTGTGTATTATACAATATGGATACAAAGTGAAACTCGGCGAGATGGACTTGTAGTTTGAGCTAATGTTTAGCCGTAGGATTCAAAACAGGGAGTGGATAAAGACTAAGACTCAAGTACACAACAGGGACAGCATTTCCGAAAGCGAGATTGAGACATATACAGCCTCAGAAGGTTTCCCATCCACCTGAATCCAAAGAACCTTCTAGTCTGCGCGCTATTATTGTGGGCACGCCATGGTTCATCCATGTCTTCCTAATATCTTCCCAACGGGTATAGTGAAGGTACTGACGGCGCCCTCGTCTGTAAAGCAAATCAGTAAACATAAATCCTGGCATTGAAATGACGCGCCTCATAGAAACGTCTGCCTCGCCATGCACGTCTAAATATGGTGATGGAGCAAATGTACCGTTATTCCCGTAGAGATATATAACGATGCATCTTTTAACAAGGAAGAAGACACCAAGAGCGCCACCACATCTGTCACACATATCATGAGTTGATTTAACGGGTAACACTCATAGGAGAAAGCATACTCTCGGGTGTGCATATTGCACTCTCCATGCCGCTCGTCATCCATACAACATGTGCTCTGGAAGCACACAGTTGTGCCACACAGCAAGCATATTGCCGCATCAACCGGAATAGTCTCGCATCTTGAACAAGGAATCAGTTTGTCTTGATCTACAAACAAGTTATCCAAAACGAATGGTAGCCTAGCAAGCCGATAAACTGTTGGAATGTCCAGTACAACACCGAAATTCAACGGTGCAGATGCATGAGAGTGTCCATAATGGGCACACCACCCTGACAGCGCATTTTGTAAAGTATCCTGATGGGGTAGGTCGGCTAATGGCGGGATACCCAAAAAAGTTAATAGACGCGTATACTCCGTTGGCTCGTCCATCGCACCAAAATCTGGAGTGGGAAAATGGGAAGGAAGAAGAGAGCGACAGAGGATGGAAGCTTTGCGAAGGAAAGGAAGCGTAAATTCAAACAGCAGCTTCTCTATCCTTGCTTCTCCAAACGTTTCGAAAGCCAGCGTCGCCGTGTGTTCAAAGACTGGCGAGTGCCGGACAACGGACATAAAAAACATGCGCACATCACCGAAAACGTGTTCATGTCGACGTCGAGAGAGCTGTGTAGTGTTATAACTGCGAATCTTGTTCAGCATGAACACAAGACCGATAACAGTGCGCGCGAGACAAGCATAATAACTCAGTATCATAACATGTCGCAAGATTTCTGGAGCTACAGCTGCAGTTTCTATCAGCACTGTAAAAGGGTCCCTCAGTAGGAGCGGAAAGGAAAATGAGGTTAGAGAGCTTCGACTCCATTCCGGTAGTAAGCGTTTGATGATGGCTTGCCGAATTGCGTCCTGACCTTCATCCGGACGTGCTTTGAAGTGGAGGGCGGATAGCCTGGTAAGGACGCTCAACTGTCCACGTATCATACGCATCTGTGATTCCGACAGGTTATCCACCATCAAACCTCCTCGAGCGTCAGTGCCTCTCTGAGCAATCTCAATACTCGCGATGGTGTACCCAATGAGCTCTTCGGGTAGATAGATTCCGGCTCCTCTTTCACCCGGTTCAGGCTCGTGCCGCTCCCGTAAGTGACGAGTCTGCTGAGAGAAAGATTTTGCAACCACCATCACGGTATCAACCATTTTCATCCCGTCGTTCCCTTCAAATTTGTCCGAATTTCTCATTGCCAGAGAATAGCCGGTATCCTGGGCACTCCAGAACACAAATTCTCCCGTCCCGTTTCGAAATTGGAGCGCCTCTAATGCAGGATCCGGCTTCGATTTGAGTATACTTATTCCTGCTCCTCTTGTCCAATCCGGGAACGGCACTGCATTGAGTTCGACCGAGGGCGGTTTTGCTACTGGGAGTATGACATTCCCCAAACTCTTGCACAATGGACAAATGTACTCCTTCCTCGGGATGGTCTCTGGATGGTTTCTTGTCGCCTGTGTGCGATGTCTCTGACGTATTGAAAGGCTATAAATATGGAAACAATCCAGGTGCATCATATGACTGCATACAGACGAATGTAGTCCAAATCGCGTACACTGATTGGGGAAACCATCGTAGCTTTGTGAGACGCCACCCGCTGTTACCATTTTGGCTTGCGCAGTGGCATCGAGAGCCTCAGCGTTCGCAGGGGGAAAGGCAGATATGACTGCAGGCTGAGGTACTGGGGAGAGTCGGTCCATGGACTCTGGTGCTTGCAAGACATCGTTGAGATATGTTGTATGTCCGTCTGGCTGTCTTCGAATGAACCTACTTGGCTGTACCATCCCAAGCATCCCAAAAGCTTTGGATGCATTCAAATCTTCTTGGCATACGATACACGTGCCGTACGATACCTCTTCTTCCTCTCCCTCGTTTTCCATATCCTGATCTTCGTCGTCGTCTTCCATGTCCTCAAAATTACTGAAGGCGAAGCTAGCTTGCTGGGCTTTCATTTGGCGCATGATGGCTTCCTGCCTCGCCTTGGCCGCATTCTTCTTGGCTTGCTCAAGATCAGGTGCAGCACCTGTCGCCCCATCCAATGTCCCACCACTATTCTGATTAGTACCGTGAGATCCAGATACGACTCTTCGTATCTCGACCTCTCTCGGCTCCCAGGAATGCATCTGATCTAGAATCCATCCTAGCCTGGATTTGTACGACTTGAACCCCTCGTGAGTTTCCAATTTGCATAGGACGTCAATGAGTGTAACTTTTCCCTCTTCGAATGCTCTGAGCGAAGCGAGTGTACAAAATATCGAAGGACGCTCGACGATAGCAAGCATGACGAGATGCAGAGCTTGGTCAAGAATAGCTTCCCCAGAGGGAGGTGCAGAGCCGCCTCCGTCGGTAAGGGCAAGGACGTTATGGATTGCGTAAAACATCACTTGTAGCAATGCCTCACTCTCGAATGTCGAAGGTAAAACAGCAAATGGCCCACTTGGTGATACATTTAACGGTTTGGGAACAAGCACAGGATCTGGTACTGTCGGGTTTTGCTTCAATAAGCGTCTGCGTAGGATCCCTTCCACCTCTTCTCTCTTGTTTCTGGTATAATGGTACCAGAATGGGTTGACTTCCTCGAAGCACTCGTCTTTTAGCTCATACGTCCCAATATCACTCGTTCCTTCCGGTGAACGGAATTTCGTTGTTTCCCTGAGCATCTTCTCGAATGCCATGTCATCGACCAAACGTTCAGAAATACGTTTGATGAGGTCCGTGTACGAACAGGGGCCGAGCGCAAGGGCGTGTACTATTTCTCTTCTCGCCTGGTTTGCGACACTCATCTGCGAGATATTGGCGCTTTCGCTCAAGATGGAAATGAGGACGTATAGAACCTCCTCAGCCATACCCGTGAGTTGGGTCGAGTCGTATACCGTATGATGCAAAGAGAATGGTCCGCCAGAGAAGAACGATAAGAGCCCGAAACGGTCGAGGATGGTGACAATGACGGTGTTTGGATCAAGTATGACGAGTCCAACTTGCAGAATGAAAAGATCTTGATCATAGCATAGTTCTCTAAGCATAAAGTCTCGGTAGTGAAGCAGTTGACCTCGAATAGCGAAACCGTTGCGAACCCAAAGATTGCATCGTATCTGTGCAATCATTGCTAAGACTGATCAATCTCATTAGTAAGTTCTCAAATACTGCGAAGAGCAAAAGCAAACCTCGCAACGGGAAATCTACAACTGTCAATACAGCACGTTCGCTCGCGACTCTTATCACCACGTCCCTAATACCACCTTCAACACCTACCTCTCTCCTAAGTCTGCCTGTATCCAGTATGTCGACGTGTTTGAACAATTCCGCTAGAAGCCAATGCAGCGAATGATGGAAACTGACCCATCCTTCCAATACGTCGAACTTTATAATCTGGTAGATTGCACCGCCGAAGAATATTTTGTGAAACTGGACTTTGCCGTTCCCAAACCCATTAGTCCCAAATTTCTCCTCAGTACAGACCATTAGTATGTGATGAACTACTGTTTGAATAGCGGCAACCAGCTCTCCAGCACCAGGGCCCGAGCTAGAACTTTCACCAGTAGCGTCTGTTCCTCGACTGACGCCGAAGGCTGCACCATACGCCTTTATAACTCTTCCTAGACTCAACGTCACATTAAAGACACTAATCCACGCATCTCCCTCGAACTCAACATGACCCCCGACCATACGTTTGTTCGGATTGACACCCATGAACAGTTGGCAAGTTTTGGCGAATTGGGATATGTATAGATGTGGATTAGACGCTATGAGTCTTTGTACGGGTGCATTGGAAATGAGATATCGCAGGTCGGAGAAAACGGGCATAAAGCGTTTGGATTTGAATGGGAAGGATTCGGGGTCGAGAGTTTGTTCAAGTAAGCCTTGGGCGGAGGAGCTACTTGAGTTCATTGGATTGGAAGGTGGGTACACGATATGTTTATCGATGATCTGGTTCGTGAAGAAGGACGTGATGATAGCGAGAAGACGCGTGATGAGCTTGTGATGGCGCACAATGTGAGAGGCGACGGAGGGAACGGTGAAAAGCTGGAGGGCGAAGTATTTAATAGATGTTTCGGCTTCACGGTCGACGAGCAGATAAGCGTCGATGACACGGTGATAAACTCGAGCAAAGTGACCAGCTATAGTAGGACTGAGAAAAAGTGGATGAAAACAGAATTTTATAAACGTACCAACAGCCAACTTATGGTCTCGACTAATAGTTAAGACCGAAGTATATATCTCCTTCAAGCTGAGGCGAGGCCTCTTCCACAGCCTTGTATGCGAAAGGAATAGATGATCTAGTCGTGTGGGATTGGGAACATCTGTAAGGGAATGAAGACTTTGCGCGCTGTAGCCATACGAACTATGATTGTCCCTCTTTCTCGGCGAAAGTAATTCCTCAGCAATCACCTCCCTCATCACCAGAGTATCCGTCCCCAACCGGCTCTGAGTAAGATCCAACAGCCACTCAATGATGACAGAAGCCACTTGTTCTCGGAACGTGTCATATGCACGACGCATTGTAACGCCTAAATCAATCTGAGAGATGCTCTGGGCAATTTCCAGTAGACGGGGAACTTCAGTCCCCATTTCGACCAAATCCCTCCCATTTTCATCAATTCGATGAGCGGATTCAGACGCTTCCTCCTTAGTACGTCCGGTTAGATCGCATAAAAGTTTGATGACCTCGTCGAAAGAATGTTTATCGTCGTTCCAGATCATAATACAGTACTGGTCTTTCATCATCGGATCGGCGGAGGGTTGTAGTCGCAAATCTGCTTCATTGGAAGGCACTGATGGATCGTCCGGAGAAAAATCGAGGGTGTCAAGGATGAAATCGAGAGCATATCCGACAGTGCGGTTCATGAGCTCGCGTAATTCTGGAGGAACAGATACCCGGTAAGGGTAATGTTTTACGGGTTGTGGAATAGCACTGGACAAATGTTTCGGAGCTGATCTAGGCGTGTCGGTAGCTGAAGAGGATGGGACGGAGGATTCTGCCACCAAGGCAGCTGGAGGATGGTATGGACATTGTATAGAGGTGCGCCATGCTTCGTCGTCACCACAATCGCAGCATCCTCCTGACTGCTGGGCGATGAAGAAGCTTACATTGTGGTCTGTATGATCAGTGGCATGAAAACACCTTGAACATAACACACAACTGTCGTCTAACGCACAATCCCTGTTTCAACACATCAGATTGGTTTATGAGGTAGGACATAGTCCGACTCACTTGCATCGGAAGCAAGGTTCGCCTTTTTTCAGGATATGCGCACAAGGTCTTCCAGGAATCATCGGCGCTTCCTTTCCAGCACCACAAAAGCCCAATTTGACCTGAACTTCACTCAACATCGCATTCAACGGTAAGCTCGAGTTCGAGTTTGGCAGAAAGACATGGGCATAAGGGCCCCAGAAGGAATCGTATAGCTCTGATAGTATTTCTGCGCGAGTAGCAGATGTAAAAGTGTACTTTCTTGACCCAGGCATGGTTTCCAAAACGTATCGCAAATGAGAGAGGGGGTCCGAGCTTCGGTCGCGGGGATTCATTGACGATGGGAGGAACAATTTAGAAGGGAAAAAGGAAGACAAAGACATTATGAATGGCGCAACAGCAAAAGGCGGGACTGCGATGAGGGCCGGATTACTATGAGCGCTAATCTAAGCGCTAACCTTGTATTCGAACTTCACAATGGCGAGTGAATGCTGTTTCTGCCTTTCAGCTTTGAAAGAACCTGTTTGTATTCCTTGCGGTTAGTGTATTAATGGATGAATCTCCGCGTTGCAGTTTACCACTGCTGTCTTTCTTCCAGTTCTCTTATCACATATTCTATTCACATTTACCTTTTTAGGACACATATTCTGCTCGCTATGCATATCTTCTCATGTTGCGGCGTCCTGTAAGCGCGATACTACTCCTTGCCCAACTTGTCGCGCGCCATTCGAGATTGGTATGTTTTTTTCAACTTGTTGTGATAGGCGAGCCGAAGCTCATTTTATATCTTTAGTGACTCCTGAAGTTCGCTGCTACAGTTTTCATTGATAAAAAATCAGAATCTAACCCATTTAGCACAGCTCGCGACTGTTCCGAAACATGTGCGGCGATACATCAATCCCGGCGTTCGACGCGTTTTCCTCGAGACGCCTGATTCAGAAACGTTGCGACAGCGGCTATCAGCCACTGAAGTCCAGATTAAAAGACTCAAGAAGGAATCGGACAAACTGCGCGCGTCAAGCGAATCGAAGAAAAGGAGATTCGACCAGGCGAAAAACGATTGGAAGGAGAAAAATGACCAGCTGTTGGCCAAGTACACGTGTAAAAAGCGCAAACTGGACGATGCAATGAGTGCCCTTCAGGAGATGAAAGAAAGACTTGACGCTTCCCATGCAGCGAATGTACAGAAGACTGCTGCACTTGCACAGCTTGCCAAGATTGAAAATGTATGGCAGAAACAGTTCTTGACGCTCAAGGCAGAAGTGGACGAGCAAAGCGATAGGTCAACTTTTGAAGCTAGGAGGGCTGAGGCGAGGGAAGAGGCTGCTGCGTCTGAGTATCACTCCGATCTTACGTTAATAAAGGAGAGGGAACGTCTTGCTAGAGAGGATGCTTTACGTTGGAAGGCTAGGTATGAAGCTCTAGTTGCGAAGTGGGTGTATCAACTTCTTCATGGATAACCCTCTTTCACTGACCAGGAATCAAATTTGAAGACACAGCCAGCAGTGTGAATGAAAATGTTTCTTGTCAGTTTACTACTAGTGCACTATTCAATGGATAACCTACAGCAGCCTACAGCTCAACATGCCTATCAAAGACGAAGTACATACATACTTGGTCAATCTTTCGTACTTTGCTCCTATTATTCGTATCGACAACATAAACACATAATCTTCCTACTATAATGATTTGTAGTTCCTTGGTTTGTTGTACATAGTAATTCATGGTCTTCCTGACAGTCCAAGGCCAATGGCCAAGGCAAAAATGTGATCGCGTCACGCCCGTCACCCTTTCATTGGCATCGGCAATCCAGCGGGGGCTTTTTAAAAGTCCGAAGCTTTCCGTCGGAGTCCGGACAGTCACGACCCCACCGTCTCAAAACTGATGTCACCTTCGCCTCGGCGAACTTCCTCAGCACTGACTTGAAGACCAACATCTCTATACAAGTTGGATCTCAAGCTGTGGACTCATGGCGGCTGAATTTCCCCCTCCACAGCATACACTGTTGAGTCCTGGTCTGGTCTCATCATATAATATTTCGTTCAACCTCACCTCATTGTTTACCTATCCCTCGAGATTCCTAGCGAGACTCATTAACAAAGGGGATCTTGACTCTGCCAGTGCTGGATTAATGGATGCGACTACGACATCTTGGATTGATTCTTCCGAGACATTATCAATGGCAGCGTCGGCAGCGACGAGTACAAGTACCAGAGCAGCGAAAACAGCAACAGCGGTAGCATCGACAAATGCTTTCCCTGCCCCGTGGGGCTTCTTCTCGAGTGGTTATATGTGTGGATTGCTGATCATGGTCTGTGACAAGTATTCGATATTTCTCTCTGAATTCATCAGACGAAATATTGTATACAGGGCGTTCTAATGCACCGAATAGACAACATCTTCGTTCCTACTATGCCTACCACCTTTGGTCATCACCATCCCTCTCACAACAGCCACCCTAATCGCAGTTCTTATACCGGTTCACTCCTCAACCGTTTCCTCCCGATAGATATCAATCGCACATCGACTCGTCTGGCGATACACCTGCCAACAATATATTTGATGTGTAGGGTATTACTTCTTTGGGGTATTATGCTGTTACAGACAGCTCAGCTGTTTCCTTGGACGACACACCTGCACTCACTCGCTGAATCGGACTCAGGTAATTTCAGTCAGAACGTGTTAAACATCCTGTACCGATTAGGCAAATGGACCGCGTCATGGGAGACTGGGGATGTTTGTTGGCACACGTTCTGTGCCATCTGTGCTGCATTCTGCGTCGAAGGGTTTGTGAAAGGATTAGATGGTAATGGGTTTGGGCTTGGCTTCGCGGAGCATATGCAGGCGAACACTAGTCCATTCAATCTGGTAAGCTGTCCATCCACTCGCCCGATCTTAACCTTAACATGAGCTTATGTGCATAGGTTGGCTACGCCTTCCTACTACACATATATTCCTCCCCGCTCACCCATGCTTTCAAAGCGCACAAGCCCGATTATAATACATCTGATGTGGAGCCACTGCCCTCTAGACCCGACACGCATGTTCTCATTACACTTGCCATCCCTCTCCTCCAGTTGACACTATTTCACCTTCTCTCTGTACGAAAGCGATGGTCAAGACATCGGTTGTTGCCGACTGCGTTAGCTTCGATGCTTTCATTGATGCATTTCCATGTTACGCTCATTAAGTTCATGATGAGCACTCCCTCATCATCGCTTCCCTCAACTCTATCCCCAACATACACCGAGCCCATCACAACCCCATCGAGCTCATATACCCTGCATGCAACTCCGAGTCCTAATACTATATCGGCATACACTTACACTCCTCACCACACAACGCATGGCTACCCCATTTTAAACTATATCCCCAACATCTTCGAGACTCTTCTTATCTCCACAATCATTCTAACTATATTTCTCAATAGCCTTACACAGCTGTTGATGACGGGGAGGGTTGACAAGCCGCTTCTAGGTCTCGGAGTCAGTTCTATCAAGAATTTAGACGAGTGGAAAAGTATGATTCCATGGGAAGAAGATTTTGGCGTTGTCCTTCTTAGAGTTGGGACAGCGAGTTTGGAAGCGACCGGCTTGAGAGGGTGGGGGAATGAGGTTGGAGGTGTCGTGGCTTCTTCGCTGCCTGGTACTAGTGACGACGAATCCAGGAAATATGGCCGTGTTCGCCTGACACGAATGGGTGTCGTTGGGGTCACTCCCGGTAGTGTCTCACAAACTCATGATAAACTAGGACACGGTAAGATACCAAACGGCAAAGGAAGAGGGAAACCAAAGTTTTTGAAAGGATGGCATAACGAAGTCCGAGACGTTGATCTCGGTTCCCCTCCTTCCTCTTCAGGATCCAGAAGACAATGGGGGGTCAACGGCATTCTAACGCTTAACGCGCAGTGGTTCATTGAATTAGGCAGGTTCGTGAGGAGTGTGTGGGGTTCGATGTTGGGAGCGGTGAATGCGGGATTCACAATTGGTTGGGAGATGTTGAGAGGAAGAGGTTCCTACGGGAACGCCCGCCGAAGGGTACAAGATAAAGCACAGGATCGGCGTGATACGGGACATTCAGGGGAAGAGAACGAAGGCGAATCTGAGTCGGAGGATGAGGATGAGGTCGAAAAATTGTATCGGAAATTTGTTCGTGGAGAATCAGTATCCTTTGGCTCGGATGAGGAGCAAGATCAAGATTATAATATGTCTGATACCGACCAAGCTGACGAGGAAGAAGAGTCCGAATCTCAGGAGGAATTTGAAGAAACATCACATCTCTATGCGGATTTATCAAACCGGGAGTCCACCCCAGGTGCAAGTACTACCACCTCGACTATGATCGCACACATGTCTTATACAGGGTCGAGTCCACTCACAAGGAAAAAATATGCATCATTGCTCAAAGGTCCTCATGGAAGCAATGAGCCGAGTCCTTTCAATGACGGAGGCAACGGAGGGGGACGCAGTGGTGATGCGTTGGTCAAGGATGACCTTCAAGGTAATCGAATCAGTGACAGTTCCGCTAGTGGTGTCGCGAGTGGCGATTCCGGCGACACTAGAAGAAACTGCGTGATATGTACGATTGAACCCAGAGTGATCATTTGCTGGCCCTGTCGGTACGTTCTTTACTTTATCTCTATCTCTTCCCTCCTGATGGAATCCACACCAATATACCTATAATTCAATCTAATCACCCATTCCATCTAACTATCCATAGGTGTCTCGCAATGTGCGATTCATGCAGAGAAAGCCTCGCTGCCCGCTCTTCGGCATCAAAGCATAGATGTCCATGCTGCAGGAGAGGGTGAGTTCTTTTGTCAATTTGACATATGCATTTGAACTTTTCGTTGATTTTGTTTCATTCTTTATTTTTGGTGGTAGGGTTGAAGGATATTCAAGGATTTTTATCCCGTAAGATGTAGTATAAAGATTTGGGTATGTAAAGTGTGCTAGTGTAAGATATGTACATCTGCAATCTGCTGTATTTATGCATGTCCTGGTTTAGGTGAAGGAACCAACCATAGTTCAACAAAGAATGCCTTGAACATAACTCAAAGTTACGTCCCTAGTTAAAAGGATGTATTTTTGGTTGCCAACATAAGGAGGGTCCACAAGTTACAACAGTAGGAGCCTCAGGGGAGTGAGGGGGAGTGGACGAGAATATGTCAGGTGACGTGACACCGCGTTATATCATCTAAGGCCCGGCGCCGAAGGCTAAAGTATCAAGCTCTTTGACGAAACATTTCCGTTTGAATACCGTCCAGGTCTTCCAAATTCCGTATGTCTTCCGAGGGATCCGAAAGTGACGACACTGTATGAGACCGGCGGTTTCCTCGCTGCGTTATAATAAGGAATATCGACTTTGGACTGCGAATTATCCTTGTTCCTTCTCATCAAGATGAAGAAAAGCATTGTACCCGACCGTTCTATCCAAATTTGTGCCGACAGAGGTGGTACTTTCTGTGATGTACATGCGTACGTCTTTGGGTTCTCTTGCTTGAATTTCTCTTCTTGATGTCTATACCAGATCTTATCCGGATCCTGAAAACTCAGAAAAGAGGAAGGAGATTGTTGTTAAATTGTGTATGGCCCTCGTTCAGATACGACATGTTCATGATTGAACTTTGCGATAGTGTCTCAGGATCCATCAAACTACTCTGATGCACCAACTGAAGGTATCCGACGTGTACTCGAAATCGTGACTGGAGAAAGCATTCCGAGAAATGTTGTGTTGAATACAGACAAAATAGGTATGTCTAAACGGTGTGTTTTTGAGAACCCAGATATATTTATACTGAATGCACTTGTAGATTACATTCGTCTATCAACAACCGTCGCCACCAACGCACTCTTGGAACGCAAAGGCCACAAACACGCTTTGTTAATCACGAAAGGTTTCAAAGATCTTCTGCTTATCGGTAATCAGTCTCGACCAAAGATCTTTGATCTAAATATCCGCCGACCTCCTCCATTATATACAAAAGTTGTAGAGGTCGACGAACGGGTGACCCTAGTAGGATACACATCCGATCCGCAAGCGGAAGAGCATGCGGTTCAATTTGATGAAAACGGAAAAGTCAAACGAGGTTATCGTGGGATGGGATGGGATGGTGAAGGTGACGCTGAAGGCCCAGGAGAAATTGTACAGGGCATTTCTGGAGAAGCTGTCAGAATTATTAAAAAGCCAGGTGCGTACTTTGTCCAACTTGCGTAAATTCAATCTGTGCTTAGTAAAATATACAGATGCGGATGTTCTCAGAAAAGATCTTCAAGCGCTATATGATGAAGGTTACCGCTCCATCGCAATCGTTCTGGTTCATTCGTACACGTACCCAGAACATGAACGCTTCGTTGGATCCATTGCCCGCTCGATAGGCTTTGAACACGTTTCTGAATCTGCACAACTCCTACCTATGATAAAGATGGTTCCTCGTGGCGTCTCGTCTACCGCAGATGCTTACCTTACACCAATATTGCGAGACTATCTCAACGGTTTTTTCAGTGGATTTGATGAGAAGCTGAAAGATGGAAGGTTGAAAAGTCCAAGGGTGGAATTCATGGGGAGTGACGGCGGTTTGGTTGACTATCAATGGTTTTCAGGACTGAAGAGCATATTGAGCGGACCCGCAGGTGGGGTGGTAGGCTACGCGTTAACAAGCTGGGACGAGACGAGGAAGAGACCTATCATTGGGCATGTTTCTTCCTCCACCCGTTGAATGATAGTTTCTAATGTTGACGCCCTCCCAGTTTCGACGTTGGCGGAACATCAACCGACGTCTCTCGTTTTGCCGGACGATACGAGGTTGTATATGAAACTTCTACTGCAGGAGTTACCATCCAGAGTCCACAGGTTCGTATTAGCACCAGCTCAATGACCAGCCTTCCCGCTAAACATGAATTACAAACAGTTGGATATCAACACTGTCGCTTCCGGTGGTGGCTCCTGCCTACAATTCCGAAACGGACTTTTCGTCACCGGACCTGAGAGTGCAGGAGCTCAACCCGGTCCTGCCTGTTATCGCAAAGGCGGTCCTCTCGCTGTTACTGACGCAAATTTGCTTCTGGGACGTATCATACCGGACTATTTCCCCAAAATTTTTGGCAAGAGCGAGAAGGAGCCGTTGGATGTGGATGCTTCTCGGGTTTTGTTTGAAAAAGTGGTGGATGAGGTGAATGCTTCTGGAAGTTCAACGGGGACAGATGCGGATGCGGGGTCAAGGAAGAAGTTAAGCATGGATGAAGTTGTTTATGGGTAAGTGGCTGTTGTTAACACTGTTGGCATACGTTAGCCCCTGACGATTATAGGTTCATCAAAGTCGCGAATGAGACAATGTGCCGCCCTATACGAGCATTAACGGAGGCTAGAGGATATGCGACGTCGAAGCATATGTAAATTTCTTGAATCCTTGTGATTTTTTGAATCAAAGGCTGATAGTAACCAATGATAGTCTAGCATCCTTCGGGGGCGCAGGCGGTCAACACGCTTGTGAAATTGCGAAATTACTGGGGATCAACACCATCCTGATACATCGCTATAGTTCTATACTATCAGCTTATGGGCTAGCGTTGGCCGATCGGTATGTTTTTGGGTCATTGGAAAAGTCGCCTTCGTTCTATGTCGTTTTTTTCAGAGCGTACGAGGTCCAAGAACCCTCATCGACATTTTACACCCCTCAAAACCGTCCGTTGTTGATTTACCGCATGGATAAAATAGAGACAGATGTACGAGAGGAACTGAAGAAACAGGGATTCGAAGGGAACAGAGTGCACGTGGAGAGAATGCTGAACATGCGATTTGAGGGAACGGATACCTCGTTGATGGTTCTTCCGGATCCAAACGAGAGATTAGAGGGAGAGGATGGCGGAGATGGAGGGGAAGATTTCTTGAAGGCTTTCAGGAGAGTGTATAAGGCCGAGTTCGGATTCCTGTTAGAGGGAAAGACAATCATTGTCGATGATATCAAGGTCGGTTCGAATTTTTCAATCCTCACGTATCTGCAACAGATTTATCGTTCAACAGGTACGAGGAATTGGCAAGACGTTTGACACTCTAGGAGAGTCTGTCTACAATGAGGTAGAAAAATTACAATCCTCAAACGCCATCAAAGCTGTGAACTCTTTCGATCCGTCATTGTCACCGGTGAAACCAGACAAAGCCGACGCGACGTGGAGCGTGTATTTTGACGAGCCTGTTGGCAGAGTGGATAATACACCTGTATTCCAACTAGAGAAGTTGGAGATTGGAGATGAGGTTCATGGACCTGCGATGATCATTGATGATACACAGACTATTGTGGTCATCCCAGGAGCGAGAGCTTTATTGACCAGCAAGCATTTGTATATCACCCTCCAGTAGAAGCCGTATATGTATAGTACTTCTGAGACTGTATTGTTTCCGTGTCAATGACGCTTAAAGTCGGAATTTGATTGCGCGTACAACGTGATTAGGCATCGTGGAACAAACGCGCCTCTTTCCCTTCCTTCTCCACCAGTGTCCAACTTCTATTTCTTACAATGGCAGGCCAATGTACTATCTGTCTCTCAAATATGAACGATCCGGTCTGTATACCTTGTGGTGAGTAACTGCAAGTGCCACTGGATGTTGACACCTGAGAACTAAGCGCATGCAACGAAGGTCACCTCTATTGCTCTCAGTGCCTCTTGGATTGTATCTCATCTTCTAGTGAAGACGGCTACAATGCTCTTTGCCCCACCTGCCGTGCTTCGTTCCCGATAGGTTCGTTTTACAGTTGTTGCAAGATTATCACCTAACTTTTGTTACAGTCAGCCCGGAGGTTTGCAAACAATTCTTCCAACATCGGGGAAACGAACTTACCAGTGTACCATTCATATAGCTGACGTGCCTTCCTAAATATGTACATCGCTATATCACGCCCAGCATTCGACGCGTCTACCTCGACACCAGCGCTGTTCAAACCCTTCAACAAAAGCTTACGGCTTCACAGAACCAAGTTAAGAATCTCAAGAAGGAGAGCGAACGACTGATGTCGTTCTGCGAAAAATATCAGAATGCCTCGAACGTACATGCTGATGGAGAAGCGAAGGCGAATCTAGAAGTCGAACGCTTAACACGGTTGCTTCGTGAACAGAAGCTTGCGACACAAGAAGCAAGGGAGGAGGTATCGGAGTGGAGAGAGAAGCACGAAGATTTGAAGGAGCAGCTAGAGCAGAGACAGAAGTAAACATATTGTTTCTTGTTACTGAAAGCTGGCTCATATTGTGACTGTAGGAAATCTTCTCGCAAACGCACATCCAATGGCCGGGATCGTCCACAGAACAACGACGAATCACCGGATGTAACGCCTCCAACAACCCCGCGTCGTCGCGTTATTCGTGATCTTCCCAATCGACCAAATAAAAAGCTCAAGCCTATACCATCGCCTGAGAGAGACTTCAAAAACCCACCATCTAGACTTTCCGCCTGGCTATTCGTGTCAGATTCAGAGTGAAAGACTCATCTACATACTTGTCTTGGTTGTTCGTATCATACATCCCGTCTTCAGTCAGTTTTGTGTATAATTAAGGAAAATTACAGTTAGGTATGTAGGAATGAAAGTAGACCATTGTAACCATTGTGTACCACTATACAAGGGAAGGTTTCCATAGCACATCAGCGCCCGGAGGGGAGGCGACCTTTTCCATCGTATAGAACGCTCCAAGAACAAAAAAAATTAGGATGACCACCGCAGGACTCGAACCTGCAACCTTTTGGTACGCCCAGCAATCGAAGCCAAACGCGCTACCATTGCGCCAGGTAGCCATGAAATGTGGTTGGGTAGAAAAGGTCAGATCCACACGTGATAGCGTGCCACCCACCATACATTTTGACATCCATTACCAGAGTCCAACATTCCACTTTGTTCAATTTGTACCCATTATGCCCAAGCCGGATCCAAAAATCATCAGGGACATGACGAGAAAGATGGTTCTTGATGCTGGAAAGAATGGGACGCTGAGGTTCATTAGAAAACTTGACAGCCAAGTCCTTAGGAAGTATTGAGTTGTTGTTTTCTTATAGTGAATTAACACCAAGGACCATCCGTGAAAGACTCGAGAACGATCTTGGATTGGAAGATCACGCGTTAAAGCCATTGAAGGACGTGATAAAAGATGCTATCACCAAGGCATTGGTATGTGTTCCTATCGGGGATCCATGAAAGGCATTCACATATCAAACTCATGTTGGGTGTAGGATAACGAGGATGTCGATGAAAATGAAGAAGAGAAAGAGGAACAGAAGAATCTGGAGGCCGAAGTGGAAGTGAAGAAGCCTACTGCGAAGGAAAAGAAGAAGAAAGCTGAAGGAAAACCTGCGGCAAAGAAATCCTCAAACAAACCACTAAGAAGTGAATTGTCGTCGCCCGAAGCCCCCACCAAAGGGAAGAAACGTAAATCAGAAGCAGCGGAGGGAGCTGGTTCTTCGAAAACCAAAAAGCCACGCGTGTCCAGCGACGCGAAATCCAAGGATAAAAAAGCTTTCGCGTCTGCGGTGCGTATTTTACACGCGTATCTGCGCGTGATTGTCTATCTAATACTCGTTCAGGCCGTCGTACCTCCATCGTCGGATTTTGAGGACAATATACCAGCCAAACCGACCAAAGACAATTTGTTCTCCGCAGATGTTTGTTTTGTTTTACACGTATCCCTTTTCGAAGCTGAAATTGTAGTTCCTTATACAGGAAACCACCCCGAAGAAACCGCTATTACCGGACGATCTGAAAGTCGTTGCAAGCTCCAATAAACCTCTCGCGATAGAACCAGAAGAACAACCGGACAAAAGCGAATCTGAACTCTCAGTACTGATAGATGAGCCTCCGAAGCGCAAGAAGAAGGGGAAAGCAAAAGAAGTGATGTTTTGACGCGTCTCCTCACACTTCATGCTAAATAATATCTGAACAGCCTTCCGAAGCCAATGAAACTAAAGAGAGAAAGAAAAGAGGAGCTGCAAGTGCTACTTTGAGTAAAGACGAAGAAACAATCAAAAGGCTGAAGGTGCTTGACCGCATTCTCTTACCAGGATGTATCCACTGAGTACGATTGATTCCAGAGCCTAATCAATGCCTGTGGTGTCAGAAAAGTGTGGTCTAAGGTGTTCAAAGATATTAGTGACAGCCCCTCCAGACAAATTGCACTCCTACGGAAAATGCTGGCGGATTTGGGCATGACTGGCCGCCTAAGCATGGACCAAGCGAAATCTATCAAAGAGAAGAGGGAGCTTGCTTCGGAGCTAGGTGTGTACGATGACGGTTTTATATATTAAACTAACGTCGATGATCTGAATTACTACTGATGCTTGCGTCCTAGCTGATGTTCAATCCTTCGAGCAAACCATTAAGAATCAATCCTCTCGACGTTCTCGGTCTGCCGCTACTAAGGAAGAATCTGCGGAAGCTGAATCAGAGAAAGCTTCAGACGAAGAGGAGAATGTTCGTCCTGTCAAGCGCAAGGTATGGACTCAACCGTCCTTAGACCGTTGTTCTAGCAGCTCATCCCCTGACAGTCGAATGCTCGCCAGAGTATTATGGCCTTTCTGGAGAATCAGAGCGATTCAGAATGATCGATGCAGGTTCGAACAATAGTCATTATTTGTTGTCACTTTATGTTCTGCCCATCGGACATTGAGTTACTATCCTATCTGATTCGTCTTGGTCGCTTTACTTGGACTCTTTACATAGGAATCTGCGTTATTCCTGCTGGTCGAAGATCCCTCTGCTCATTGTAATCTGGACCTTGATAATCTTCAAATTTCAACGCAGTAGCAAAGATTCCATCCGAAATCACTTCCAGGCCAGTGATTGAGGCTCCCTCTGCATCGAGGGACCACAGAGACAATGCAAGCGTATTGGTGGAATTGCGGAAAAGGATTCTATGTTTTTAGTTGTGAGTATGCCGAGAAACATGTTGAGTACTTTACAACTCACCCGGCGGGGAGGACGAACACGGTTTGCGGTCTGTGAATGGATAGGAAAATTTGTTATTTGTTGAACGCAGCAACTGGTGGCCAACACATCTCAACGCACCCAATATTGTTGATATACTTCCCAATTTGCCAACCATTGAGGTATATCTGAACCCTAAAATTGGACGTTATGGCGCTCGGTGTGAATGAAAGCCGTACAGGAACGTCGAATCCATCTGGAATATTCTATAAATCGTTGAAGTTCTAAGTTGGTATATACGTGAATGGACAAGCACACCAGTTCAAAAGATGTCCGATAAAAGTTGATTCCGGCTTGCGAAACACCAGTCAAAGGACTCCCCGTAGTCCACGTATCATCTGGGTATCCAGGCAAATGTGCGCCAATCCGTTCAGCATATAGGCCTCCTTCATTCAAGTACCCTCGAAATGTATCTGGGGCCCCCGCTGCGCCTCCCTTTCAATTCATACACGAATGGGTCTTTACACCGCTTACAGCCAGAGATTCCTCACCTGGTTGCCTTGCATTCTCCAGGAAGTAAAAGACGTGTTTCCTCCGATTAGGGAATATCCTCGGATACCTCGAGGTTCTTTACCGCCGTTAGCTGCAATATACCAGTGAGGTGACTGTTGTAAGTTTAGTGAAGACCCTTACTGCTAGTTTCCGAAAGACTGTTGTTCTCATATTGAGCGGGGGAATCAAGATATGTTTCAACCACTTACCCCATATGATCTATAACCCTTGGGTATTGGCTCGATGAAGATGGAGTAAGATTCAACAGCATCTACATACCTTGAAGGACCACCAACACATTATCTGCTCCCACTTTCAATGCACCATCTGGGAACGGCCATACATTTGTAGATAAACTGACGGTGGCGTTACCTTGGCTAGACCCGAGGAAGGCACCGTTGAGCCACGCCGAGTACCCGCCCGCAAACCCATATTGCACTGTTAAATTTACAGCAGTTTCGTCCCCTGTAGCGTTGAAGTGGCCCCGGAAAATGATGTTGCCTCCATAAAATCTATAAATCGCGACTCGATCATAAGGAAGAGAACAAGCAGTCTGCCATTCGAATCATACCCGTATTGTTGTGCATAAAGGACCTGACTTCCGGCCAGAGGCGGTAGATTAGTGTACTACATCAAAAGCAGTGAGGTCTTCAACAAAAATAAAACGAAGGGATTTCGTACGTTTGTCTGCGTCTGATCCGCTAGAGTAAAATTGGAGTCGTCAAAGCGAGGATCGATTTCGGGTAGACTGTAGGAGAGTTAGAGCGTTATAATGGAGGTCCGTGGCGCGATGTACCTTCCAGTAACCTTCCAGCTATTTAACGCAGGTAGAATAAGCTGAAGTGGTTCCACGACGACGGTTGCCGTTAAAGTACCACGGACAGTTTTCTGAACTGGCACGTCCGCGCCATTCCACGATAATCTAGAAATTGAATTTGGCACTACGAACTCGATAGCCGTAGTTCCGTTGAGGTCTCCATTCTATGAAATATTCAGCAGCCTTGTCCTCGTGAGTGTTGTAGATTTATGAATCTACTCACCAGGGATAGCGTATCACCTGTGATACTAGCATTCCTGACGACATAGGGACCACTGACGAGAATCCTACAACAGAAATGTGAGCACCATATTTATTAACACCCAGTTGACTGACGTCTCATTACTTCCTATAGAGAAGTAATTCCTGAATTCTCCATTTCCTGGTAGTACAGGAGCATGCCATTGATTGGCAACGGTTTTATCCACGATAATTGCTACTAGTGTCAGATTGCCATGCTTAATCGTTACGAACTGTGATCCATCCAAGAGATACTGAAGGGTGAGGGTTCCATTTGAGAAGGTCGAATTGACATTTGACGCGTTGTTCACATCAACGGTCGGTTCAGAATCAAATACGAATACCGTTTCTCCTGATTGCGTTGGTGGAGCATACAAGATGATGTAGTCAATTTCATCGACGCTGGAGTTCTCATCCTGTCAGCAAAGGCTTCGACATTACATTGACAGTCCTACTCACGTAGACCAGGTCATGATTCTGCCAATGCATACGCGTATTGGAGGAGGGAAGTGATAAAGGATTTCAACAGAGCACTCACTCAGCGGTCGAGTATAATATCACTATTTGATTCGCACCGAAGACATAATCCGTCACCAGTATCTTGCTTTCTCGTCCGTTAAATGTGATTCCTCCTCCAAATTGAGGGACAGTAAGAGTACCATGCGTGGTGTCCACGGTCAGCTGAGTGGAAACCAGGGCTGTAGATCTGGACATCCGTCGCTCATCAATAAAGATCTACCGGTACCATCAAATTCAAAAATCTTACGGGGAGTCGTTTTGTCGAAGAAAATAGAAACCAGCCCCCGTATCCAAATTCCGCATCTCGTATGTATGCATCAGAGCAGACGTTGTGTAGTTAGTCCCATTTCCAAGCGAGACCGCGCCAAAGAGATCGCGGGAAACGCGAAGGAACAATCCTTTGGATATCGAAGTAAGAATACATGAGAAGAAGTCTGAAGGTACGTTGCAAACGCACCTTGGAGTCTCATTTCGTTCATTTTTGGACCCGCTATCCGATTTTCGTTGATGCCTACCGAACTTTCGTTGAGAACACGGCAAATGAGAGGACAACTTGCAAAATATTACCTCCGCCGTAGTCGTATGAAGTATAAGCGACAGGTGCGGCCGTCTGACCCCAATTCGTCCCACCATAAAGCACTGCATAAAACTTGTGAGCATTTCGACCCAGCTTCGTCCTACTAAAAGGTTGTCATTCACTATAAATATCTGAAGATTTCAATGTAAATGAACAGCCCGAGACATTTAGAAAGTATACACTGGACTGACTAAAAATTTTAGCAGTTTGAGCACTGAAAGGAGGGATAGTATATATTTCATTAGCTTATAGCGAATGTTGATCTTGTCGACGACGAACTATGCATCTTTATAAAAGACGTTCTCTGACATATTTTTCGTTAGTCTCCAAAGTTCTTTCACGCCGCAAACTCCGACGTACCGTAGTTTGCGTCAGTCAAGTCCGTAGCTAACAGGGAGTGTGTGTCAGCGTCGAAGCTTTTGATCCCATAAAAAGATCACCAACAGTATTTCTCATAGCCTGTTCCTCCCAAGGGCTCCGAGCCCCAGTTCAAAAGAAAACCTCCGCCGAACTGCGGGTTTTCGTATAGTTGTCGACAAAATCTTCATCAATAGTACCACTAACCTCTGCAAGGCATAACGGGTTACTGAACGCCACAGCCTCGTGGAATGGGTAGTAGACAGACTGCACTTGAGCCCAACTATTAGATCCTTGAGGATAAGAGTCACCACTATATGTATTGGTTTTGTTCTTAGGGTGGAGCAAACCGGATCAAACAATGAGTGAAGAGCACCAGTATATGTTCACTTGGCCTGGTCCAGGCAAATCCGGTGAAAAGTTACTGCAAAACCGTCAACTCGGATATGAGGAACTTCTGACCATTACATACCCATTCTCCCCACTGTGTTGATCATTGTGAGTTATTGCTACGACATTCGTCAGCCGCTGAAGCGAGGGAGGAAGGAGCGTTCCTACGAATAACAACCCCATTCGCCCTGTGAGTGTCAATCACAGCCTGCATGTAAGGACTATTGACTGAGCTCGCACTAAACTCATTCTCGGCTTGAACGAGGATGACTACAACCGGTGAGTTTTTTATCTAGGAAGTCGATGAAAATACGTACTAGGGCCACCTTCGGTGACTTGATTTCTCGATATCAGTTGGGCAATGGTATTCAAATAGGACATCCAAGCTAGAACACAAAAATCACGAAAACATGCAATACAGTAGAATAACGACCGCACCAGCGGTGTAATTGGTGTTGTCCGTTCTGAGACTACCTCCGATGTTTTCGACCCATCCTGGAAATCCACCACCTGTAGTCTCCCCGTCTTCAGCTGGTAAGCAAACTGAGATTAAATACATTGTTTATACGACTTACTTATATAGGGCCCAGGTCTGTGGTCGGATGTAATGATAAATCGACAAAATTGTACGATATTTCCCATACCTCGCTATCAACCACAACCCAGCTGCTTGAACTGCATCAAAAAACATCTGGATATCACGATAGGTCCCGGCTTGGAAATCTCCTTGTCCGTTGTTGGTGTCTGGAGACGGATAGTGAAGAGCCCAGCTTATGTAGGCGGAAACGGCGTTGAAGCCATTGGCTTTCACTTTCTGGAAAAGATCAGACCAGAGATTAGGATTACCAGGAAGGCGCCACGGATGGATTTCAGCGGAGAGGACAAAGACTCGTTGGCCGAAAATCGAGACCGACTGAGGATCCCAAGTTACAGCGTCGGTCAGACCGGTACTGTTTCTGCGGAAAAGAGTTGCGTCTCCGATATTGAGGTTTGCCCAGGACGTGGCGACGAGTAACAGGAGGGACAACAGATGATATGGCTTCATAGCTCACAATTCTCCGAGGATTGCAGTCCTTTATAAAGGTTTGACCTTCCACCTGACAAACAGAAGCAGCAGGTCAAGCAGAGTTGAAAACGGTCCGACCGTCCCCTGCACCTTACGTTCAGCATTCGGAACCAATATATTCATTTCCTGCAAATGTAATTTTATTGATACAATATTCTGAACGATGTTGCTATGCTTTGCCTGTGGATGGGAAAAATCTTACACCTTCACCATCGGCAATAGCTATCATTTGCGCCCGATTAGTCTTAGATAGTATAGTGATAGCTTGTCGCAGAAGGGGAATAGGTAGTCCAGATAACGGTGATTCAATCGGAGGGTCCGTGATCTCGTAGAAAGTCATTATTGTATTCAGGTGTCCGGTTGATGATACCTGTGGAATGGTAATCAGGCTGAAGGTGAAATAATGATCCCAGTGTGATGGACGCACCCATTCGTGTAGGACTTCTGCCCATTCCTCAGGCAAGCGCCAGTATATCAGAACCGACCTATCTTGCTTCGGAGGCTCATACGCTGCAAGTTTCTGGGACACCATCTGCGCAAGGATGTAGGATAAGTACGAAGGAAGAACCTTTCCTGAATTCACCTTTAGCCAGGGCACACTAGAAAACAGTAGATACGCACGATTTATACGTTCGTTCCTCAACACTTCGTCCCAATCGTGTCCTGTTGTTTCCGAGTCCTCTACCCTAATCGTAAATAACCTTCTATGTCTTGAATATTTGAGGATGATTTGTATCCATTGTTCGGTAGCAATCGAGAGACTGGTAGGGTGAGGTTGTTGCCTGTTCTTATTTCAGCACCTGCACAAATTTCAAGCTCACAAGACTGACGTGAAGAAAGGCGGGGCAGAATGAATAGAAGGAAGCAAGAATCCTGTGAGGAGATGAGCGATTCGACGTCAAATATGGCATGTATCTTCACCTGTGGTGGTGGTATGGGTCGAAAGAGCCATCCAGTCATACGTCTATGTTGTTCAAGAGATGAAATAATTAGTATTCTCTCAAGTAATTATTAGAACGTATACATAATGTTGTTAAATACGTTATGACAAATGACTAGTGCTACAGTAATGCGTAGATGCAAATGTGGTAAATGATAAGAATATATAGATTCGTTGTTCTCAGGGGAGTTTTCGTCTATCGTCTGCAAGCTGCAGCATATTCCGAAGACTTCGCTCCAGTACAGGTTTTGTAAGGACACTGCGAACGTAAGTCAGGATTTTACTCCCCAGTGGAAACTATATGACAACTCACTGGTCAACCCCGGCGTCTAGGTATTCTCGCTGATCTGAAACCAGCGCATTTCCTGTAGTTCGACCCGGTTCGTAAACCCTTCAATCTTAAACTCATTGATGATAACATACCTGTGACACCGACCACAAAGTCCCGCCTCCCAAGGTCCCTCAATTTCGCGATTGCCTTCACCCCGGAAAGCACCGGCATTTGGTTATCCAAGAAAATTATGTGAAATTTAGACACCGTATCTGACGCCACAGGTTGTTCGGAATTCGAACATGACTGACTGCTACTTTCGCCATCCGAATCTGGGGAAAGTAAGATTCTCAAAGCAAGGTCACCATTTTCCGCTGTGGTGACCTCGCATCCCATCCGTTCTAGCATCCGCCTCATCAGCGTCCGTGTCAGTGCATCGTCGTCAACAACCAGAACGTGCAATGGATGACTAAAGAGCGGGTTGGACGGGGATGGTGGTGGGAATGCTCTATTCGCCAAAGGAGAAGGTGGAAGGTGTGTTGGAGAGATGGTTGGTAGAGATGAAGTCGTGGAAGTGGTCGAATCGAATGCAAGTGTTCTTGGACTTGGAAGAGGAACGTAAGTGGGCCTTGCTGAAGCGCGTCGGGAAGACTTTGAACTAGAAAGGGAATTAGATTCATTATCCATTTCAGGTTGTATTCGATGTGTAGACGCATCAGATCGACGCGATTCCTCCCGTGTCAAAACTTCCATAGGTATCTCGGTCCCTGTAGAACGATCACCAATCATTCGAGTCGGCACAGCTGTATGAGACTCATGATTTGCAAGATTAAGTTCGACACTACCGCCTGAAATAGAGCTATAGTTATATCGTTCTAGGCAAATGCGGAACTCTTACCTTGATCCATTAATCTATGTAAAGCATTATTAGACCGTAAGGTCATTGGCGAGGCCTGCGTCGCACGCTGCGCAGCTGCATCAACAGCCTCGATAATGCTGGTTTTTGACTGCGTGGAGTTGCTACGGCTTTTTGACTTGATCAACTGGCGAAGGGTATTGGATGAAAGGTTACGGGCGGGGGAGGAGAAAACATTGTTTTCGTCTGCACTCAGCATTGCCTTCACACCGATGCCCAAGGGTAATTCTACCCAAAATGTTGATCCTTCTTCGACTCGTGAGCGCACACCCAAGCGGCCTCCGCTTAATTTGACGATCAGGCGGACAAGAGCCAGCCCTAGCCCCGTTCCCTTGCCACCTGAAGAGATGGACCCGAATTGATTAACGAGAACCTGATGAGGGGAACAAATAGTCACCTTGTTGACGGCCTTGTTCAGTTTGATTGAAGGCAGCTAAGGTGACTGTCAATATCCTACAAAAGCCAACTTGGTTTCGACTTACAAAACAACTTCGATTGAGCCATATCCTGAGGCTTAATACCTGATCCGGTGTCACTTACCTCGATTCGAACTACTATTCTGGATATATTTTCGGGGTTGTTCTCTTCATCATGTTTCTCGACATTCTGCGTTGTAAGAGACTCGTCTTGGATTGAATTTTGCTCGTTCTCTTCGTTGTGCGGCAGACTTTGTGAGGAGGGAAGAATCAACCGCGTACGGATGATGACTTTTCCTCCCGCGGGGGTAAATTTACACGCATTGCTGCAAAATGAGTATATAAGCAGGATATGAGAGCATGAATTTGACTGGATCCACCTAGCAAGATTGGTGACTATTTGTCGTAACCGGGTCTCATCTCCGACAACGATGCCAAAATGACTTTCCCCACTAGGCTGCTCCTTCATGTGTTTGTCTATGGTTTCACGATCCTCACCCAAAGCTTCGTACGCAGCACGCCGGGCGACCTGCATACGACTGAGTGAAAGAAGGGATATATACACTGAGTATAACAGTACCTCGTCAATATTCATATCGAGATCCGTGACGAGCTCAAGTTTCCGGGCATCGGTAGCTAGACGGAGAGGAAGAAGCATGGAGCGCATGACATGATGGAAAGCATACGGCTGAAGAGCTAATCATAAGGCCGATGTCAATGAAAACGAGCTAAATCGACACGCACCCTCGACAAAGATTCGAATTTTCCACTATCCATCCGGTTGCTTGAAGGTGCATTTAGATGCTACACTCACAGAAACGAGACAGTTATCGGGGCTCACAAATCAAGCACATCGTTAAGTACTAGATTGATGTCAATATGGTAGGGGGCCAGCTAGAGTAGGGCATTGACCTTTGGACATCATGCTCAGACTTCCCTCCAATGCTGTAAACTCCAATTCTAAACTCTTGACGATAGTTCCCGAAGCAGACATATTTTGTACAGCAAGTACTGCAAAAATGTCAATCAACAGTTGCCATCCACGACAGTAAACGCACATACATGCAGTGTTTAAAGGAACTCGGACCTGTGCTGCCACTAAATTAGCCGAGGGTATGAAGTGCAATGGATTGCAGAAACTTATCATGGAAGACATAGCTGATGTGAATATGATGTCAGAGACGGAGAGCATGTAAAAGGAGCGAGTCGTACGAGGTTAACCTATACTTTGAATCCGCAGCCTTTCTTTCGTTGATCTGTGCCTTTTGTGTTCTCTCAAACTGTTCTTTGAGCTCGATCCGCAGTGCGAAGAGATGGCGGGCAGACTATGGACGCGTACGATGAATCTTCAGAAAGCTGGCAGGGTATCTGGACACTGACCATCTCTCGCTGGTAATGCATGTACATGAGAAATATTTGAAAGAAGCCAAAATTGACGGCGTCTGCCAAATCATGAGCGTAGGGTATACAATGGGAGCGAGTAGACGTACTTCGCATCCAGCTATTCGAGGGCGGTCTTCAGACTGGCCAACAAGGTCACGATTGATAAGAGATACATACTTGACTTTCTCTGGAATGATGAGGAATCCAGATAGCACTATAAATATGATGGCGCCAAGGAGAGCAGGAAATCTCTTAAGATCCAATCCGAATAGCGCAACAGTTTGTAAGGCAGTTGTGTAGCTGTAATGCAAAACTTTAAAAGTTTCGAAGGACTGGGAGCACAGAAGCTTACTAGAATGTTGAGGAGAAGTCTTTGGAACCACACGTGAATAGATCATTCCTTCCTGAATAGCCACAAAGGAAACCAAAAAGGACTTGGTAGTATGACCTATGGAGCAGACATAAGCAAGTTTAAAAGGGGCAAGCTTTATAGCCATACCACGACCAGGTTGAGATGAAAAGGAAACACTGATAAAATCTCGTGTGATCTCTCGGAAGGTTGAAAGCACAAAGCAGTACGAGGGGGACGGCAGCTGAAAATTGTATTTAGATGACATGTATGCAAACGGGGGAGAACGTTCGCTCACTGCAAGGCGCAAACTATAAGGTAAAGTACGAAGGTGGAAGAATAAAATTGGCATCTTGCGTCTAATCGTTAATAAATGCTGAGATAACGCACTCCGTAATAGTATATCTATAGAATTCAGATTAGTGATGATGATAGAAACTGTTGGAGCTGAGCGACGTACCTTGTCCAGCAACACTGCCGGCGTTGGAATCAAAGCAGCTCCTAAAATCCAATTACCGATGAAGAACACTGATGCCCAGAGTGAAAGACGTTTGGAATGTGCCCAGTTTTCCTTTTGGTAGTGTATCTCTTTGTTGATATCTTTAAACCTTGGATTGAAGAACTGCTGCCAGTGCGAATAGAGTGTCCAAAATACGATCAACAATGCGGGTCGTTTCATAGGATCCTGAATCCCTGGAATACTGGCCGGAGATTCAGAGCAGACTTCACCGCCATCGGATTCCGAGAGAGCTTTTGACTTCAAGGAAGTCTTCGTCGAAGCTTCATTCCATGCCCTATCCACCACAACTTCTTCTACAACTTCATCTTCGTTAACTTCTTCCACCTTTACAGCTTGATCTTCTTCCAGTGCATAACGGTTATTATCTAATGCATGCTGAATGCCTTCCAAACTCTCTCGAACAACTGTACTGGACGAGGGAGCCGCCAAAGTCTTCTGAACTCTTCGAAAGATGTTGGTAGTCTTTGAGTACAAAGCACAGTTTAGTCGAGAGACGAAGGTAAAATTTCTTCGTAGAGAAGAATCAGAAGGCTGTTTCTGGACGACAGGAATAGGGAGATCAAAGGACATAGAAGTTGTGCTGGGTTCATCAGCGTTTTGACTGCTTTTCTGCATGGAGGCCATTGCAACTTCCTCAGCCCATTTCGAAGAGGCAGAATGCGTCCACGTCGACATTAACTAGCTGATGACCAGCTCTTACGTTCTAGTGGGGGTAAAGGATTCGAGCCGTCGGAAAGTAGTATAAAGCCAAGCGGTCACGGAATCGGCCCCCGGAAAAATAATAAAGCCCCCGCCTGGGCTCCGCAGGATAGGCGAACCGTAGTACCACATAGATGACAAAGTGTATAAGTACACGACTACCACATACCTCCAGATACTAATTACACTCCAGTATTATTATATACAACATTCTGTGGTGCAGGACAATCGATAAAGTTGAATTCAATGTTCAGTCAGAAAAATCCATAATGTGCATAGCTTCAAGGAACCCGCCTCAATCGTACAGGACCCGTTTGTACTGAGACTGTAGGGCGCCCACGTTTATCCAGCGGAATTGGAAAGTTCAACGATGCTGCCTTTCTTTTAGTCGACTTTGTGGTGCTCGACATCTTCCAATCTGAGGAAAATCCTGGGCCTGGCATGCCGGAATCAAAGTTGATATCAACCTCCGGCTCGGACAGTTCGTTTGGGACCTGGGAAAGCCTAGAGGATCGGTAAGACTTGTTCCGGAAGTGTTCAGAGGGAGAGGTAGGTTGTGCAGAGGAAGAAGAAGATGAAAGGAAGGTCTATGACATATGTCAGAATGAATGCAAAGAAAAATCATTCCTCACTTTGTCAACGTAATCGTTAAATGGAAGTGTTGAAAGGGTTTCCTCTAACACAGAAGACTGTGTTTCTTCAAGAGTCTCGTTTCGCTGTTTGAGCTTTGTGATCTCATGTTTTAATGCTTGAATTTTGTCTTTCCGGGACTGAGCCTATGCAATTGGTAAGTGAAAGCCGAGGATGACTTGTTCAAGGTGGAATGCTCACAGATTTTGCATGACATTCCAATAGTCTGCGTAAATCCCGATTATCATGTTCTAATCTATTCTTCTCCTCTGTGTCGAGCTCATTTTGTCTCTTCGATGCCAAGTAATCTGCAGTCAAACTTTCTTTCACTGAAACGGCCTGTCGACCCTCCTTGCTTGACCGATCAAGTTCAGAACGAAGAGCAATGATAAGGGCATCCTTCTTTTCAGAGCTTTCACACACATCATCAAATGTTTTCGCTTTGCGTTGGGCACAGGTCAGTTGTTTCTGCAGCTGCTCCACTTCCTTGGCTTGTGCCTCCACTCGAATAAAAACAGGAACTATGCGGTCGTCGAAGTCCGCAATCGCTTGTCGGAGTGATACCTATAATGTAAATATATCAAACTGAGTGTACGTGCCTATAAACGATTGTTACTACTCACGGCTATCTCGTTGTCGCAGTTGATATCATCAACCGTCCTCTTTATTCTAGTGCTTGCTCTAGTTACACTTATGGATGGCACGCTCGCATCCATTCTCTCCAGACCCTCGATGGTATTCTGGAAATTCGCCACCTTTGAGTCTACTAGTTCAAGATGGACTCGATGGGCCCCACTTCGATGAAATTCTTGTCGACACATCCAGCAGTTCCCCATATTCGTTACTGTGTCGAATATTTTGCCAAGGCAATACTTGCAGCCACCATGACCTAGCTGAAGACGTTAGTGAATGATAGCATGGCAGGGTTTCGATTCATGTGAGACTTACCGCAAGGCAAAACCTGGAAATCTGATAGGGCAAAATATCCCAAGCATACCTGGCAGTGGCCGTGGGGCATGTTTCTACAAGATGAAAGCAGATGACGGATTGCTGAGAGTCTTGACCCAAGGCTACAAGTCGCAGTTCGACTCGGACGCGTCGAGGAACGCGGTGCACGTGACAGTGCCTGCCGGAAGCAATCTGACGCGTGACACACTAACACTGAACTACACTGTAACGGCTTAAACATAGATTGCTTCCAAAGGCGGTTTAACCATGCCGAACTAAATTCCCGGATTTGCTCTCTAATCAAACATTTCCTTCCACATAGCATATCTTATCATATCCAATTATTTTGGAAGTTTCATCCAATTTGATTTCATGATTTTAAGTGGATAGCTTTTAGATCAAGACGTGTATCTATCTTTTGTCCCTCTTAATTCACAACTCTCCTCTGTCTATACTACTAAAATTCGAAAGGACCCTCTGTGAATTACTACAAGCCCCTATATAGAATGGTTCTTCCAAAGCCGTTCAAGAATCCAGAGTGTCTGTATAGTAGATCTTATCTCCTTCCACGAGCTCTCTTAACATGGAATTAGTTTGGCAAGTAGGCAGTGGGATCAACCACAAAAAATGGACATGCCTGGTTTGTGAAGATCAGCTTTGGAGAGATTCCACAGCGGTACACCGCCATGAAGACCATCAGAATCACCAACAAGCAGTCAGATATCGGCAAGAGAATTCGGATTATACCCCTCCCAATCCATTCAGCCCCAATCCTGAAACGTCAAGCCGAGTTTCTCCTCCATTACGAGAGCTTCTTGTAGAGTTGTCCGAGGCCCCATACCGAAGCTCTTTTGAAGAGGTCCCAGCTGGGGAATTTTTCGATTTCGATACTATCGAAGTGGACAATCATGGTCCAGATTTATCCCGCCAATCTATTGATTATTCCACTCATTTTAACTTGGGCGAAGATACTGAATTACAAGCTTCGGATGAGCAGCGTGGTGTGGCACGTCTCGCTGAAGAATTACATGCCTGGCTCCTGGAAGATAGTGAATCAGATGACTCAGAGCCAGAGATTCAAGAGCGAGACGAAGTAGATGTTGGTGGTATGTGTGATGATTTCCTTCTAATACCTTACACAATTCATTGTTGTTTAGTCCCTGATGAACTCGGAACCTTACTCAACTTTGGGGCTCCACGACCTCGTCGTCGTCAGCGAACTGATAACCCTGCATGGTTCCCCTGGTCTGATAAAGAAGTTCGTGAACACCAGTTTTGTTCAAGTTGTGTGTCAATATACTAAGATAACGTAGACATGTATCCTGGATGTGCTCCGCCATCTGCCTCGTTCCTTATTTTCAGATGCACAAATGGACATCATTCTCTGGGGGATTGCCTCATTCAGAGTCGATAATGCACCTTCAACTGACACTGCAAAGAGTGTAGGCGAATATCTACAAACTCTTTGTGGGATCAAGACTGAGCGTCAGAAAGGACCACTTGGGCATGTGTATTATATCAATCAGCTTGCTGGACTTATTCGTCAGGTGAGAGTACAGTTACCAACAGGACTTCAACTGCTCAAACATCCTTGCTAATAGGAAATGGGCAACCCCAAAATTCGACCACACATCCGCCACTATCCTGAAGACAGTGGACAGCATGTCGAGCATGCCTGGCAAGCAGATGCTTGGAGAACCCTGGATCCTGACCTTTCCTCGCCTATGGTACGTGTTGGTGGCCAGGACTTTTTCATACACGAACTCGCGAAATTGGATGACGGTACATATGTAATTCTATTTCATTGGCTTACACGCAGTCAAGGCCTTCCGGGAGGTCCAGAGCAACAATTTTTTGGTTTAGCTTGGAGCGTCGAAATTTGATCAACATTCAGTGGACGCGGCTTTGTTGTACACCAACATCAGACCATCCAATTTCCCGTTTCTCGTCTTCTCAGCTCATTCCCATATCTGGTTGAATCTTATGACTTGGATGGAATACCTGATCCTCGCAACATATTAGGTTCTGTAACATTTCGCTCAAACCTTGTTCTTCAATTAGCTTATGGCTACTCACAGGAGTATATACCACCAACTCGAATGACAACCAAGGCATTCAGCCTTGGACACTTACTTCTGCGGAGCATGGGTTTGCAAACCGCTGGAGAGTCTTAGCTCAAGCTCATGAGGTTTTGAACTTTGCAATGTAGCTGTATTGCGATGACACATCTGGGAATGTCTCGAAGAAATGGAACAAATATAACTCCTTTCTCTTTACCGCCGCTGGTCTTCCTCGAGAATATGCTCATCAGGAAAGCAACGTTCATTTTCTTTGCACCTCCAACCTAGCGCCTCCATTGGAGATGCTGGATGGAATCATGAAACAGCTTGAGTATGTCTTAATAAATGCAGCCAATGGTTATTGCACCACTTACTGACCCAAACCACCCTGTAGACAAGGTCAGCTGGAAGGTATATGGGTGTGGGATATTCAGCATCAGGCTATGGTGCTAATAATACTGGTGGTTTTGGCAATGCTGGGTGACAACCCCATGCAAAGTGAGTTTGCTTGCCACGTTGGCCTTGCTGGCAAGTTCTTCTGTCGTTGTTGCTTTGTGAAGGGACGGGATGCAGAAGACGAGACAGCTGTTCCAGCTCCTGGGCCTATTTCCGATAACATCTCAGTTCAGTCAGATCTCTCCGATACAGGTGACGAGGGTACTAAGAAACGTGGTCGTCGCAAAGAAACTATGCAGGAGCTTATTGCCAGAGCAAAACGGTTTGTCGGGGTAAATTTCCATGGCAGCATTACTTTCTGTGCCTCGCTGATAAGACATTTCAGATGAATGAGACACGATCTCCAGAGAATACAACCCAAACACTCCGCAGTATATTTATTGCTTCCCAGAAATATAATGGCAAGACTCAGTCCAAAAAAATTGTTACTCAGACAGGCGTTAAAGACACATTTCTGGAGAGATTCAATCAGCAGATAGTTTCATTTGTGGCAAAGATACCTGGGAATACCTCCGCTTCTCAGAAACAAAGACTTGTGGACAATTTTGTGGCAGAGAACATTCCATCCGAACCAAATGTCTTTAGCCCTGTATGGAGAATAAAAGGTGTGTGTTGCTTGCTTAATGATATGAATTTTTGTGCAAATGAATCTTTCTCAAGGACTGGACCCTCATCGAGATACACCAGTGGAGATCCTGCATGTCATTCTTCTTGGGTTTGTTAAATACTATTGGCGAGATGCCATTGCTCGCCTCAGTGACCCTCAGAAGGAAATTTTAACTAATCGACTGGCTTCAGTTGATGTCTCGTCAATGGGTCTTGCTCCGCTGGCGGGTGAGACACTGGTCAAGTATGCACGATCTCTCACTGGCCGAGACTTTTGTGCTATTGCCCAAGTTGCTCCTTTTGTCCTTTATGACCTTGTTCCAAAAGAATGTTTCGAAGCCTGGCTTTTGCTCAGTGCGCTCATTCCACTTGTCTGGCAGCCAGTAATCAATCATTTAGATGAATATCTGGTTGGTTTTCACTTCTCTGCTTATGATGTTATAGGTCTAAATTCGATTTGCAGGCAACTCTTGAGCTTGCTATTGACCGCTTCCTTGATTGTGCTGCCAATTGGACGCCGCGGTGGTTCAACAAACCAAAATTTCACATCATCAAACACTTACCCATGCATATTCGTCGTTTTGGGCCTGCAATCCTCTATGCAACCAAAGGCTTCAAGTCATTCAATGCCATTATCCGTGACCACAGTGTTCACAGCAACCACCAGGCTCCATCTCGGGACATAGGTCGGGGCTTTGCTCAATGCAGTCGAATTCAACATCTTCTCCACGGAGGAGTCTTCTTCAACCCCCCCGAAATCTCCACAAACACTTCATCTTCGTCAAATCACTTATCATGCAGCGATGACCCCATGCATTGGGTTTGTGCAGGCCCTCTTCCCCTCAAGCTTGCACGAACCAGTCTAGGGAAATCACAAAGTCCTGTAGTTCGTGCATATGGACTTGATGTAACGGAGCAAGAAAAACCTTGCCCAGGTATGTCCCACCTGTATTTCTGATTCAGCTCCTCCTGAATAATTATGTACTTAGGACACTGTGTATACACTAAGTCCACTAAATTGGATCAGCCTTCTTCGCAGGTACTAGCCATGGAAAAGCTCCCAAATGCTATCCACGGCGCCGAAAATAGACAGTTCCATCTTTATGAACAGGCCATCTCTGTCTCACTCGAACGCTATTCTGTGGGTCAATTTGTTGTAGTCAAACCTCACGATCTGCAACCGAATCAACGTTTTTGCGTCGGAGAAGTGTATGAAATACTGCAGGCATTACCTGGCACAGAAGCAGCCGTTCTTCTGAAGCTGTGGGTGTTAGGCCCTGTTGATGACACCTATAAGCTCCATCGCCTTCAGCCCGGGCAGTGGACTTTGATCAAAGCTGAGGTCAGGCTTCTCTTCCTCTTGATTCAGATGTAAATACCTAAATACATTCATAGAACATATTATGCCCAGTCAATACACAGCACCGCTGCCAAGCTAACGGTTGTGATCTTTCCGCATTTCGTCTTGTCCGTGAAGAACGTGAGATGACGCAAAAGCGTCTGCCTCGCACACACCACTACAATCCTGACGACCGTCTACTCAACACAAATCAAATGCGCTGCGGTGTCTATGTTCAGGCTTTTCGGCCTATTCTTCCTCCTCTGAACCGAGACGACGCTATCCAGGAGGGAGCTGCCCGAGAGCTTCAATCGCAAATCGAGGCCACTTGCCGAAGCTCTACACGCAACGGCGTTCGAATGCCAGCTCCGGCTCAGAGTCCTATGCTTTCTAGAGAACCCTCACCCTATCCCCCGACTTTTTCAGCAGTTTCTCCGCTTCAAGATGGCCAGCAGTCGATTCCTCCGCATGTGCCAGGAAACCCTATTCTACAGCAATTTCTGCATGAACAGCTGGCTGCAACGAGTCGCCGACAGCCAACGTGTACCTCCTGTGGACAATCTGGACATAATAGTCGAATGTGTGCCCGAAGGGGAGACAGGGGAGGAGAAAATCGTAGAGCTGCATAAAATCGCATAGGTCACGGGCGTGTAAATTTCTTCAGTTAAGACCTACAGTACACACGGCATTCTATAGCAAACGGAGGGACAATTCAAGTTGATACAACTCTTTCCAGACAAAGTTGTCCAGCTAGCTGCTGAGGTATGCTGATTGAACTGCCATACATGAGTACCTTAGGAAAGTCGTGCGGACATCCGCCTGAAACCATATTTCAGCAGGCCACGGACAGGAGCGTTGTTCTTATGTGCATGTACGCACTTAAGAATAAGAGGAATGCCGGTTGGCTCAGTCCGGAATTATTTACATGTGGTGCATGTGCCAGTCACATGCTGAATATTTCTGACTTTGTTTAAACAAAGTCGCATCTGTGTTCATTGGCTTCCTCACAACTCTCAACTCCTCTGAAGGTGGGTGCCACCTGTCTGTTCAGGAAACCTCGTCTTTGGAGATGCTCAAGCCCGAGCAAAGCGTGCCAACGCAAGTTCAAACCTGGACGTGTCGCGGTCGCGCTTTGCAACTGCTTGACGCCTCCAGAACGCAAGCTTTTCTCTTCGACGCGTTGGGGGTCGATTCTCATGTCGTATCCTGCTGACGTCTGTGATCTTCTTAGGCCGGGCCACGACATGTCTCCTCCATTTCCGACAGCTTTCCAGAACGCCGATAACATTGTGCTCCAGGTGGATGGCTCGATGCTGATGAAGAACGCCTACGAGCAAAGTTATCGCGTAGGGGTAGACGAGAGCGATTTGTCGGATATGGAAGATGAAGGTGCGGAAACTACGGCGGCATCTCATTTGAAAGATCCTGAGGTTCTGCATTATCCAGGACCCCTCTTCCCTCCCGATTCCACCTCTGTTGCCCTGTCCTTATCCCCCCACATGCCGTTTTCGGAATCCATCCCAGTTGCAACACGAGAAGAGGTGTGCCCAAATACATGCTCCTCCTACGTCCCAAGCATCTCCTCATCCGAAATCCACATACGCTCTCCCTCCTCTGTCTGTTCGCAACCTATAGCTGGCTCTCCCCAGCGGAAATGGTCTGAGACGATTTCTTATCCGTCCTCTCCCTCCTCTTTGCCTACTCCTTCGCCCATCCAGTCGGAGAAACAGTCGCCGGCTTCTTCAGGCTACGCATTCTCTGATCTCGCCATGCATGCCTCCATCTCCTCCTTCTCTTCACCGGCTGTCTCCTGCTCTTCGCATTCACATCAGTCAGGCCCACATCTCTGCAAACCCTTATCCTCCCCAGCTACGACGTTGTTGGATGCGTCCTTGACCACCTCCTCTTCCGCCGCGTCCACAAAACGCTTCCTGTCTTCTTCGGGGGACGCGTCTGACGTGGTCTCCAGAAGGCCAGAGAAGAAGCCAAGGCTACAGGACCCTCGCAATCGCTGACGAGCCGAAAAGCGCGCACGAGAGCGCTCGAAGTTAGGAACTCCTTTGGGCCAACGGCTGGCTCACGAGAGGCACGTTTTACCTGCTCAGGAGATGCCTAGCAATTTGCAGAGCGATAGGCTGCCAGTGGCTGCTGGGGGCTTCATTGGTGTTGACGCAGATTGGTATGGTGCCAAAGCTCGTAGAGAGTTGGAGAAGATGCAGGAGCAGGGTTTCGAACTTGTGGAGTGGCAGACAGGGTAGGTGTTTGAGAACTACCCCCACCTTCCTCTTCTCAACGTATGACCTTTTTTGTAGCAAGAGTGTGCCGCTTGCAGACGGGGAGCACCGAGTTCTGGTCTGCATGCTTGATGGGCCAGGCGATCCCACTTATCAAAAGGCAGTAGAGGACATGACCGAATTTATATTGAAAGCTAGCCAAGATACGACATGGACCAACAAAGAAAAGAGGCACAAACGCGGAAACTTTCCTGCCTTAGCCCGAGGAATTTCGTATGGGAAGGGGCAGCATCAACCCATGCGCTTGGTAGGAGACCGCCAACCCATGATGGATGAGTTGTTCAAAAAAGACTGCTTTCGGCGAGTTGCGGGCTTTCAGAACAGTAAGTCCCTTCGAAACCAGCTGACTTTGCTATTCGTTGTTGAGCTCTCCATCAACAGGTGCTTTTGCGACATGGTTCCCCAGAAATTATGCAGAGCACTTGCGGCTTAATTCTGAGCTTGAACTAAAGTTGCCTCATTTGACGCGTAACTTCGACAACAGCGTATATCTTTGCATGTCAGTTAATTTTGGACCTGCGACATGGACACACATACACACGGATTCAAAGAACAACGTGCGTGTCCCATGTGCTATAACAACTGGGGGGAAGTACAACTTTAAGCAGAGCGGCCATCTCACTCTTTGGGACTTCAAGCTTATCCTAGAATTCCCCCCTGGAGCTACCATTCTCCTACCTTCGGCTTTGGTTCGCCACTCGAATCTTCCCACAGCACCTGGAGAGACACGTATATCAGTTACCCAATATACAGCAGGTGGTGTCCGTCGATGGCTGGAATATGGTGGGAGAACAGAGGAGGAATTTCGTGCAGAGGACCCTCAGAAATTTGCAGAGGCATGGGCTAAACGAAATACGGGCTGGAAAGAAGGCTTAAATCTGTTTTGTACATTAGATGAACTCAAGAAGTGCACTTTTTGAACAGGAAAATTGTGTATTTTGCTCCCTATATCAACTACTTCGAGGTATCTTCCTGTAACAATAATTCATGTACTATCTGCTTCCGAAATAGCCTCTCGCGAGCCTGATGAAAGCTCTCTGTAATGGGTCTGAGGTCATATTTCAAGGAAGGTGGCAGCTTTATGACCAAAGCAGGCTTCAATAACGTGAGTGCTTCATCCTTGGCGGCAAAAGGGTCGTGGTTGTTGAGTAAAATATGTGCCGCTTTTCCACGAACCAACTTTTCCCGTGCTACCTGAATCTCCAGTTCCTCAATCCTCTTTGCTTGCTTCATTGACTCATCTTTACCCAGTTGCAACTCTAGCTCTTCTATCCTCTTCAATAGCTGCAACCGTTCCTGCCGACACCGTATCTCTGCCTCTGCATACGAGTCAGAAACTTGAAGCCGCAGGTCATCAATCATGTACGAATGCCTCTGGTTGCGGATGATGGATTGGGTGCGGTACTTCCGGCCTTCAGCAATTTCGTCCTCAATTTTGAGAATGTAGGCGCGACTATTTTGCAACTCGGACTGAGTAACTTCGAGGCAACCAAGATTTGTCTGAACTGTCTGTGGTTCTCCAGAGAACTTGACGGCACGGATAAATCTGTCCAGTGCAATGACCTGCTTCTCAAGAACAGATCGCGGCATGCATTCCATGGTTTTGTTCTCCGCATTCCCTTAGACACACAAGTCAAGGTCTGATCACTTGTGAATTGAATTATTTCTTACCAACTGAATTTTTGGCACGGTGGCCTGATGTCTCCACCAAACTGCTCTCAAGTTTCTGCCCCTGTTCAAGACTAGTGAAGTCGATGCCGCAGGCAACACAAAGAGTTGCCAGATATTCTTTTGAAGCAATGACGGTGGAGTCAATCTCGGATGGGCTATAAAATTTGAGGTACGTGAATGAACTGTTTTCAACCAAGTGAAAGTTATCGCACAAGCCTGCTTGAGTTAGGACCTCATCGAGAGTCCCTGGAGTAGCAGTTGGCATCAGATTAGAGTCTACCTCCATATTATCCAAAAGTTCATTCGGAAGGACATTCATCTGCAGACTGGTGGATATTTTCAGTTCTTGGCAGCTGCGTTTGAAGGCTTTTGGTTCGAGCTGGAAAGGAAAGGAGAGGATCGAATCAGTTGGCCGAATTTGCGGCAAACGTTGCATGTGTTTCAACTGGCACAATTTTTTTTCAACTCGAACTTGACTCCTTCTTTCATGAGCTTCAACTTTGGGTCAGCTGCAGACTTCGAGCCCCGGCCTTCAGATGCCTCACCCATCTCTACTCCCCGAATAGGATCTTATCCCAATTTCTTACGGAATATAGACAACCCAGCAGGTGTGGGCATGGGAGTCACCTCTAGGCCTCAGAGAGACCTTGCCGTAGCAGCTAACAGGCCATACACCCCTTCAGTAAGGCCACCTCTGCGATTAACTCATGGAATCAGCAGCTTTGCAGCACCTACCAACGAACAAGATGTTCGCCACCTCGGGCTTTCACCTGGTTCGTATATTTCCTTCTTTCTATGATCTGCCCGAAACACCTCCCTTGAACACAGATGGCTACGACGACTGCCCCCCAAGTCCAATGAATAGATCTTCCCACTTTTCTGGCTCAGGACCTGCTTGTAATTTATATCTAAATCCATCCCGTGTTTTTTTTTCACTTTTGTGTTTCAGATTCGACCTCAAATGAGGATGTTGATGAACTCAATGAGTTTGATGGCCGCCAAGAGCTGACAGTCCCCATCTTCAACAGCAGTATGCGTAAGATCCCAAGGTCTGACAGCGAAACAGCCGTCCTAATGACGTGGGTGGATGAAATTAGAGCCCAACCAAGTACGCGAAATCAAGGGCATGGTTATGGTGTGTCAGTTCACGACCTGCTCACATCTGGCTGACTTCTTTCCGCAGCTTGCTCGTAATATGGAAACAGAGCCACTTAAACTTCATCTTCTTACACATGCAGCCATATGTCGCTCAGAAAATAAATATGCCTCCAACAATTCGCAGTCTTCTTCTGTTAAAGAAGTGGTTGATGTCGCCATGAATCAGCTTTCAAAGCATGTGGAAATACCGGCTGATACAAAGGTACGATGCTTCGTGTGCTTTGAACGAGCCTTACAAATCTTCTTTAGAACGTTCTTCGTATGATTGCGCGTGATGAATGTGCAAATCCTACATGTAGTTCCTACGGCGATGTGGGGATTGCAGTCTGGGTTTGTGCTAGTGCTCCAATTCTGTGTCGTACTTATACCATGCTAGGCAAGATGCAAAGCCGAAGCCAACATGCATGACCTGACTGAGATGCTGTCGAAGACTAAGTCTGAGACGGCTCTGAAGAAAGCAGCAAAAGCTGCAGGAAACAAGATTCTGCAGCAATTTCGCGATGATGTACGTGTAGTTTTCTGTTGTATGCCCCATATTAATCTATTTTCGTCACTCTTTTGTGTAGATAATGACGACCATCGTTGTTGATGAGAGTGGAAAGATAACACGCTGCTCCCTGCTCTCCCTATTGCAGCCAATAGTAACGGAACAACAACTGGACGTGCCCCTCTGGCAGAGGTTCCTAATAACGCCCACAGTGTTCCTAGAGTTTCGGGGGTAGAAGATGGATTGGCAAATCATGATGATGAATATACTCAGTTCTAGTTAAACTCTGATATTATTTGTCGTATACAATACTCAAATGCTTGCCGTGGATATTTGTGATGAGCGGGCTATATCGGATACATCTTCGGAGGCCGTCGGAAACAAGCAAATTTTATGGAAGGAGCAACGCAATGTAGAGTAATATCATAAGTTTCTGGCTTCGTAAGGATGGAAGGATATCAAACACATAAGAACTCCAGCTCATAAGTCGGTATTTAGTCTGATACAACCACTCGACCTTTTTAGAATACAACCTTATTTAGTCTGAGCCACAGATCACAATCTCAGTGATGCTATTTTGATGGATTTCTTTCCTGACTGTGTAGGGGAGATAAGTATCAATTTAGATTTTATGTCATGACCATTCAGAATGAGTAGTAGATACAAAAGTTCGTAGCTTGTAAGTAAGTAATCGTAAGTCAGTAATGCGATGCAGTTAAAGCGATACAAATGAGTTTGGAAGTCATCAAGACAATCACTAATAGTGAAGTGACGAAGTATACTGTACTACACATAGTAAAACCGGAGAGATAGTGAGAAGTTGTGTGGTGATAAAATTGTGATGACCACGATAATGCTTGAAAAGAGAGAGAGAGATGCACGATATAACGTAGAGAGGAGAAAGATCCGCGGACAAATTTAAATGAAAGATAAAAGAATAAAGAAAAAAAGCAGTGTTGGCAGTACATCACTCGCCAAACCACTCACCACCACTGGCCAATGTAGCAAATACCCCTCTACGCTGTACAAGTTCGTCGTATTTGCCCTCCTCAACAATGCGACCATTGTCAACCACGAGGATTCGGTCACACATCTTCATTGCTGGTACCTTGTGAGTGACCATGACCGTAGTGCGACCTTTTCGGTCTAATCCCTGAATAGTATCCAGCACCTCCCGCTGGTTTTCAGGATCTAACGCACTGGTGCATTCATCGAGAATAAGAATCCGACACGGTCTAGCAAGCGCTCTAGCAATTTGCAGTCTTTGTGCTTGTCCACCCGAGAGCTGGCTAGCGTTTTCGCCGACGATGGTGTCATAGCCCTTTTCTAGGGACATGACCCAATCGTGGATATTTGCGGCCTTTGCAGCTTTACGGATGCCAACTTCCGATATCGAGGAATTCCCATAAGCGATGTTCTCAGCGACCGAAGCATCAAAAAGATGAGCCTGTTGGGAGACGACGGAAACGTGTTGGCGTAGGTGTTGGATGTCCATTGCGCGAGTATCGATATCCGCGACTTGGACAGATCCAGAGGAGGGTTCGTAGAGACGTTGGATAAGTTGAGCAACAGTGGACTTTCCGCAGCCAGAAGCGCCGACTAATGCAACAGTTTCACCGGGAGCAATGGAGAGGTTGAGACCTTTGAGGACGGGAACATCAGGCCGTGATGGGTAAGAAAACTCGACGTCATGGAAGACAATTGGAAGGGGCGTATGCTGAAATTCGGGGCGGAGGAATCCTTGGGTTTCAGAGGTGTCAGTAGGCAATTCAAGCACGGCATGCAAATCTCGAGCAGCCTGCACTGATCTTGCAATGCGGTTAGCTGAAAAAGTGACTTCTCAGCAAAGTTATAAAAATCAATGAAAAGAAAAACTCACTGAATGCCATTAACTGACTACCAATCGTCACAGTGAACACAACTAAATCGAGAACCTCGACCATCTGCAAATAGGTGTAGGTACCCTTTGCGACTAGAACGGCTCCAACGTAAAAGAGGAGCGCTTCTGCCGCATATATGAGACCAGACGCCACACCATATGTGCATCCCTCAACCATGGCACCCTTGACTCCAATCGACATAGCACGGTCCAGCGAGACGTCGAAACGCTGCTGGAAAACCGTTGTGAGTCCAGTATACCGGATAGAACGAATGTTTGCAACAGCATCGTAGTATGCAGAAGCAACAGACTCCCTCGCTGCCTTGTTCTTCCTCTCAGTATCCGCGACGAATTTGCTTTGAATGCTCATCACACCGGCAAACACTGGCGCGATAGCGAGACCAATGAGAGTGAACTGCCAGCCGATGACAAACGCCCAAATAAGCCCAACGGCGAGCATTGAAAAAACAACAAGTGCTTGGCCAGCAACGACAGCAAGGAGGTTCTTTGCGTCTTCAGCAGACTTGGTAAGGATCTGAGTGAGCGCGACAGGGGAAGTACGAGCGGCCGAATTGGGGGAAGGCTTTTCTTTGCCGACAACACCTGCATCGAAGAAACTCTTTGGCATTGAGACGAGTCTCGCAAAAGCACTTTCACGGATTCGCTCGATCCACATCCATCCTAAGCTCTGCATCAAGAAGAACTTGACGCCCATGAGAAGTCCGTCGAGAGCGGCCATCCCGAGCACAAGACCTCCGTAATCGTTTACGGTACGAACGTCCTGGACACCAGTGGAGACCTCAAAGAGAAGGCGGGACAGAAGAAATGAAAAGATTGGGGTCATAGCACCAGAGATGACACATATCAAGAGACCTATGAAGAGGAGGGGTTTGTAGGGCATTGAAGGGTACAAAGCCCGAATGAGCTGCCAAAATCCAATCTCGTTCACAATGGGAGTAGCTTCCGAGGCAATGGGAGTTACTATTTCGAGCTTCTCCGCATCCAGACCCAGGACTTCGCGACGAGTTTGTCGACGGCGGATGCTGACAGATTGGGCACTACGTTCCAAGGCTCGCTTTTCGTCCAAGCCTTGCTTTTGCAAATCTGCGAAAGTCAAGCCAGTAGGAGTTGCGGGTTCAAACTGCAGACTATATCTGCGCTGACGAGGGGCTTTGGATTGCTCAGGAACCGCAGCGGCATCATTGAAGGGAGACATGGTATCCAAATGAAGGGGCGATGGGATCGAGACGGAAGAAGGACGGCGAGGGCGAGTTTGGGTGTTGATTGAGAGAGGAGAAAACGCAGGAGGAAGAGGAGAGAGAGTGGTGTTGCGGTCTTTAGGAACAGGAGAGAGCGCGCGACTGAAGCGGCTCGGGGAGAGGGCACGGGAAATTCTTGAGGGGGGTTTAGACGCTTGGGTTGGATTCGTAGAGCCTTTGGTGAGATCAGCGACAACGTCGAACATCCAGCCACCCATCATACTAGCGCCCATAGTAAGTCGGTGAGAGAAAGGTTGATGGACTTCCAAGGAAGCTGCATCGAAAGCTTCAGATTCGAAGCCCTCTGGAGCGAACTCGATATCAAATTCAGGCGACCGTGGAGATGATTCATCTTCATCGTCTCCAGAGAGAATCCCTTGATTCCTAGCGAGCCTCATGAACTCACCCTCTTCGCCAGACTCATCCATACTGCGCTCCAAATCGTACCTATAACCAGCTTCAACCATGCGTCCATCTTTCATGACATAGACGAAATCGTTTTCATGAATGCATTCGTAGGAAAGATCGTGAGTAATAACGACTGTGGTTTTAGGTGAGGAACGAGAGGAGGTTGTTGCACGCCAGCGACGCAATGCAGCATTAACGAGGGAGCGAGAGGTAGGGTCGAGAGCAGAGGTGGGTTCATCTAAGGTAGCGTTGGAATTAGCGACGAAACAAAGAGAAATACCGCACAGTACTCACCAAGAATCAATAAGGAAGGGTTTCGTAGCCGTGCACGAGCAAGTGCAAGTCGTTGCTTCTGGCCGCCACTAAGCTGTATACCAGCATCGTCCTCCGACTGTCTGCCAACGGATCCATCGCCACCAAGGATAGTTTTGTATCCTTCTGGAAGGTCACGAATGAACTCGTGGAGCATAGCAAGTGTGCACGCATTCACAACTTCCGCTTCCGTCGCACTCTCCATTGTGCGTTCTGGATGTGCAGCAAGAGCGACGGCGACGTTGTCGTGAACGGATTGGCCACCAAGGAGAACCGGAGGAGATTGACTGACGATGCCTACGTTTGCTGCGACAAAGACCGGGTCGAGATACTGCAGATTTTGTTCGTCGAGTAGAACTTCGCCACTGCTACCTTCCTTGTGGTTGAGTTTGTACAGCCCGGCGATGATGCCGGCCAGAGAAGATTTCCCGGAGCCCGAGGAGCCGACGATGAAGGTTATCTCTCCAGCGGGAATGTACATGTCGACATCAATGAGAACCGGATGATTCGGCCGTGAAGGATAAGCAAAGCAAACTTGGTTCAGATTGATGTCCCCTTTGAACCTGGAAGGACGGATTTTGCGAAGAACGCGGGACTTGGTGGTACTAGAGCGATGTATGGAACGGCCGGGACGTGCAGAGTAGGTGGTCAACGTCGCAGACGACGCAGGGGAGTGGGGAGGAAAAGTCGCTGATATAGGAGTAGACGGTGTGTTGTAAGGGTGCGAAGGTGGCAAGACTTCTACATCTGGTTGATAGTCGGGGTTCTCCTTCACTAGAGCCATCAAAGCTGCCATTGCGACCTTGCCCTTGCCGACGGTAACCAGCTGAGGGACACACATTTGAAGGTTGCTCGTCGCAATTAAGCAAGCCCAGAATACGCTCATGACTGCGCCCGGCTGGATCGTGCCTTCCCGCACAAGCTTGGAGCCAAACCAGAATGCCTGGACAAACATACTCATCATGACGAATTGTGAAGAGCCACTGGAAAGACCCCATATGGCGTTCAAAGAGATTTCGTTAGAGCGCATACGTCCGGTGAGCAGATTGTGAAGCTTGGCCTTGTGAAAGGGCACAGCGGTGAAGGCTTTTACAGTAGAGATGAAAGTGAAGGTACGTTCAAGGAGGGTAGCCAACTGCCCTCCATCCTTGCGTTCATTCATAAGTAAAGGACCGGCAAGACGCTGGGAGATTGCTTGAACAATTGATAGGATGGGGACAGTAGATAGAGTGAGGAGCGCCAATAGCGGAGAACCGACGAAAGCAAGGACGAGGGCAGTGATGGTTGTAACAAGGTGCTGGAGTAGTAAACCAGAAGCCAACGAAGAAGCTAGGCGAATGGAATCGGTATCCCTTCGGGTTCGTGAGTTTAGAGTATTCAGCTAGAGAGAAGGTGCTACTCACTGATTGAACTGTGCCATAAGTCCCGCAGCGCCGACACTATCGCCCTGTGTTTTCATATCGAACCACTTCATTTCCTGACTGAGGACACTCCCGAAAACTCTTCGGCGTACTTCGCGCACGTTGTGTTCTCCAGTCCATATCCACAAGCTACTGGTGATGGCGCTGAGGAGAAAGCTGCCGACTGCGAGACCAAGAAGTTCGAGTGCAGCAATGCCGACGTCGTGTAGCAGCTGGTGCTTTGCGGATTCTGAAGGATTCGGAGTCTGAGGAAACTGAGCGAAAGCGTTGAAGTTTTGACCAATGACGATTGTCATGAATGGTGCGATTCCGCCAGCGATAACAGAGGAAATGATGGCAGGAAGAAGGATCAGGAAGCGATGACGGGTAGATAGTAGGGAGAATAGTTGTTTGAAGGATCCAGTGCTGATGGAAGGTGGTGAAGGTGTATGAGTAGGAGTGGAAGAAACTTCAGAGACTGGCTCTGGCTTCTCGATTGTTTCTACACTGGAAAGTGTTGGAAGATCACTGTCGATGGGTTCTGGACGACGTGAAGGCATTGTAGGTGTCGTCGTCGTCGGGTTCGTCGTCGAAAGTCGTCAACGTCGAAGACGTTGTGGAAAGGGCGTATCAGAGGTGGAAGAACGAAGGAAAGAACTGATGAGTTCTTTCTGTAGTCATTTCTTTTTGTTCTTGCAGCCATTGCGAAAGACAAAAGAAAATGCATGGCCAAATTAGGAAGGACAATAAACGCCATTGGCCATGCCGTAATCACTTTAACAATAAGAAATCTTTGTGCATTGCTTGCATTGTCCGTTTTCTTTGACCGCAATCTAACCAAGCCAGTCTAATCATTAGTGCCAGCTGTAACTGTTGGGTAAGGTAGTTGATTCAGAAGCCTTGGGGCGAAGGGGGAAAGGGCTGGAAATTGATGATAAAATGGCGGGAGGGCGTGGGAACGGCGGGAGTATAAGCGCTCGTGATACCAAGCGTGTACAAGCAACTCAGGCGCCGAGCGCTCTCCGCGCACTTTCCATCATATGAATAGGTTCGATTACAGAAAGTGATATTTTTCCCTTTGACTTACCGCTTGAACATTAGAGGTCCTATCATCTTGGTACAGTACCTGATCAATTCCTGATTTCTCATGGGCCAATAATTGGACCTTGGACAGACTATAGACGAGGCAGAGGTGAATTCTTCCTTCTTACAATTATATAAGGCATGAAATAGTTCTCTATTCACAGTATCTGCTAGATCAACTGGTACTTGTGTGACTCCAAATGTGGTCGAAGATAGTCCTCATCTGTTCATAGCCCCCTCCTTCCCCGGATGATGATGAACTAGTCAAAAAGCTGAGGAATAGACTGAGGGATCTGTTGACTGAGCTCCGTGCAGGGGCTGAAGGCTCTGCTCGCTCCTGAGTGGCTTATATGTAGTTGACATACGTACGTCCTCCTCTTCATCGCTCACTGGACATGGGCTCAGCCTTCAATAGATTACTATAATTTTCATTCAAGTTGGATCTGTAGCATTTTTCTATAACTATTACGCTCGAGATAGCCTCTGATACGAGACCGGTCGGCTGTGTTCGCCTAAATGCTTAAAAATCCCTCGCATGGCTCCAAATATCAACGGAATAATAGCTTATCCTGAGCTTATCTCTCTCTGCTCAACTCATTGTTTACTGTTTAATCGACTCCAGAAGGGTCCCTCAAAATCGTTCAGGAAAGTTCACCTCGAAATATGGCGACAACTCCGCTACCAAAACTTCAGATCTTTCTAGCTCTATTGATCCAGCTGGCAGAACCGATAACAGGAATGGTCATCTATCCTTTTATCACGAGAGCTGTTCGACGCACTGGTATCACTGGAGGGGACGAGAAGAGGACCGGTTATTATGCTGGTATCCTCGTAAGTACTTCCCCCTGATGGTACTTACACTTCGTCTGAAATTTTGAGGCATGTCTAACAATGACCACAATCCAGGAAAGCATTTTCTTCCTCGCTGAAAGCCTCACTGTATACCACATGGGGCGCGTCTCTGATCTCTACGGACGCAAACCGATCCTTCTGATTGGTCCACTGGGACTGTCATTAACGATGCTGAGTTTTGGACTTTCACAATCATTTTGGGGTATGGTAGTCACTAGAGCAGCCATGGGGGTTTTCAACGGTAATATCGGTGTGTTGATCTTCCTTGCTGTTCGTGACCTTTCCCACTCAACCGGTTTCTCTTCAGGTGTATCGAAAACCATAATGGCCGAAGTACGTTCCATGTTTTATGACGTTCCCGACTGAGGTTGAACATTCCAGAGCACGGATGAAACGAACAGAGCTGATGCGTTTACGTTGATGCCCATCGTGTGGACGACTGGTACCACTCTCGGGTGAGTGATTACCTCCACAACGGCTTTGTCGTCGTCGTAACAAATGCTTCTATAGACCTACTATCGGAGGCGTACTGGCAGATCCCGCCGCACGGTGGCCACACATCTTCGGCAAATTCGCCTTCTTTCAACGGAATCCTTGGTTCCTCTCCTGTTTCGCCGCAGGATTCTTTGCATTTTCCGCCTTTTTGTTATCTCTTTGGGGGCTCAAAGAGGTGCAAAACCCATCGCTTCTGCTCACATATTGATTCTTATTCACATTGGCTATGTATCAGACTCTACCAAGTAAAGTGAAGCGGCAACACACCTCTGAATCTGAAGCATTACTCTCCAACGATCCGGAAACATCACAGACTTATGGTTCCGTCGAAAATCGAGAAGGCCCTTCTGAACGTCCCCCCACCACTCGAGCGCTGCTCACGGATTCAAAATTACGAATTACGCTGCTGAGCATGGCTTTCCTCGCTTTCACCGACATGTCGTACCAAGTTCTCATACCCCTGATATACACCACCTCGATTCCGTTTGGCGGGCTAGGCCTCTCTCCATATCAAGTTGGTCTGATCCTAGGTATTTTCGGATTCGCGAACGGTGTCTGGAACTGGGCAATTTTAACGAAGTTCCTGAAAAAACTGGGGCCTCGCAAAACAGTCCTTGTTTTCTATTCATTTTTCTTGTTACACTTTTCGCTCTTATGGATCTTGCGCGATGTTGCAGCACATGTCGGAGAAGTTACACCCCTAATCTGGGCGCTTCTCATTTTCCAACTCTTTGTATCGACCGTGATAGTTACAGCATTCAGTGAGTCGGAGGATTATCCGTCCTTCATCCTTTGCTTAACTGTCCATGATCTTTTTCCTAGATGCGATGCATTTGTTGGTTGTTATCAATGCCCCGCCTAATTCTCTAGGCTCTGTCAACGGACTGGCTCAGATGATTTCCTCCGGTACCAGAGGGCTCGCACCTGTTTTCGCATCCTCTTTATATTCGCTCTCTTTGGAATCCCAAATCGCTGGAGGCCATCTGGTGGAGATTGTGCTCATTGGCGTCACAATCATCGGCATATATTGTATTTCGTGGCTACCTCATTGAGCAGATACAGGTCGTTCCTCCAAAATTACCTCTTATTAATTGACCCTCCTGTAAATCATCTCTTCCAATCCTCTTCAATTAGAATAGCATTATAAGTATGCGAAGATTTCATGCCCGTTCAATATCCCGAAGGCCTACTCTGAGTCAGATGCGTGGTTCACAACGTCAGTAACATCGTAGCAGTAATCGAATAGTTTGTTGACAGAGAATGTCACTGTCAGCTCCCCCCCCCCTCGCCCTCCCGCCCCATTGGAATGTGTGTTCCTATGGTAGGACGTATATATAGCACTCCCGCGTAATCCCCTGCGTGCTGGATCGTGCTCGTTGAAATTGGGGGGTCTATGAGTGAGCAGAGCTTCTGAAAGGTTCTTTCGCACCCTTTTTCTGCCACAGGCTGAGGTGGCCCGGCTAGCTGCTGTGAGTTCACGAAGATATTTGGTTCGTGAATACGTAATACTAATAGTAAAAGGCGTGAATCACGTGGACGTGGCGAGTCTTCCGAGTTCGACTCCGACTACTGCTAGTAACTACCATTACTACCACCAGTTGTAGGTTCACTACTTGCTTGAAAAGTCAATCAACGCTGCATATTGATTGAGTGAGCAGTGATTTTGTTTATTTTTCTCAAGGTGCCTTTTTGACACACTGCGCACCTTAGGAACGAGGAAAAATCTGGAAAAATATGTCGACCTGATGCTCGGAAGCCTTATTGCAAGAGTCAAATTCAATGGCTTGCGCGCGCTGTATCCCATCGGTGCTCTGTCAAGCATAGGTCAACGTAGCTATCGAAACTTCGATGATGCTGCTCCCGGGGAGTTCTTCTATAATTCAGCAGCACAAGCACCGCTTGCAGTTGTGAACATCTTGAGAAAATTTGAGGCGCTAGGAAGTAATCCACCTGGTATGTCTCTCGTCGACACTCCAGTATTATTCCTGACGAATGTCCTACAGAGGAAGCAACTCTGTATTCTAAAGAGACAATCGAAAGCCAGGTATCTCCTGATATTCGCAAGTTTATACGAGTGGACGAGGGGGACATTACGTTGAAGGATCTTCGGATAGCCAGGTACGTAGTAACCGTTGAAATGCTTCGGGGTATTCGTTGCTCATTTCCCACAAAGGCGTCTGGATTTTCAAGTATACATCCAAACCAAAATGAATCAACTGGATCCTTCGACTACCCGAAAAGACCGGGCACAGAACAGATTCAGATTCATTCGTCAAGCTGTGGCCAGGTGGCACTCTTTGACTCTGGGGGAAAAGCTTGTGAGTCACTCGTCGTACATCAATAATTTAAAGTTCAAACCATCTCCAAAGGACATTGCCTCCTCAGTCCGACAAAGGAGATTAGATCCCGATACTCCACCGATCAGTCCGCCCCGTGAAAGCATCATCGAGCGTCGGAAGATGAAACGATTTAAAGCTAAGAAGAGTGTATACTATCACATCAAGCTCTTGAGAGCCAACCAGGCATGGAGGAAACGCATGCGTCAACGTTATATATACCTTATACGTCGCAGGAAACGACACTCGTTGCTATGATAAGAATACAGTTCCTTTCCTAATTAAAAAGACTTAAATAAAATAGATAAACTGAAATGGCTCCTATCAAATAGTTCGGTCACGACGACTTCATCTTACAGGCGTCCTGCCCAAATGAGATATCGTTGAAGTAGGGTCCTAAAGAGATGGTTAGTATTCAATGAATTGAATACCGACACTCATACGCGGCATACCTAGATGGTCAGATGTATGATCCTTGAAGATCGAATTTCCTTCTGCACAGTGCTTGTTCTCTTGTCCAGGACATGCAACTATCTTGGTGGCTTGACCTGTTTTGTCGACATCTTCGATATGTATTTCTCCAGCAGGATGATAATAATCCAACAACCGAGGTGGGAGGTCGACTACGGGGTCCTTGCGATCCGTAACTCGAATGAAATCTGAACCAATCTATACAGCGATCTGTTAGTAAGTTGAAGGTTTCCAAATGTTAGGGAAAATATACCGTCGAGTCAACAAACTTGGTCCAGTGCTCGTTACCCATGCGCGGCAATCCGAATACGACGACTGACTGTTTGACTGAGGGATCGAGATTCTCGTGGAGCATAATGGCGTCTAAAACGGCAACTGCAGCACCTACAGCCACGACAATTAGAGGGAAGACTAAAAACAAGCCAAGGATTCTCCTACCTAGTGAATGGCCGGTTAACAAAACGGATTGGGATTTATATTGAATCAATGCTTTCTTGACCTCAGTGAGGACAATGGTGGATGTATGTCTGAATGTATTCTGGAAGCCTTCGTGTACTTCGACCTTCTCTAAGAACGAGAACCACCAGAAATTTCAAGAGATGTACACTAGAACGATACTGAGATACTTACTTGCGGATTGTTTGAAAATAGACTTGTCCAATCCGACATGTAATATATTCACATCATTCAAAATTGACAAGACATTCTTGCTATTGGTCCCTTGATGAGCTACGACGATGGTGTTCGTCGAAGGATCGTGTGCAATGAGATCTGGATAGTTCTAAGTATGATTTCCATAGACGAGAATTCACCAGGAATCTCACAAGATGGAACCAAACCATCGTCTATGTAATGATAATCAACGCAAATTAGAAAACAAAAAACTCCGCACTCACTCCCTCCCCATTTGATGACATGAATATCCGGCCCAATTGCTTCACAAGGTCCGCCGCAGTCCCACTTTGTGACCGTCTTTTTAGCACAATATACAACACGACTGAACAGCGCTGGTCTTAATAGTTTTGATGATACGAAGTCGTTGTTCACTAGGGTCGTCGGTGTGGAAGTTGTGCCGTGATGATGATGGAAAGGGAGCAAAACCGGGAAAGTGAATGTTGAATGTACGAAGAAAGTTGTTATAAAGACGAGCTTCAAGAATGAGGTAAAGTGTAATGACATTTTCGTTCTTGCGGCTGCAATCAGGAATACGTGAAGGAACCAGGACCAGCCTGGAAAAGTGGGGGACCGTAAGGGAATCGTATATTTTATACATGGACGGAGGACAGAATTGCCCCCGTCGGTGAGGTCGCTGCTGACTATACGCAAGCGAATCAATTGATCGGAAATACATATTCAAAAAACTTTGTTAGTGAGATAAAATCGAAAAGGTACCCGACATTTTAGCCGACCGCGCTGCATCTGCAAAACCTGGACGATATTCTCCAGCTCTTGAGAGCATTTCCCAGTGTTTCCCAGTGTTGAAAGCATTGAAAGTGTCGAAAGAAAGGGTACTAGCTGGAGAGCCCTGGAGAGTGCTGGAGAGTGCTGGGAAAAACTTTGTCAATCCAAAACCCCATGTAACGTAATTGGCAAGCAGTATCCAGCTGGGATATTTTTGGAACTGCTTTCAGAGCTTTCCGACATAGGCAGAGGTCACATCAATTAGTCCATATTTGGCAGTATTCACAAATTACAAAACAAGGATCATCGCTTCCCGCTTCCCGCTCTCCGCTCTCCGCTCTCCGCTCTCCGCTCTCCGCTCTCCGCTCTCCGCTCTCCGCTCTCCGCTCTCCGCTCTCCGCTCTCCGCTCTCCGCTCTCCGCTCTCCGCTCTCCGCTTCCCGCTTCCCGCTCTCCGCTCTCCGCTTCCCGCTTCCCGCTCTCCGCTCTCCGCTTCCCGCTCTCCGCTCTCCGCTTCCCGCTCTCCGCTCTCCGCTTCCCGCTCTCCGCTCTCCGCTTCCCGCTCTCCGCTCTCCGCTTCCCGCTCTCCGCTCTCCGCTCTCCGCTCTCCGCTTCCCGCTCTCCGCTCTCCGCTCTCCGCTCTCCGCTTCCCGCTCTCTGCTCTCCGCTCTCCACTTCCCGCTCTCCATTTCCTGTTTCCCGCTTCCTGCTTCCCGCTCTCCTGCTCCCTGCTCCGCTTTTCCTGGTTTCCTACTTGTTGTTTTCTACTTTCTTCTTTGCTTTCTAGTCTGCTTATTATTGTATCCTGTTATGGCTAGTATCCGGATCAAGTTCAGGCTGGTGATGAGCTGGCAAGACAACGTCAAGGTTCTAAGAGAAGCTATAAGTAAACAGTACTCGAAATAGAACAACATTACCTGTCTTATGAAAGGTCAATATGTTTCGTACGGGTAATCTTTCCCTGCGCTAAGTTAGCCTCCAAACTAAAGTAGTAGCAGTCAGCTAGAGACAACAAATATTGATCAAGGGAAACTAGCCTAAAACTGGACGCCCAGGACCTTAGATTTGTTTTGAATTTTGAAGAATGGTAAGGCTCCCCAAGCACTTCTGTAATCATATTGGTATAGAGCTTATGATACTCCAGATTTGAGGCTGTGGTGAAATCGATATTTTTGGGCTTCGGCCCATCCTCGTATTTGGAAATACAAAATCATATCTGAAATATAACTGGGTCAACTAACTGAAGTTATTGTGATCAATAGTAATTAACTCAACAAGCATAGAAGCCAGAACAATTGCTCCGTGAGGTACCTCAGCTCCGAAATCCTTAGGAAAAGTCTTCGCTAAACCTTTGTTACTTGTGTAGAATAAGACTTTCACCACTTCCTTAAGGCAGGGATGCGCAAAATTGTTAACGCGGCCCTAATCAACACAAAGTTAAAAACTTTATCAAAAAGAGGAACCTTAGAAAAAACATATCACATTAGCATCACGTCCATCTTGCAAGAAGAAACTCTTTTCCAAAAGCTTGTTCACGTAAGCCACAGTAAGTTCACCAAGTTGAGAAGCATTGAATCCAGTACTCGGTTCCTGATCTCTGGGTAATGGTAGTCTGTATTGACTAACAACAATGGGTTCTGCTAGTCTTTTCAGCGTATTTCTGAAACTGCTTTGGCTTCTATATAGCTAGTATATTATACAGGATAAGTAAGAATCAAAAACGCTAATAAAAAACTCACAAACGTAATTATATCCCCCCTGTATTGGTCGATATATCCTAACTAAAATTGAAAATAAATCCATGTAAAAGATAAAGGACTACGTACCTGCTTCAACGTGAAGGCCTTTTTCCCCTCTTTCTTTTATAGAGCGATTTAGACAATCAAGGAGTAGTGCTTCATGGCTCTCCATTGTAAGAAAAGGTCCTTGGATAACCATTGCTCGATGCATATAAGACTGAGAACCTGTAATCACTTTTTTTGCTTGAGGTGTGTAAAAAGACAGCTTCGTAGGATCATTAGAGGAGTTGACCCGAGATTTACAGCCTAACAAGTTGAAAAATGAATAGTAAGTGGAAACATTAATCAAAGATACCTTTAGGATTGACTGGATCCACTACATCTACAAAAATCGTTAAAAGATCAATAATCAATTTGATTAAAACCTACTTATCGATGAGGAAGAAATTGCAACAGCTTGAATTGGAGAAGCAGGACGTGTAGGCGTATTAGAACCTGGACGGGATACTTGACGGGATACTGGACAAGATACTTGACGGGATACTGGACGAGATGCTAGACGAGATACTGGACGAGATACTGGACGAGATGCTGGATGGGATACTGGACGAGATACTTGACAAGATGCTGGACGAGATACTGAACGGGATACTGGGCGAGATAGGCGAGTGTGAGGCCTGGCACAAAAGGCCTGCTCTCGTCCTATCTGGACTGGGCCTAAGCAAGCAGGACAGCTGCCTAGGCCGTACAAGGGGAGGTGGGATAAGTGCCGCTACTGGTGTAGGGAGCCTGACCAGTGGTGGTTGCGGAGCTTGGGTGGACCTAGCCAAAGGTCCTGGAGTGGGGGAAGGATGTGTAGTTGGTGAGGATGGAGGTGGTTGGGGGTGTGGAGCCTCGACATAGACTGTAAGTCGTAGAAGAGGCTCAGGAAGTTGAGAGAGGTGTTCAGAGAGGTGAGACAGAGAAGAGAAACAGAGTTGAGTGAAACAGAGGTGAAGGAAACAGAGTTGAGGAAAACAGATAAAGAGGAAATGTATGACAGGTGAGACGTGTCAGGCCCTGTTAGCAAGTACAAGTAGACTGTACTAACAGGGACCAAGCCAGGTTGGAAGAGTTTCCAGATAAGATTTGACAATAACACGCTGGGGAGCTCCGAGGGGAGTCCCCAGCCTAAATACTATACATGTGACAGCCATGTGGCATATTACATAATGGTAAAAGCGGACAAGGGAAGCTCTGGGTATACAGTGGGGAGATATAGGGAGGTAGTAAGGAGGAATATGATAGGTAAGGAAGCAAAATCAGGCAAGGCATGACAGCGAGATACCGAACGAGATGCTAGGTGAGATTTTGTAGGCGGTGCTGTAGAAGCGTAACCTGAAATATCCACGTTGGTCCTCGAATCTTAACAGGAAGAGGAAACAACTCGCGTTTATATTCCCGGGAATTGAAGGTAATATCTTCATCTTCATCTTCGTCTTCATTTTCCTCCTCATCTGCGCATGGATCATGCTCAAACTCTGCCAGTTCTTCGGCCTCAAAGTCCTCTTCAGTAGAAGGCATTTGGCTTTTTGCATGACCTTTGAGAATTTGGGGGTTGGGCGGCTTGGGGAAATGTCTTTTGCGCTTTTTAAGAACCTCAGTCTCTCCTTCTACTCCTAGCTAGAGGGGATGTTAACATGCAGAAAGAGAATAAAGGCAGGTCACAAACCAAGGATTTCTGAGCGATTTGAGCATCTAGTAAAAATTAGATCTCTTGTATCTTGACCGCAGTTAACCAAACCACTTTCCTTCAGTTGTTCCTTGATCTATACTAGAACAAATACTCATTGAAGCTGTTCCTTGTGCTTGCCTGGTATTGCCCAAAGGATCAAGACCGGTACCTTGGTTGTTATTATTGACCTCAACCTCGAAGGAAGATCTCTTGGCTCCAAAGAATATTTCAGAAGATTGCGACTGAGTAGATGAGTCACCTTGATACTTATATCCCTGTCCATATCCTTCTTCACTTGAGTAGCCTTTCTCGATGTTCCTAGTGAATCCTCCGTTGAATCCTCCATTGAATCCTCCATTGAATCCTCCATTGAATCCTCCGTTGAATCCTCCGTTGTAGCCCCTGCTGTACCCTCCATTATATCCACCATATTCACTACTAGGACCTTTATAGTTCTCTCTGTAAGACTCTTTGCCTTGCATTCCTGAGCTCCCCCCATAGCCTCCTCCCCGTATTCTCCAGTTTCCTTCATAGCTTCCTCCCTGCATTCCCAAGCTTCCTTCATAACCTTCACTTGGTGCTCTTAAGCTCTCCCGGTAATTCCCTCTGTAACCTCCTCTATAGTTTTCCCCGTAACTTCCATAATTTTCATAATTTCCCCGAGGTCCCATTCTCTGCAAGTTATCGTAACCAGTATTTCCGTATCCCATAGAACCTTCTTCTAAACCTGGCGTTTCTCTGTACTCTCTCCCTCCTCCTCGAATATCGTCAGGGAGTCAGAGAGCTGGGTGATTATCTCCTGGACCTGAGATGGACCTTCCTGTGTTCCATGTGTTACCGGAACCAATCATTGAATCAGAAAAATCCTCGGAGGTCCAGCCTGTTACGAAAATTTTTTAAAACCAAGCATTTCGACAGCAGTCAATTTGGTTTACCGCGGAAAAATGAAGAGTTGCATTGGTTTTGGTTCTATTAAGCTCTGTATAAGCTTTCTTTTGTTGACGGAAATATTTGTGATAAGATTATGCTTACTATAATTGAACGTTCCCAAGAAATTACTTCAGAAATGGACGCCTTCGAAGGTAAAGGTACCTGATGACTAATAGCAGATGGAGGCGGATCTTCAGATGTAGAAGACGCCACAGGTGGAGCCTTTGGAGTAGGAGGATCCTCAGAAGGAGTTTCAACTTTGTTTCCCTTTTTTCGTCCTTTGTTTTGAGCAGCAGTTTTGCCTCCCCTACTTCCTCTGCCGCGTTTCTAAGTGGGTAGCCAGATGAACAATATAAGAAATCCTATTTCATGAAGCAAATATACCGGTTTTTCTGGAAGGGGAGCCATGGGATTTGTTGCCACACCCTCGCCGATGATAGTATTGGGACCTTGAGACGAGGAACGTTGAGGAAGCAGCATTTTGTTAGCTGTCTCGAGCATTTGGTTGGCATGTCCCCCTATACCCTTTGTTGCCCTGCTACTTGACCTCTAAATCCCATTCGAATATTTCAGACAAAAACGATAGCTAAACGAAGTATCTGTACCTCTATTGGACCAACTTTAGCAAAACTCTCCAATTAGTGGAGTTAGAAAAAATGAAACTTACTAGGCAAAGATGCCCCCAAGCTAGTATCAGGCTGTTGACTCATGAAAAGGCAAAACAAAGGAAAGGGAAGCGAGAAAGAAAAGTAAAAAGCAAAGAGTCAACAAGTATAACGTGCCTTTGGGACCCACAGGTCCAAATAAGTCCCCTGCTTTTCTCTCCGAAGTTCCCCTGCCTTGAAAATAAGGTGTCAAGCACTGTATAATTGTTTTCGATTTCTGACTTGGCAAGTACAATAATTCTTCTTGTAGGAAATAAAACAAAAAATGTTATTCAAAGTACACAGGATTGCGTGCTCCTATTTCCTCAGTCCAATATAAGTCCCCCTGTAGCGCCTCTATACTGAAAGATTCGGAGCCCTTAAATGATCTATTAGAAATGAAATCAAAAGATAATTGAACTCATACCTTGGTCTAAGTAAATAATTTCAGTATTTTGATCTTTCCCAGTATCCGAGGTAAGAGGCTGCAGGTTTTCTTCTTCCCAAATCTCTGCTTCGTTTATGTTGTCTCCATCATCTCCTTCATCTCCTTCATCTCCTTCATCCAGTTCCATAGATGGCGGAGAACTGGAGGTGGCACCAGTAAAAGTTTTGGCTTTCAGATCGAGAAAAGAAGCTTCTACTTTTGGGGAGGCTTGTAGAGAGTAGAATCGATGAACAGATCTAGACGGATATCTAAATATTCATAGTTACCATATTTCTGAAAGTTATTCAACATCTCGTGCATATCTGCAGCAGTCTTCTTAGCTTTCGAGTTTTCCAGATAAATCTTGTTTTGCCGACAAAGGTGCAATTCCAGTATGAGCTTAGTTATTTGAATTTTCTGATCTAGAGCTGCTTGCTCAGTAGCACATAATGTTTGTTGAGCGTTGGCTATTCTGTAAAGATAATTGGCCTCCTTCTCTGACTGAGATTATTATTAGCCAGGGATTTTACCGACAATTAAGTTCTTACCAGAGTTTCGTAGGTTTCGTCCTTACTATCAATCCAAGGATGGTAAGGCGATAAGGAAGAGGAATCTTGGAGAGAAATATTTTCGCTGTTCAGGTTCATGATAACGTAGTGGGACAGAGGTGGCAGATCCCTAGAAAGAGCTCTCTCATAATAAACACAAACAAACTAAAGCTGATACGCTCTTACGGGCAAAACCGGAAACCATCTAATTGAGGTATTATCTAGCGGAAATAAATATTTTCAAACCAACCAAAACCATCCTTTTGATAAGACACCCCAGTTTTATCTCCGTGAATAGCTATAGACCCTCTAGTACCACTATAAGGTAAGTTAAAATGAGTAATTCTATCAGAAAAGAAAACTGCTACATCTCCGTTACGAGTTTCTAATAGGAGCCGCGGCTCATATAAGCCTAACTCTCCTCCTTGTGGGTTACCCACAGTTATACAGATACAGGCATATTTGTCATTGGTATCTCTGTGAGCCAAAGTACCGACATTGAGGTTAAACACAATACTTGTGAAAGGAGAGATTGGTGAAGTATCGTTCATAGGAAGAAGATCCACAGAAGCCAGAATCTCTTGAAAGGTATCAGGATGAAGCAGCAAAACCTAAGCAAAGTTTAATGAAAGCGACACAAACAAAATGCTCTGCTTACCTTTTCTACTACCCAACGTAATGCACCCTCTAAACTTTGTTTCAAATCTGCATAAGGCCCGGATAGTTTCTGGATATCTTCGGAAGGATGACACAGAAGCTGACTATGGTTCATTTTTCCTCCCTCAGCGCTGATTAGATACAGAGGATGAATATCCTTTGGGGCGTCGTAACCCTGTTAGAGATAAAAGGTTGAAATCTGGACAAACAAAGGAAAATAAAACGTACCTGAGTCAGATAACGTGTTTGGTTGGTGAAATGTAAACTTGAAAAAGCTTTAGTTTTCGCCGAAGAGGAAGGTTCTTGATGTTTGAATTGAGCGGTAGTATCAGATAAACAAGCTTGTATAGCCCTTTCGAGTCCCTCTTTCATACGTATCGGCATCGTAGTGTCCAAGGTATATAACAGATCTTTGTTATCGTCGAAAACTTGGACAACTTTTCTATAAATCTTTCAGCCAAGCCTCCAGTAAAAGTAAATTTTCCTACCCTTCGATCATATTTCTATCCAGTTTGAGGTATTGAGTATCTGAAAGCTGTCCCAAGCTATCGAAACGCTGATTCATCTATAGATATCCCACAAAAAATATCAAAGTTTGAACCAAGGTAATTAAGTAATCTTACTGCTCTAGCGTAGTCCTCTAATGAACTAGGTATAAAGCAATCTTGAGCTAATGTTCTTTCTTTTTCTGTCCATCGGCTTCGGCTTCGATAATCCGCCGGAAAAGGTTCCTTAGTTTTAGAAGGTTTGTAAGGAGTTTGAAGTACTTGATGTATCCCATCTACGTTTTGAGCCTGAAAGCCCATACGATCAAAAATCATAAGTAGAGGGGTGGGGGGAGGACCTGGAGAGGTGATTTCTTCTCCTTCTGACGATAATTCAGAAACCGCAGAAGGACATTGAGTAGCTCCTATCTGATCAGAAGAAAAGAGGAGAAATCTTCTCTCAAGATATGCAGGACTTATCAAAAGATCTTCTGTTCCTGAGAATTCTTCGAATTGCTTCCATGCCTGCCAATTCCTTGGAAGAGATCTAAAAGTACTAGACGATAGTTGTACTTATTCCAAAAGGATAAAAACTTGAATTTTACTCACTGGAAAAAAAAAGATCCGAAATAACTGTCACTGGTTCTTAAATCTCCGCAATCAAAACTAGGTGATAGACCCAGATGCTTCAGTAATGTCCTGTGATATAAAGTAGGAATTGCTATCGGTATATCTTTGCGCAGGTTGGCCAAAACAGGTATCAGGTTCAGCTTTACGATATCTTCTGCTAGGCCTTCAAGAAAATTGATAAGAAGGTGGAAGCTGTAGACAATCAAAAGACTCTCACCTGATGAGCTAGGAGCTTTAATCTTATTACACAAAGCCTGTATAACAGTCACAGAAGCTTTTTTACGGAAGTATTCGTCTTCTCCTTTGAAGGCAATTACGAGCAATAAATAAAGGGAGCCTATACTTGACTCTTAGAGAAAGCAGAAAATAAGAAACTATTGCTTACCTGCGTCAGCTAGGAACGCCCATCGGCTACCGGCAGACATGAAATTGCGGCTCTTACTTTCAGAAATATTGTAAGTTTGGAGAGACTTGTATATTTGTGTAGGTTTGGGCCGACGACTGTTATCTTTTAACTTCATCAAATTCAGGTGGCTAGAGGAATCCAATATCAGAGAGAATTCTTCAAAAGTGTACGAGAATATTGCCTGTTAACTTTGGCCGCAAAATAAAGCTCATTCAACATCCAAACAAATCGTGCAGAGCTGTCAACCTTTGCGGAGAGGTCGCAGCGTCTGGCTAAATTGACGAGAGACAAAACTGCCAAGTCTTTGACAGTATCCAAAGTTCCTTCCATCAGAGCCTTTAAGTCTGACACCCAGCTAAGATAATCGGCATGACCAACGGTAGTCTGGGTGCCAAAAGAAATTCTCCCCAGTTGTGTAGTAACGTCTACCAAAATATCCTTTGAGGGTTCTGCTGTTTGATTTCCTGCCACAAAACGGCTAACAAAACCCGAACCATAGGAGTAATTGTCTGTTCGCCTTCTTTTCTTGGTTCTAACACTTTTTCTAGGACAAGCCAGAGGTCCAGGATCATCTGGTTCTCCTCCAGATGTCCCCTTCGAATTTTTCTGAGTACGCTTTCTTTTCTGGGCTGACCTATCTCTGTCCTGAGGGAAGGGTGGCTCCTTCTGAGGATATAGGTGACTGGGATACTGGGGACTGGGACTGGGACCAGAACGGTAAAAGTATAGAGGTAGAGGTAGGTGTAGAAGGATACCACGGCGTCAGGGAACGGGATGTAGCAAGTACAGGAGGATGAGGAGAATCTGACCAAAATTGTGATTGGGAAGTTGAAGGCCGTAAATCCCTAGGTAGCGTAGGGGAAAGAGGGCGTAAGAGCTGCAGCGGGGACTGCAATAATGTTGAACGCAACTGGGACTCGGAATAACTTGACGTTAACAGGGAAAGGGACTGCGACTGTGACAGTGACTTTGAGGGTGATTGTGACAATGACTGTGGTAACTTTGAGGGTGACAGCAACGGCGACAGTGACAGAGACGCAGACAGCAACAGCGACGTTGACCGCGACAGAAACTGCGATGGCGACTGCAAGGGTGGCGAAGGCGACGTCAACCGCGACGGAAACTGCAAGGGTGACTGTGGCAACTGCGATGGCGACTGCAGCAACTGCGACGGCAACTGCAAGGGTGGCTGTAACCGGGATTGCGGAGGAGGTGGCTGGGGCCTCAATGACTGCAGCGGCGGTAAGGTCGGCGATGACTGCCCAGGTAATGTCGGCGATGACTGCAAAGGAAATGGCAGCAATTGCAAAGGTAACAGGGGTAACGGAGCAGGAGGGGGAGGTGGTGGCATCAACTTTGAGCTAGCGTCGATACTAGCCTCACAATATCTGCGAGTAGCTGCAGGGCGGTTAGGCCTGGCTAGCCCTTCAAGACCTAGACAGCAGCTCGCACAAAGTACCTGCCTAGACTGAGGAGTACCAATTATTTATTGAAAAATTCCCTTATTCAACCCGGAAAAACTTACCTGAGAGACAAGAGGAGAAGAAGAAACTGTTTGAGGACCTTCTCTGCTAGAAGGAAGAGCAGCCAGGACTTCACGGAGAGCAGGAGGTAGTGATTCTTCTCTAGCAAGATAGCTCTGTAAGGCTAAGGCCTGAGTAGCAGATAATCTCAAAGTAGACATTGGGAGGAAAGTCTCGAGGAGCCTAAATAAGACAACAAATATATTCAAATCTCTACCAACTGTTTTCAGGAGAATAATATGAAAAAGATGAATATGAGACCTTACTTTATTGCCCAACCCTTGCCCTGCTTCTGTTCTTGAGTTGTTTCCAGGAAGATATCGAGGCAAAAGAAAGAAATGTAAGTGCTTAAGTGCCTTCCGGATTTGGAGCTACCCTTCCTTTCCTGAAGAGTCTTTCCAAATCCGGAAGGCGCTTAAAAATGATTTTCTTTCCGCTCTCAGAGGCCTCTTTTGTCTATCTCAGATTTTGGAACAGTAACAACTCAATATCCTCAGCAGTAATGAAGAAGGAAGATTTCTCTGCAGATGCAGCAGTCAGAGCAGGACTTTTGAGCTTAGCAGACAAGCTGAGGGGTTAGCTTGTTATTTGTATTGTACTCGGTGCGTAGCTTCTATCTACCTGTCTATTGCTTGACTGACATATATCCTTAGCACTGAAGATCATGCCTGCTGAATTACCACTCGTATATCCCTTAGCACTGAAGATCATGCCTGCTGAATTACCACTCGATAGACGAGTAGCTGCCTCTGCTTAAGGCTGTTCAGAGGGAAAATGACAAACTGCGTGAAGGGTGTTCACAGGTGAGGTTTACCCTCCTTGGTATTCAAAAACTTCCTTATTCAAGTAGTTTAGGCATCGGAAATTTTGCTTTTGCATTACCCTGCGGAAAGTGGCCCGTACGTTCCCATTATCGCACAAGTAGGCTATCAATACATCAAGTACGATCCCGTGAGTACCTTACGGTTCTACTGACCAACTATTGACGTACGAAATTAGAACTACTCCACCAGCGACGATGAAGACAACGAGATGGCAGATGCTGACAACAACGATGAAGACGCTGATCTCGAAGATCATGTTACCGTTTAAGATTGTCCGCTCCACCACAAAATTGCTCATGGCCCTTATCGGGACCAACCCCGAGATGCTTTCTACAATCTACAACTCCTGGGCTTATATTATGCTTCGGTGACCGCAAAGAAACTGCGAAATCGGAAGTTTGGTCGACCTACGGCTTGTTACTCAGCCGGACCGCTGGATCGCTTTCCTGCCCATCCGTTTTGACCGTCGTACCAATCGTCGGTTGACTCAAAATGAGCTCGGTAAGCTCATGAAGATGAAAGAGATCTGCATCCCATTGGAATAATTGCACAAGCAGACATTTGACGGCTTGATAATCGACATTGGGATTGGGATTGAAAAAGTCAAAGTCGACATCGATCATGCTCTACTGAAGAGATTTGAATGGATAAATGTTTGCAAATTCACGAAGGACTCACAACGTCCGAATCCGAGTCAGATTCATCCTGACCAGTTTTTCGTTTTGCCATAGTACTTGGTACAAGGATGTGGATAAAGTGTTCTGTTTATTGAACAAACAAAACGGCCCGGATTCATCTATGCAGGCAAATCACTAACAACGTGAACCGAAACTTGACTTTGTTTTCCTCAGGGTATCTCCATCGTTCATCATGACGAAGACGTACCAAATGAGGGTGATATTTCTGCTCTAGGTATGTAGATTCTATCTATCCATCTATCGCCTGACTGACATTTATCCTTAGCACTGAAGACCATAACTGCTGAATTGCCACCCAATGGACGAGTAGCTGCCTCCGCTTGCACAAAACTGACGCCGAAACTCTTGGCCCAGATACAAAGCGTGCGTCACGCGTAGTCATATATTTTCTCTCTGCTAACGCGTTTATCCTCAGTCAGATACGCCCTCAGAAGCTCTTGTCAAAACTTTGGCAATCTTGTCAATCCTGATTAGCCGATTCCCATCCCATTTATCTGCTTCATCGTTAACGCCCCATCCACTAGCGGTTCTTGTTCCTTTACTATCTCATCCTCGGCCGGTAGTACGAAAGCGCGCGATTGTGACGTTGTCCCAATTTATCACAATATCTCCCCCTGAGCTCTTCTCAGAATTATTCACCGACAATGTACTGCCTTACTTGGGTCCATCCGCAAATATTGAAAAACAGCGGACTACTGTCAATCTAGTTGCTGCAGTTGCCAGACACTCGCCCTCTCAACTTGCCCCAATGTTGAGTGAGATTATGCCCGGTATCATTAAGGCTGTCCAGAGGGAAGATGACGAACTGCGCGAAGGGTGTTTACAGGTGATGTTTACCCTCCTTGGTATTCAAGAACCTCCTTATTCGAGTTGTTTAGGCATTGGAAATTTTGCTTTTGCGTTGCCCTGCGGAAATTGCCCAGTACGTTCCCTCTATCGTGCAAGTAGGCAATCAATACATCAAGTACGATCCCGTGAGTACCTTATGATTCTACCGACCAACTATTGACGTACAAAATTAGAACTACTCCACCAGCGACGATGAAGACAACGAGATGGCAACATGCTGACGACGACAATGAAGACGCTGATCTCGATAAGTATGTTACCGTTTCAGGCCTCTATGAAAGCCTCTCACAAAGATTCCTACACCAGATACTCTGATGATGAAGATACTTCTTACAAGATTCGTCGCTCCGCCACAAAATTGCTCGCGGCCCTTATCGGGACACGTCCCGAAATGCTTTCTACAATCTACAGAGATGTCTCTCCTGTTCTTATATTGCGCTTCGGTGACCGCGAAGAAACTGTGAAATTGGAAGTTTGGTCAACCTATGGTTTGTTACTCAGCCAGACCGCCGTCTATGGAGGTCTCTCGCAATCCAAAGAGGATGTAACTCGCAGAAAGTGCAAACACGATACTGAGATTAGGGACGTGGAGTGTGGTCGTCATTCACTTCTGAAATCCCCAGTACCAGCTTTATTGAAAGCTCTACTCAACCAACTGAAGTCACGAAAAACCTGGGACTCTGCAGGCTGGATTCGGTTCACTATACCCGTTATCAAATGTTCTCCCTGGCTCGTTATCTAGTCATGCTGCTTCCATTACTTCAACATCCCCGTCAACCTCCCCTGCGACACTGTATCTTAATTGTCTTTCTTTCCTTGCGCTGTTCTTTGCGACAGAGCTTCAGATCAAATTCAACCGGACTGGGAAGCCAAATTAGCAGCTGTGCGCGCGGCGGTCACACAACGAGCAAACCACCGCACCGTTAAGCATCAGGTTGGCGACCGTCTGATCCCTGTAGGGGTCACTAGTGGGCGCGTGCTTGTACTTTCCCCTGAAGAAGCTGCGAGAGCTACTAGTAGTAGTGACAATGAAGGTGGGAGCTGGTGACCACGAAGAAGACAGCAACGGGTAATGACCTCGAGCAGTACCTGGGGCAAGATTTGGAGGAGGTACGTTTCAGATGACTGCAGTTGTCTACTCTTGACTTCATTCTGTTTTTTTATGATGCAGATAATGATGATGGAGGCTATGAGACTATCTTTGTTGGGACATGAAGCCCAACAACGGAAAGAGGCAGAGGAGAAAAAGAAGGCAGATACACAGACCAATAAAGTAACGGACTAACAAAACCGTCGCCAGTAGTACAAGCCCAAATGGGGCATCTACTTCGTCCGCTCCTAATCTTGGCTCTGTGGGCATGCCATCGGTTTCCCCTCTCTCTTTGTCGTCTTCGTCGGCTCCCGCCCAACAGAAGGGTGGTTCGTTACGGGTTAAATGAGGATCTTTGTTCAATCGAAGTTGATCACCCTCTCTTGCTCCTCCCTCGTCCCAATCCTCATTACAAAATGCTCCTCCATTCAGCGCACTTGGTGCGGCGTTGAATATGGCATCCACCGCAAGTGCGATTTTCAGAAGCAGTAGTTCAACCTCTGCCTCCTCTGATCCTTCCCCGGAAAAGTCCTCTCACACCCCATTGCTTGCAAAAGAAGTAACATCCCCATCAATGATCGAATCTGCTTCCATGAGCTCTCTACCTTCTACCACCTCCAGCAGGACCCCGTCACCTATTCCTCCTTCAATAACCGTAGTGTCTATCTTTCTTCCTCCTGCATCACCAACCCCACTGGAATCGCATTCAGCCTTGAAAAGGCCTCTATCCATCAATACACCATTTGGGGACAATGATTCCTCATACAAAAACCTACCCTCTTCTCCAGAAGAAATTCCTGAAGAAACGCCTTGCGAACCTCTGATTCCGAGGGACAGGGCAGAGGTGGGAACAGAGCTGAGGTCTGATCCAGAGGCTCCGGTGGGGGGTCCTGGAAGGGATCAGTATCAGGGGCACCTGTCTGGGCCCTCTGCATCTGTGTCGCAGTGGGGCATGGGTTTGTCTCCCGTGTGGGTCGGTTCAGCTGTCAGCGGGTTCGTCGGCGGGGGGGCGGCGGGGTTTAGGGCATTGGAGACGATATTGACGACTGGTGTTACTGCGCTCAAGTAAACTATAAACGGCAACAAGCTGGGTGATCTGCTGAAGGGGTTGCTTGTGAGCTCTCTGGCCGTTGCTCTGGGCGGGGGTGGGTGGTTGTCGGTTCTCTGGGGAACTTTCTGAAATTCCTCAACATCTTCTTAGGCCTTCCGTACAAGACGCATCTCTCTGGTAAGTCTGTGGGAAACGAGGCTGGGAACAAGAATTTGTATCTTCATTAACGTGTAAAAGTCTCGATCTAGAATATACAACAAAACCCAAGCCTATTTTGTCCGCCTTCTAACAAGATTCTCTACCTGGGATGATCTACGTCGAAGCAAAATCCTTCTTCCGAAGTGAACAATCTGGTTTACACGGAATCACGCAAGAAATCCAAGGCAAGACTCTCACCATCTCAGCGCTCGGTCTAGATCTGGCAAAAGATTGATCTCCCTGCAAGGTCGGTAAGGAAACAACGTAAAAGTAGAGACCGCGTTAAATTGTTTCAAGGGAAGAGCACTGGAGAGATCAGGTTGGTGGATGCTGTTTTGGATACTGGGGCTACTGCGTCGGTTCTTTCCTTCAATTTTGGTCTTCCACCAAAGAAAAGATTTGTCTCCATTTTCGGACCAATCAGGATTAGTTGTCTTTTGCTGTTCAAGAACAGCACCTGATAGAGTTGAACAAAAAAATAAAATAGCTTGCTGAATTTCCGTTCTGGTTCTTGCAGGGCCTGGATGATGAGCATTTTGTTTCTTTTATAAATAGCAAATTAAAGATCTGAAAAGATATCTACAAAAGGTGTCTGACACAAAGTAAAGTTTACTATAAGCCTGGTCGGCGTTGTCTCGTTATTCTTGGCGTAAGGAAGATGGAAACGATGTTCCCACGGAGCTACTCTCAGCCAGTTCCCACTATGTTTCCCTGTCTTTACTGTGGACACCTTTGCAAAACAGAAGCAGGTCGTCGCAGTCACGTAAAACAAACGTTATGCAACTACAAACCTGGCTTGGTACCCTTATCAAATTTAGCAGCAACCATTCCTTCTACCCCTTCTAGCCGTCCTTCTACCCCTTCTACCCCTTCAACCCCTGACATGCCATCCTCGGATCCTGATTATTACAACGAGGAGATGTTCATGGATATTGATCCTATGGGAGCAGCTTCCTCAGAACCTTGTACTGTCAGATTTCCTAATGCTGGACAACGCGTCGGCCAAGGAGTGACTTACTTGGATGAGTTCAATGACGATCGTTTTGCTGAGGAAAGGAAAACCAATCTCTATTATCCTTTTGCCTCTAGGCCAGAGTGGGAGACTGCTAGCTTTCTTCTCAACTCTTCACTCTCCATGAGAGAAATTGACAGTTATCTTCAACTCGATCTCGTAGGTGTTCCTTTACAGAAAATACCCTAGCTGAACTTTCATAATCTCAGACTAAAAGGAATAATTTATCATTCAGAACGGCACAAAGGCTACATGAACTTACAGATCTTCTTCCTCCGGTCCCGAGTTGGAAGTCAAAAACGATCAAGACTTTACCCCTTTACCCCTCTCGAGCTCCCATAGTTCTCTACTATAGAGATGCTATAGATGTTCTACAAGATCTCATGAAGAGCCCTCTTGTATACGACTCTCTCAACTTCAGTCCTTTGCAAATATTTGAAGATTCTAGAAAACTTGTCCGAATATACGACTCCTGGCTATCTGGAACTAGAGCTTGGCAGATGCAGGTGAGCTAACTGCGCTTGAAATCCTATAGAACGCATTACAGAGAATAGTATAGGGTCAACTTCCTGAAGGAGCGACTTTGTTAGGTACAATCTTGTCTTCCGACAAAACTACTGTTTCTGTCATCACAGGAAATCGAATTGCCCATCCTCTCTTAATCTCCTTGGCGAATATAGACTCTGATCTATTGTCGAAAGCTTCCTTATATTTGTTCAATTTGCTTGCTCTTCTCCCAGTCCCTAAATATATTGAGCGAAAAACCTCTATACGGGGAATGCTTGAAAATCGACTGTATCACGAATGTCTCGATATTGTTCTAGAACCCCTCAAAATTGCTGCACGGATAGGCAGTATCATGAGTGATCCCCTAGGACAGCTTAGAGTTTGTTATACTCCTCTTGCTAGTGCTATCGTGGATACGCCGGAGGCTTCTTTGATTGCCTGTACTGGGGGAAAAAGCTCTCCTTTCTCAGAGGCGATTCACAAGGATTTTGGAGATGGTAAACACCACCCTCCCCGTCTCGCGACCAGTACTCTGCAGGCTATAGATAGTATCCAAGCAAGGGGTATTCTTCCTCAGGATCTTCCCGCTTATAAAAGAGCCTCAGTGACTGCCCATACCAACGGCATTGTTTCTCCTTTTTGGAGAGATTGGCCTCTGGCAGAACCTAGCGAATTTCTCACTCCTGAACCGCTACATCACTGGCATAAAATGTTCTGGGACCATGACACCAAGTGGGCAGTACAAGCTGTTGGAGCTAGTCGTATCAATTTCAGGTTTTCTATACACCAGCCAACAGTTGGTTATCGCAGCTTCAAAGAGGGCATATCAAGTCTGAAGCAGGTCACTGGACGTACACAGAGAGATGTTCAGAGATATCTAATCCCTCTCATTTCCGGAGCTGTTCCGTCGAAATTTGTCCTGGCTCTCAGGGCTCTTACAGATTTTCGCTACGCAGGCCAAGCATCAAGATTTAATCCAAATACCTCTTCTCGAGTACAGTTAGCTCTAGATGAGTTTCACGAAAACAAACATATCATTCAGGATCTAAAAGCTCGTAAACCCAAAAGGAGTTCCTATCGTTCACTGGGAAATTCCTAAGCTGGAGTTTATGCAAAGCGTAGAGCCTAGTATCCGGGCCTCAGGACCTATAATGCAATGGACAGCTGATACTACTGAACACGCTCATATCACTCTTGTCAAGGACCCTGCTAGATCTGGAAACAATCACGACTTCGAAATTCAGATATGTAGGCACCTAGACCGACAAGCTAGGGTCAGGAGGTTTGATTTAATGACTTCGATGGTGGATGCAGGAGTTGACTTTCGACTGGACGATATAGAGGGTGATGAAGGTAGAGGTGATGGAGAGCAGGAAGTACAGGATGAAGATGAAGAGGCTACTACAAAGATATCATCCTCGGAACAACTGGCTGCTCACCTCAATCTGGTATCAAAAAAGCTATTTGGATCGTTCCGTCCTAAACAGAACTTCTTTCTCAAGGCCCGCTTGTTAAAGCAAACCTTTTCAGCCCCACTTCCTCTTCGGGTTTTTCTGGACAACGTTTCTGGAGAGATTGCAGCCTTCAGCCTAATCCGTGATCCTGACCTTAAAACTCTCTCGTTAGAGCAAGTCTCTGATTTGTATTCTCTTCCTGACTTCCCAGGAGCTTGTGCAGATTTCTTGGAACGTTACGAGTCAGAAACACAAAGTTTTATTATAGGAGGCAGAAGAACCGGAAATTTGCTGTCAAATTTACCCTTCTCTAGAGTGAAAATATGGTCCCACTTCCGTATACAATCAAAGATGTACTTCAACTCTGATCTCCTCACCGATCCTCACACTATCTTTGCAGCCCCTCCAAGTGAAAGCTGGGAATTTGGACGACAAGATGCTGCAATTCTTAATATTGATTCGAGCTTTTCCTGGCCGAGGAGTTCTATGGAAGGTAAAGTTGTTATTTACATGATTATATCAGTTAGATTCATTTAAACCTTCCTGCTTACTTCTTAATCTTAGGTCACTGCATCGTTCTAGTAAAAATCATCTTCACAGTTTTGCAACCGAGAAAGCCCTCTCCCCCAGTGGTCGGTACCAATAAATTCTTAGCTTACTGCGAGCGGTTGGATGTAGTAAATCAACCTCCTCCTCCCCTCAAATACCGACACCTTCCTGGATATAACTGTTGGCCTCCTCACTTTCCTGATTATTCCTCGGGATGCTTTGTTCTGAAAAGAGCTAGAAGAGCAGATGGCTCTCCTTTTGGAGATGTGATTCCAGTTTCTCAATTCCGCTCTTTTGCAGATATCTGTTCTCGTTACCGTGGAGAGCCTCACCCTTCTTTAACAAGAGCATCCAGCCAGTATCGCAGCGATGAGTTTCTATTAAACAAATATTTTAACAAAGAACTTTTTTTTGCTCTAGATAAAGTCGATCCTTGCCTTACCAGTACTGAGTAAAACTAAAATAAGTCTATGTTTTGTAAATAAGCTTATCAAGTACGTTGTTGCTGTTCTGTACCTTCTTCAAATCTCGAAACATGATTACTCTGAAAGCAGCAGAGAGCAACGACAGCTGGGAAAGCCTGGGATAAATACTTCTAAAGGTGTTTTTGCTGGGAAACACTGGGAACTGCTGGGAACTGCTGGGAGAAATTTAAGCGAAAATCCAGGTTTTGCAGATGTGTCATTCGCGCCTTTCGACAATGATCTTCCGTGGTGGAAGAGGGTGGAAGAGGGTGGAGGTAACAAAGGGTAACAAATCCACTCAAGGATCACAATGTCGACGGAGCTCCTCCCGGCATGGTCAGACTCTCCAGAGGCATCAGCATCTGTTAGTCCTACCTCAGAAGCAAAAGATCCGCGATCATACTACATTGTCGAAAGGCGCGAGTGGCAGCGCGCTCGCCAAGCGGAAACGTCGGGAACCTTTTCGATTTTATTTTATTTTATCTCATTTTTACGCTACTGACAAGGTTTTTTGCAGGTTTTTTGAATACTTATAGTGCTTTGCGTAATTCTTTGCTTGCTTGACTTTTTCCAATCTATTTGTGTCTATTTATTTGCTCAATATATTTTTGCCCCAAAAAGGATTTCAGCAATAGCTTTTTGAAGCCCGACGGCCCCGGTGGTCCTCGAATGGAGCCCTCTCAAGCCTCGGCCCAAAAATGGATTGGACAGATAAATAACAATAAACACTTGGTAAAAAATCCATTCAAGCAAACCTTTTCGCAAAGCACTGTACCCTGTAATTTGTGTTTACAAGTTTACAAGATGATATTGGATACCTCTACTCCAGGGGTAAGCACCTGTAAGCACTGGTAAGCAGGACCCCTGCTTATGATAGGAGACGTTGGTTCTCGAATCGGTCAAAAATCAACCCGATTTTGCTGATAAATTTTCGGTCAAGAATGGGTGATCTGGGTTGCAACCTGCTGCAACCCAGAATTCGGTCCGTCGTAAGAGGTCGTAAGGTCAGTTCTACAATTCAGCACGTTTGAAAACAAAAGATTGGGGTCAAAGCAGGGTCAAAGTCTCTTTACCGTAAAGAGTCAATAATTTAATGCTCTATATATACATACGTCAATAATATTCACTTGTATTGACCCTTTGATCTAAGTCTGATCTAAGTTGCATCAGAAACGTACTTACGTTACACTACTACAGACTACAATTTCCAATTTACTCTTGTGCAACAACAATCACCTTCTTTCCCGTGTTTGTTCCAGTCTGTACATCTCGTATTGCTTGTCCAGAATTCTCCAACCCATTGGTAACGTCCTCTGTAAATTTGAATTCCCCACTGGCGAGTTTCTTGGGTATCACCTTGTAAAATTCTTCTTGCCACTTTGGCGCAAGATCACTGACGAGGAACCCGTATAGAGTGATTCGACGGGCGTAGATTTGGTCCAAGTTCTATGATAACAACGTGAGCGCCAGTGAGATTTACCGAGTTTGCATAGAGAAATGACGGACTTTCATCTTGACGCCGTCCTTCGAGTTGTATTGCGAAATGGCACCACATTCCACAAAGCGTGCATGATTAGCTGCATTTTCAATCGCAGCATCCAACGTCGTTCCACCAACGTTGTCCCAGTATCTCAAAGAAGATATCAGGAAACCAGCAATCGAATGAGAATCAACGCTCACATATTCAACGGACCCTCCTTTCTTAGAATATCCAGCGTGCTGGTGGTTTTATAATTGAATGCCACATCTGCCCCGACGTCCTTGCAGAACTGCACCTTTTCATCGCTGCCAGCTGATGCGATAACTTTGAGACCATCCTGCTTGGCTAGCTGAATTACAAGACTGCAGAGAGGGTTTGAAGTCATCATCTACGACTATGGAATGCTCATTGAGTTGCTGACCTTCCTACAGGACCTGCCCCTCCAGATACAAAGACAGTTTCGCCCTGAAGGAAAACTGCACTCAGTGAAAGATCAAGGAATACGTGCGATAGTAAATAACATACTGCCTTGGCGTTTGCATATTCTTTCCAACCATAGTACGACGTTTGCCCCGGCATGCCTCCTGCGCCTATATATGCGGAATACCGTAGACCAGGCTCCGGTTTGAATACTATGATGCCAAAGATTGGTACATCAGGGCTGGGGATAGAATATTCGGCGTGGTCTAAATAGTAGTACTGTCAATCGTAGTATTACGACGACACAGGCACACAAGTGGCACACAGCTCACCCAGCAGCCCATATACATAGTCACCAGCTTTGAACCCTTCTCTTTCGGATCGAATAACCTTGCCGACGCCCAAGCTGAATATTCTGGAAGAAAAACAGAAAATGCATATGGGAATCACGTATTGCAGCCAAATGTGAAAAACTTACGGTTGACCGACGATAAAGGGAGGCTGATATTTGAATTGATAAATATCATATCAATAGCATAGATTCTCAACACACCATGTAACTTTCGATATCAGCTGGTCGCATCTGTACGCGCATGTACGGATCGGCTGATAACACCAGTGTTTTCACCAAAACGCCACCATTGAGCGGCACATTCTCCAAATCGATCGTTTGGCTCGTATCGTAAACAGTGGTTTTTCCTGGCTCAGGAAAACCTAGATCAAGATAACGTCCATCGTCATTATCATTTGCAAAATCAAAAGCAAAGAAGAGGAGTCTCGCCTGAAGGAATTTCGTTGAACAAAGTTCGTCCGTTAGTAATTGGGGCCATGATGAGAGTTATGGAAGGAGAACTCGGCCTATTTGTATACTTCAGATACGGTGAGAAACCGCAACCTCGGTGAGGTTTTTCTGCCCCGGTGGAGACAGCTTACGAAGATAGCAGTAATCAGACAGACGTCTATCGACTAGCGATTGCTCAGTGCTGGACAATTTGCCCGGCCTGTGACCAGACAGTCAAGTCGGATGAGTCGGCAGAACGAAGACCCTGTGCTTCCAAGTGCTTTTAGGATGAATAATATATTATTCCAAATCACCAGCTGCAGGATAGACTCCTTCGTTACAGAAATACGAGTTTCCTGCATATCACCTTCCGTTCTCGTCGGTCCGTTGGAGGAATCCAACACTCGTCTCTATGATTTCTTGGGAACGCACAAATCGTTGACGTGTACGAGGAAAAGACTTATAGCTGAAGTTGAAAGCTAGATTTGAATTCGAATAAGGTTCATAAAGCGGGCCGGGGCTGGCCCGGGATCACACTAGAAAGTTTATCGAAGTCGGCATTGGCCGCTGTGGGGGAATATCCATAACAAAGAACGAAGAGTAAGTTACTACAGCTCAGACACCATGATCCCAGGTGACACAGTATTATGATAAATTGACGGTAAGGATGAAAGGAAAGAAAACTACGTCGTGCACTACATACGTAGACTAATCCGAGGTGAGAAAGATGAGGAGAAAACGGCCCAAAACGATAGGAGAGGCAAGCCCTTGAAAGTAATAAGAATCACAGGGTGAGATTGCATTACTGAAAGAGAAGAATGGTCTGTTCAAAAATTTCGGACGCACGGCCAAAACTGATAATCACGAGCAACGTCCCCAGTACACTCGGCCTTCTTCAGTCAAGATATCTTGAATGCCAAGAGGCCTGCGACGAAGGAAAGATGGCTGAGGAGACTCGTCTTCTATACGGGGACGGGGGATTGCAGGCAGAGGAAGGGATAGAGTGGGCGTCGTAGGAGTGGGCGTCGTAGGAAGAGTCGAATACGTAGCATTCATAGCATCCCACTGATTATATCCCGCACTAGAAGGGTTCAAGTCTGTCTGTCCACCAGCAAAGGATGAAAGCGACTGCGGATTATCTGATTCACACCATGCACTAGAGTGTGGCAATGGTTGTACAGGAGAAAAGGGTGAGGTGGTGACGGACGCGTACTCCCCGGAGGTAGATGGAGAGGTAGGAATATCGGTCAACGTAGAGGTAGAGCGAGAATAAGTGGAAGGCGTTTCAATTATAATCTGCGGTTGCGTGCGATCAGACGAAGATGTGTTTCCTGGATTCCTTGACTTCCTTGGTTCGGGAACGTATTCGTGGCGTCTTTTTCTGTGCCGGGTGAGGGTACCGGGGTCAGGGGTCTCGAAGTTGCAGGAGGGACATTTCTTCTTTTCTTTGGTGCTGAAGAGCAACATTACTATGACTCGGTGAGAGGTCACTACAGAAAACTTACTGCGTTCGGATATGTGTGTCGACGTTACTCTTTTGCAGGTTTTTGAAATCGCATCCATCAAACGGGCAAGCGTAGGACCTATACGGACTGATATCAGCAAATAAACAAGTCAAAGAGGGCACACAAAAGATGTGGCGTACTTGGATAATTTTTCCGCCGCACTAAGATGTTTGCGCATATGTCTGCGCATATCACCACTGCGAGCAACCTTGGTCCCACATTCGTCGCAAATAGTAGGATCCTTCAGAGTTCCATCACCATTGTAGACCTACAGCAAAATTCTTATCAGACTAACAGATGTAAAATTTCAGCGGTAGAAAAACATACGACTTTTCTCTTTCTGGCCATACTTGGAATTGATATAGAAAAGATGTTCGGAAAAGTTGAGTGGAAGAGATTGATGGTGGAAAATATGGCGGATAAAATGAGGTTGTTGAATAAGAGCGCCGTAGCCCGTCGTCTTTTAACACGTTTACCTCCAGACACGATTGGTGTGGGACAGCGGTCCAGAAAATGCCCGTTTTGGACGGCGCCCTCAGAAATTCCCAATCCTGGTCAACGAACAATGATGCGAGCCACTCGCTTCGAGCAGGGGTACCCTACGCCTTCAGATGTCCAACTAAGGCAAAATTTCTACTTTGGCGTGTTTATCGTGGCGAATAGGTTTGGCGTTGATGAGAGGCACAAAGCAAGGGATGTTAAAAAGGCAATTTGTTCGGAGATAGCCATGATTTAGCCTTTGTTCTCGCTGGTGCATGTGGTAGGACTTGAGTGGGCGCCTGTACAAGCCTTGTCAGACAGCAGTTTGATAACGAATTCAACATGTACCTCATTAATGCTGAGCTGAAGCAAGACGGGTCCTTGTAGGTTCTTGCAGCTTACTGTGAAGCCGCCACAAATCTGAGAATAACAAAATCTTTGTAAGGACACATCCTTAGATCTGGTAACGATCGCGAGGAGTGAATCGGTGGGCGGATGTATAATTTCCATTGTCTGAACACGTCGTCAAATTTGATGACTCTGATGGCACTTAGAGACCAATATCCAGTGCTCACCTTCCTTTCCTTTTTTTCCTCCGGAAAAGGCCAGGAGTATAAAACGTTTTCGAGAAGGCCTCCCAAATCTTCACTCTGTGAACACTTCCACTGTCTCGCCCGTAGCAGACTCGAAAGTTATTTTGACTTGAATAAAAAATAAAATGAGGTGAGTGTCGCCTCCTTTCCCGTGCAATCTTCATCAAATGGTCTTTCAAGGCGTTCCGTTTGGGGACGCAACTTCTGGGCGCAAGAGCAGAGATCCTCTACAAACCGGACGAGTTTAGCAAGGCGCACCCTTGATTCCCTTCAGCACCGAAAACTAGTGTTTCACCTTGCCATTTCCGTCGCCATCACCATTACCGAAAGATATGTCTCCACAGACCGAGATGCAGTTTGCCAAGGGACTCTAGAATTTAGAAATGATTTTTCACGAAAATTTCCTTCCTACGACGCAACGTTGAAATGGTCCGACGCCCAACGCCGACGGCAAAGCAAGGACAGCTACAAACGTTTGCCAGAATCGCGCAGCACGGCAGGGGCCTTTGACCCAACCGTCGTCGGATAGTGGCTCGGAGTTCCTCAGCAAGGGAAATACAAGGCTCTATCATTATGTTCTGTGCGATCACCAGCAGTAAAAGCGTGAGGCTTCGGTGTCTCGTTCACGACCACACTCGCGAAAATGCCTGGCAAAGCAGAATCCTGATAACGTCCCCCGATCGCATGCCTCCGCCTATATTTGGCCACTTCTATCCGAATTGTCTGTATCCACCACTATCCACCAACATTGTTGCTCAGGAGACTAGTTCCTCACGCAGCGGAATTACTCCTAATGAATCAACGCCTACCTCGATCCATTTACAACCAATGTCGGTTCCTGGTGGCGGCCCAATAGCAGCACGACGATTCGCCATCTACTGTCGTAAGGTTCCATGCAGCAGGCAAGAAAAAATATCCGCTCAAAGTTGCACAAGTCGACCACTTCTTCAACCTCTAGACACAGCAGGACACCCAATAGCGGCGGAGATGTTCGCGCTCCTGAGCATTCCAAAGGTCTATCACATAGAAATGGTGATCTACATGCGCCTGTGTCCGGTCCCCGAAAACGTTCCGTCCCCTGGTCAATATAGGTCAATATCCAGACGGGATGATAGCTATAAGCAGCTGTTGTCCCTCAGACATCGGATAAAACAGGAAACCCAGCATTCCACAGAGGGAACGATGCGTCGGAGACGTTCGTCAATATACCCCCTCCCCAAAAGAAGAATAGCAGAACGAAAATTGATTAGGAGTGTCCGTTGTCATTGCCACTTCAACATTTTGGACAGAAAATCTGTAATTTCGTTGACGATTACCTTAAGAGCATCGTGCGATGTCCGGGAGGTCAAGATAGCTGCCTCGAAGCGTCTGCTTCATCCAGTGGACTTACTCGAGGTCGAAGTTCAGTCGATGTATCGAAGGTCGCTCAAGGTTGTACGCCAGCGAGGAATTTTGAACGAGAAGCAAAACTACGTCGGAGCAGAAACGACAACCAACATCTGTGGAAATCTAGAACGATGCGGTTAAGTTCCAAGATCACTTGGATTCGCAGGCCATGAATCTACTCTTACAGTTGTTGTGGTGTGCTTGCCTGGAGGTCGGGAAGCTTGTCACAGGATATAGCTGTTTCGCAACGGTCTAAGGATGTCCCGAGGGTCTAGTCCTAGAGCTGTCATTGAGATAAGCTCACTCTTGAACTGGACAGAAAGGACATAGTCCCAGAGTTTGCGCATGTCTTCGAAAAGTAGGGACGCTCTTGTCGCTTCCAGTGAGTTCAGGGCATTGCGAAGTATACATCGAAAATTTAACGAATCCGATGTATCCGAAAGACTTTCGACTGCGTTCGCTGCGTCGAAACTGGTTTCCTGGAGCATTTCGAAGGCCGGAGAATCTGCAGCGTCTGGACTTGAAGTGGGGAGGGGGGCTTTTTTTTCCTCTCTCCGCACCTTTTGCTAGGCTTGCGGTCCCAACGGTCGAGCAAATGCCATACTCTCCCAGAGCCAAGGTCCTGGCCTGTTGTCATGATCGAGTCCAGGGGATAAGACACCATGGGATTCTCCGCATGAATGGATAGAACTCACCGGCCCACAACCCATCTCTTTGAATCTTTGATACGCTTCAGCATTCTTCTCCTGAGAAATCCCTCCCGTTGCAATCCAGGAGCAAGCAATGGCACAAGTAAATGGTTGAGCAGACGCAAAGCAGTTTAATTTGGAGTTACATGGATTAACTAAAATTCTATTTAGCCCAAAGTCATTCGGAATATAGTCCTTTTGTAGTTGCCACTTGAATAATGGCTACCTGGCGCAATGGTAGCGCGTTTGGCTTCGATTGCTGGACCTACCAAAAGGTTGCAGGTTCGAGTCCTGCGGTGGTCAATTTTTTTTGCTCTTTTTTGCTCTCTTTTGCTTCGGTCATTTGTTTTCATGGTCAACCTGACGCGAAAGACTGGGAGTGTTGAACTTACCAGATTATTCTATCATGTGAAAAATGCAATCACGCTAGCTGTCCCTCGTTCTGGATTTGGTGTAGGATTTTTCACATTAACCTAATTTATCAAGAGCAATATAGATGGATAGATGAAGCCTCTATATGTCAATTGAGCGAAACCCAGCTGTTGCCGTTGCTCAAATGCAAATGGTCTCAATCCGCAAGGATATTCAGAAGGTAACCGAAATACTACACCGAGGAGGAAGCCTATACTGAGTTTACAACTGGTTTTTTATAGTTTGATACTATCCTCAAATTAAACCACCTCAATTTCCATCCTCAGTTCAAGTGATAAATTCGGTCGTCTTCTGAGGCCATCAGCCAGTTCCTGTGTACGAAAGAAAAGACTTCCACGAGAAAACCACAAATGTGCCCTTCGACGCAGATCGCAGTTGAATGTAAAGGCCTATATCATGCAGAGATACGTATGATACCTGCAGCTATCATGTCAATGAGATCGTTTCGCGAGATGATATCGAGAAGGATTCAGAAGGATTACAAGAAAGGCAAGTGCAGGGCGTCAAGTGCTTTCCATGGCGTCCGTTGTCGCCAAGGGGGCGGCATCCTCTTAATTCTCGACACTTGGGTGAGGTGGTGACAAAAAATGCAATCTTCATAATTTCTGAGCTACCCGGGTACTACTTTGACGATTTTATCGAAGGGTTAGCAGACTGCTGTTGTTGAGGAATATCAGCTTGGTTACAGTAAGGTTCAAATATTAATTTTTCTTCTTATAAAATTGTCTTAAAGGTTATTTCGCCTTTTCCTTGATTGACGATTGTATCAGAACCCCGCTTTAGAGGTCAATCTGGGGTTGATTATGATAACTGACTGATATCGTGATGAGATGGTATTGTAGAAACGTGTGGTTGGTTTGCTGATCGTGATTTTGGATTGATGAACAATGTGTCTGGTGCTCGAATGTCGAATACTTCAAAGTCCTCGCTTCCGACCATCATCTCCGTGGCCTACAAAAGCCCACAAATTGCTGTCTTCTTTCTTGACGGGACACCTCTCTGTCTGACAGTCTTTCAGTCTTTTATCGGCAGCGCAGCAGTCAGCAAGGGTCGACATTACTACCTTTTTCAGCGACCTTTCCTCTACACCTTGCTTTCATTTCCCTACAGAACCAACCAACTATGGCCTCTTTCGACAGTAGGAGAGGCCTTCATAGCAGTGTAAAGCTTTCAAAGCCCTATGACAATCAGTTCGAACCAAACCTGCCCTTTGAATCGGCATTGACCCCAGTCGACCTCGAATCGGCCCATACATCGCAAGAACAGCAGCTTGCAACGCAGACCCTTTACATGCCTATAGACTCACCACCAACTCCTGCGCCATCTCCTGGACCCAGTATGATGGCAATAGTCCATGGCGAGCGACCATCCAACCCGTTATCATCATCCGATCTGCCAGTGGGCACCCCAACATCACCAGTCTCGCCATTAGCCCTTCCACAGAATCCAGTCCTACGAAAACAATATCTGTCTGCTGTCATCTACGCCTGCACTCCCACAGAACTACTTTTCATCTCTGCGACAATCGCACCGCTCCTCAAGCGAGACTTTCTCCGTGATCTCCCGCCAGAACTCGCATTACACGTACTCGGATTCGTTGACGAACCACAGACTCTGGTGCGCGCTACCCAAGTCAGCCGGTGGTGGCGGAGACTTATAAGCGATGAGTCGCTCTGGAAACGCATGTGTGGGCAGTATGCGTTCGATGAGCCCCAGACCAACATTGGTAGTAGAAATCGTAGGAGAGGTAAAGGGAAGATGCCTTTGGCAACAGACGATGAACATATGGATGAGGAAATCAACCAACAGCCACTGACGTTGTTACGGAATCGGTCTACATCGCATCCCACACTCAGCTTTTCTCCTGGACTTTCATTTCGGGAATATTTTAAGTATTCCTATTCAATCAGTACGTTCTATTCTACATATACTCTCAACCATACTCATCTCAATTATGTCCCCGCAGTGCAGAATTGGCATAATGGTGGACATCTCCTTCGTGCTCACAAGATTCCCTCAAGCTCAAATAACCCAGAGAGCGGTGTCGTCACATCTCTAGCGCTAGATGAAGACTGGGTCGTCGTTGGCCTCGCAAATTGCCGAATACATGTGTTCAGCGCGCGCACCGGAGTGCTCGCTCGAACGCTTGTGGGACATGAACTGGGTGTGTGGGCAGTATGTTTGGTACATAAGGGTGGCTATATGGATGGACCTGGTCGCGTCAGCAAATTCCCAGACGGCGGTGGTGCAACGAAGAATGGGAAGAGACGAAAGAGGAGGGATGCTTTCCCTTCAGGGAAGGGAGAGGAGATAGAGGAAGACAATCTCTCTTCGACCCATCGCCGTCCTGAAGCCCGATCTCGACGCAGCGAAGGCGATATCGACATGATCCATTCCAATTTGCCTGACTGGACTATCGGCGGACCTACGACAAATCACCCCAATGCGAACGCCAACGCCGCAGGTGCGGATCCTCCACTCCATCAGTTTGTCCCGTCGTCATTGAGGATCGCGCTCGGTCTGAATCCTGATAACGACAGCAATGATGCGGATAACATCAAGTACGAAGAAGAAAAGGAGAGAGGAGACTGGGGCGATCAAGATTGGGAACAGCGTAGCGGTTGCGATGTGTTCGACGAAGATGCGGAAGTGGATGATCATAACATGGATATTGAAGGTGGCCCAGACGATAGCAGTAGGCAACGATCTCGATATCCAGGTAAACCCAGCGGAGTATCAGGATCGTCAGAAGGATGGGGTCAACCAGGCGCCTTGGTAGTAAGCGGTGGATGTGATAAATCTGTTCGTGTATGGGATATTCGATCTGGGTGCGTTCGCTACTTCCTTCGCTAGATTCTCGTTCCTCAATTATTATCATTGCAGGTATTGTATCTATGTTCTCCGTGGTCACACTTCCACCATCCGGTGCATCAAGGTCCTGCACAATCGACCCATAGCCGTGTCCGGGAGTAGGGATAATACACTCCGAGTCTGGGACGTCCAACGAGGTCGTCCGTTACGAATACTTGCTGGACATACGGCCAGCGTTAGATGCTTGGACGTTTGTGGTAATCGTGTCGTTAGCGGGAGCTATGACCATACGTGTCGAGTAAGTATATTCATTTTCAATTATTTCTTTTCCTAACAATTTTCGATTGTTGTCCCAATAGCTCTGGGATGTAGACACAGGCGAATGCATACATGTGCTTCGAGGACACTTGCATCAAATATACTCAGTCGCGTTCGATGGAGTTCGGATAGCTTCAGGAGGGTTGGACACCACTGTTCGAGTATGGGATGCTGAGACTGGGTAAGCGACTACGTACTATCGATAGGGCTTGATATCCTAATGCTCGACTTATCTTCCAGAGAATGTAAAGCCACTCTCCAAGGTCATACAGCCCTCGTGTGCCAGCTTCAACTCTCCCCCACAATGCTCGCCACAGGTGGATCTGACGGGCGCGTCATCATGTTCTCCTTACCGTCATCAAACTCGAGCCATCCCTGTTCTCAACAATATAAACCTCAACACCATCAGTACACCCAATTCCAAGTTCTCCACCGCATAGCCGCGCATGATTCTTCCGTGACTGCGCTCCAATTCGACCACCGGTTCCTCGTTACGGGTGGGAACGACGGTCGGGTAAGGCTGTTTGAGACGCAGACGGGAAATTATGTGAGGGATTTGAGTGAGCCGAGTGAGAGTGTGTGGAAGGTGGCGTATGGACCCGGGGCGGAGGTTTGTGTGATCATGTGTAAGAGGCAGGGGAGGACGATCATGGAGTTTTGGAGCTTGAAGCCGAGGGAGGAGTGGGAGGTGGAGAGGGACAGAGAGAGGGAGAAGGAAAAGGAGCGATTAAGGATGGAGGAAGACAGGAATATGGGACCTGTGCTCGACTGTTGAACGTACATATCTAAGTCTAATGTGCTCAAATTGCAATTTGTTTGTTATGATTTAGGCCTCCTGACTGAAATGAATCGCGTTGGAGATGTGCGTGTACTTGACTCTCGTATGTAGGTTACTTCGGCCCAAGTCGAAAATCCTTACAAAAAGCATCCTCATAAACAAACAAACAAAAAAGAACAACATTTGACCACCGCAGGACTCGAACCTGCAACCTTTTGGTACGTCCAGCAATCGAAGCCAAACGCGCTACCATTGCGCCAGGTAGCCTTACAATGGCAAGTGGTACTCCTGATGGTATCTCTAACATCAGCATGTACATGATCACTCCATCTTCATTGCTTTCTAAGTTCTTTATAGCTCTTCTTCCCTCAGCCAGGTTGCATAAGGAATGTTCAGATTCCGAACTTTCAAATAGCAACTTCGTTAATGCGTTTAATCGAGCAATATCAGAAGCTGCCCTCGTTTGGATGATTCGTTGCAAGATACCTCAACAATGGGTCTCTAGGAAGCCATCCGGAAGCCATGGCGCCATGCGCATCATTTCGTTCTGGTACAATCAGGATTCAGGAGACTCTGTGCCAATGTGCCCTGCCGAAATAGGCCAGTTGAGCGAAAATGTATGTAAGTATTGATGATGATCGTTGTCACCACTGGTTGTCGCTGCATCAATGAGACATATTGCAGCCTATTTCAGCCTATCTCGATTCTCAAGCTCATACAATCATGTCGCTTGGCCTTTGTCAGGACCTGAATAGCTTTGATTATGCTTCATACATATGTTGTATGTACATACACATCTCGTGGATAATGATCTTCATGGGCTCGGACAGCATATAAGGAACCTGGTAAACCTATGTCCTTCCCCTTCAAAACATTGTTCCTTCGCTTTCCTTTCCTGCTCGTTCCCTTCTTCTTCCGTTAGGCCGCGCCTTACCTTGTTTTTTTCTTCTTCTTTCGTGCCGCTTGAGTACAAGGACCATTAAACCAAAGCCATTTCGTATCATGCTCAGCCATAGATATTTCGTTTCTATATTCTTATCGACTGGCCTGCTTACCTCCAAGCTCTCTTTGGCTGCGCCCCTCTTTGGTTTTGGCTCAAGCGACAATTCTGCTTCCACTACTGCCGTATCCAACGACACTGTTACTTCCGACTTCTTACGACCTGCTCTTTTTTCGCGTGTAGCTTACTGCTCTAGTGATGCAGTCCAAAGCTTCCAGTGCGGTTCCCCTTGTGATGCTCTCGGATCAGATATCGATGTATTCCAAGTCGGAGGAAGTATGTTGTTTTCCCTTTGAAGAGCTCTCATCAACTGACGAGGTCCCATTGTAGATGATGGGACTATCCCGATGTGTGAGTTTTACCTCGGTTCGGACAAGTTGCAGGACTTGAACAAACCTTATATCCAGACTTCATCGCTCATGATCCGTCAACGAATACCATTGTCGTCGCGCACCAAGGGACGGATCCCAACAATCTGTTGTCCATCTTGAATGACGCGAAATTCGGGCTGGTTGATCTCAATACTACAAGATTTACTGCTGCGGATGGGAGTGAGTTCCTGTTACAGGTATTTGGGAATGATACTGATACTGATACTCTCTGCAGAAGGTATACAGGTACACGATGGTTTCCAGCAAACTTTTGAGCGTACTGCAGACGGCGTATTGGCAGGAGTCCAGAATGGTCTTTCCACAAAGAATGCGACTAATGTTCTAGTTACTGGGCATTCTCTGGGTACGCTGTGCGCGACGTTTCATTGGAATCAAAGCTTACTCAACTAGGTGCTGCTGTTGCGACTCTTGATGCAATGTTCCTTAAGGAAAACCTAGATCCATCTGTCCAACTGACAACATCGGTGTTCGGACTCCCTCGAGTCGGCGATCAAGCGTGGGCTGATTTCGTTGACTCTAGTGTATGTACTGTTCCATACTGTTCCTCCAATTTCCCGAAATCCATTCTCAATATTCACATACTTATACATAGCTCGGTAACACGCTTTCCCACATCACGAACCAGAACGATCCCGTCCCTACTGTTCCGCCTGAATTCCTTGGCTTTGTTCATCCTTCTAATGAATTCCATATCACCGGTGTTGATTCAAATGGCCAAGCGACCGGTATTATTGCGTGCCCAGGACAGGACAACGAGAACTGCTCTACGGGTAACGATATTCTAGACGCAAGTGTAGCGAACCACCTAGGTATGTGGTTCATCTCTGGTTTACCTAGTAGTAAACAAGACTTATTCTGAATTGATCTCTCCGATAGGTCCGTACTTTGACGATATCTCTTTCGGAGCATCTGCTTGCCCTGCATAACTGTTACTTGGACTCGGATGGTTGATATCTCTTGATAGTAGATAGCTATTCTATTTATATACATGCCACCTGGGTGCATACGACGTTCTTTACAAGTCACCAGAAGTAGAATAAATTCCGCTCGATAGAATAATCAGGAAATTTCACTCTGAACACTGAATGTTGACATTAATCATTACATTTCGGAGTAACCGAAATGTGCATAACATTCTCATTTGGTTCAACAGAACTTTGATTAATCGGTGGCGACGAACTATATGGAACATCTACGACTGGGTTTAGCACCTTATTGCAAGCAAATGCTGAGCGCGACAGAAGACGCCACACAACGCGTAACGCGATCGGAAAACGAACGCGTCCCGCCGACATATGCTCCGGCCGTAATACTAACAGAACTTTGAGAATTAGATTAGACATCCTCTCTCATTCTTACCACCATCATGAATGAGAGCCAAGGTAGGAAAGACCACACATAATGGGATATTCTGATCCATCATCTCTTACACGTAGAACCCAATCCAACAGTAGATTTCGTCGCTGGCACGATCGGAGTGAGTAATCTCGCGTTTCTACCACACCATTGCTAACATTTGCCTGTCCTAGGGAGCTGCTAGTCTCGTGGTTGGGTTTCCGTTCGACACAGGCGAGAAATAGTACAACTTACTTCTAAAGCACTCATTGAACTGGTGATTTGCAGTGAAAGTCCGCTTCCAGAACCCGGAATTCGCGCAGAGATACTCGTCAACTATGAATGCGTTTACAACAATTGTTCGGGAAGAGAGATTTGTAGGTCTGTTCAAAGGGATTACATCTCCGCTCGTAAGTCTCCATGCGTACATTGTTTGCCTTTTGATATTATTGATAAAGTGATATTCGAAATTTAGGCTGCAGTTGCCCTTATGAATGGCCTTGTTTTCGCTTCCTATCGTTTTCTTCTGAGTATCCAGCTCAATAATGGCGGTTCCATGCCTACAATGTCGCAAATTGCCTTAGCAGGTGCAGGATGCGGTGTCATATCTTCGTGAGGTTATGCTTTCTCTCATGTTTGATCAGTTTATTGACCTTCATAAGAATCTAGTATCATCACTACCCCAACAGAACTCATCAAGATCCGACAACAGTCGCTGGTTACTCCAACAAGTGCTAAACAGGTGGCCTGGGATATCTTTAAACGTTCCGGTGTTCGCGGTCTGTACCGAGGCGGAACGTCAACAATCCTTAGAGATTCCGGATATGGTGCTTATTTCTGGGCTGTACGCATTTCACGCCAACGTGCAATGAAATACAAGCTAAATTATCTCCTCAGTACGAAGCAACTTGCAGGTACTTGAATTCACGTGCATCATCTACGGCTCGTTCGTCTGAGACGTCGCTCGTTGTGCATGAATTTGATCATCAGCCAAATGTATCTTCGTGGACGACATTGCTGACCGCGGGAGCGGTAGCTGGGGTCGGTGAGCTAACCTGACCTCCCTTTAGGTTTTGAAATCGGTCTCTATCCACTGATTATGCTCTAGCTGGTTGGATGTTCACCTTCCCATTCGATGTGGTGAAGACGCGGATACAAGGGACCGAGAGCCCTCACTTAACGCAATCAGCTTCAATCCGACCTCTCTTGACATCGTCGCCTGCATCTCACCTGGGTTTGTCTCAAATGTATTCAACGAAAGCTACGCCGAGTTCACATCACCCATACCGCACGACTTGGTCTACAATTGTGAACTCCTACCGCAGCGAAGGAATGCCGGTGTTCTTTCGAGGGCTTTCACCCACTCTAATCCGGTAAGTAAATATTCATCGAGATGAAAAGTAAGACTTGACTAGTAGTTCGGAGTTAGTGCGATCCCTGTTAATATGGCTACATTTGCAACATTCGAGGCTGTTGCTCATGCATTGTCTTAAAGGAAATAGGCATAGAGCACAGTGTTATAGATGATATCATCATGTACAATCACATACCAGTACCGTATTTTCATAATTTATCATAGTAATAACAACTGATAAAAATGTAGCATCGGGAAAGATTGAAAATGCGGTATCATTGTGGTAGAGTGTGGGTAAATTCAATGCCGAGCTCGTCATCTATTTGCCGAAGCTCGCGTTGCTTCGGCATGTCAGTTAGCGCCTAGATTACCTAAGCACATTTCCTGACAACCGGTACGCGATTTGAACGTTTACGCGCTCTCCTTTCGACAGTAATCTTTCTTTGCAGCAAGGGTATTGGGGATCATTTTGAAAATGGACTCAGACCTTATCAATGTAGTCAATAAGCTACAGGACACCTTCCACAATCTTGGTTAGCCCCTCGTAATTGCAGAAATCTCTGAAAGCTTATATATGACAATGACGCAGGAGGGGAACTCGACATGCCCCAACTCGTGGTGGTACGTGTTTCGATTGTTATGTGCTTGTATACATTCTATACACTCTATATCTCGCCCATCTTGATTATAGGTTGGTAGCCAGTCAGCCGGAAAGTCCAGTGTACTCGAGACGTGCGTCCATAACATAACTGTAGTTATGTTTCATTCATTTTTCATTATCTAGTATTGTCGGGCGAGATTTTCTTCCTCGTGGATCCGGAATCGTGACACGTAGACCGCTGGTTCTTCAACTCATTCACTCGTCTGTCCCGGAGGACAATCCACCACCGTATACTGAATGGGGTCAATTTCTTCATCTCGACAAGAAATTTACCGACTTTGAAGAAATTCGGAAAGAAATTGAACAGGAGACATTCAGAGTGGCAGGGCAGAACAAAGGAATTAGCAAGCTCCCAATATCCTTGAGGATATACAGCCCAAACGTGTTGGATTTGACGTTGGTAGATCTCCCTGGGCTAACAAAGGTACGTTTCGAATTGATTGCGCCTTAATCAATGATCTACACACCCGCAGATTCCGGTTGGAGATCAGCCTAGCGACATCGAACGCCAAATCCGAAATTTAGTTTCAGAATACATCTCGAAGGCCAATAGGTGCGGGTGGACTAGCTTTTACCCTATCATTCCGTTATTGACCTTCGACATCACCCAGTGTGATACTTGCTGTATCCCCAGCTAATGTGGATCTCGCCAATTCGGAATCGTTGAAATTAGCTCGTAGCGTTGATCCTCAGGGACGGCGTACGATTGGTGTCTTGACAAAGCTTGATTTAATGGATGCTGGCACAAACGCGCTCGATATCTTGACCGGGCGTGTCTATCCTTTGAAACTCGGCTTTATTGGCGTGGTCAACCGTAGCCAGCAGGATATCAACTCAGCAAAGAGTATGTCAGACGCGTTAGAGTCCGAAACTGAGTTCTTCAAAAACCATCCGGCTTATCGAAATATTGCTCACAAGAATGGCACGAAGTATTTGGCGCAGACGTTGAACAAGGTTCGGCAGATCTCTTCTGTGCGCGTCAATGCCCATTCCATTGCGTTTTCCTGCAGGTCCTGATGAATCATATCCGAGACAAATTACCCGACATGAAAGCTCGGCTTAACACCCTGATGGGTCAAGCGCAGCAAGAGCTCAACTCCTTTGGAGATGCAGCTGTCTATGGAGACAAGAATCAGGTTCATAATCGTGAATCATTTACTTATGACGGAGGAGCTGACACTCTTCTAGCAAGGAGGGTTAATACTTCGGTTAATGACCCAGTTTGCGCGAGACTTCATATCGTCCATTGAGGGAACGAACGTCGACATCTCGACAAAAGAATTATCAGGGGGCGCGAGAATATACTACATATTCAATGACGTTTTCGGAAATGCGCTGCTGAGCCTCCACGCGACCCAAAACCTTGATAACCAGGATATACGAACTGCGATACGAAATTCCACAGGTCCTCGTCCAAGTTTATTCGTTCCAGAAGTTGCCTTTGACCTGCTGGTCAAACCGCAAATCAAGCTCCTCGAGGCACCGAGCCTACGATGTGTAGAGCTAGTATACGAAGAGCTGGTCAAGATTTGCCACAACTGTTCAAGCGTTGTGAGTTTGATTGATCAAGTAACCCTTTCGTAAGACTGACCTTAGTTTCTTCAGGAACTGCAAAGATTCCCTCGATTACATGCTCAAATCATCGATGTGGTCTCTGACCTTCTGCGAGAACGCCTGGGTCCGACATCAGATTACACTCATAGCCTAATCGATATTCAGGCGGCTTACATTAACACTAACCATCCTGCGTTCATCTCTGGATCTGCAATAGCTGCCGCACAAGCCCAGTCACCGCCCAAAATCCAACCTCCACCCCGCGTGAGACTTTTGTACGACTTTTGACTTGAAAATTCACACTCACGACCATTTTAGCCTGCTTCCGCAGAGCCTTTGAATGGTCACGCTCATATTGACGACGAGGAAGACGATTTATCTGACGATAACACTAGTTCTACCAGTGCGATTCCTCCTCGAAGTGACAGTCGCTCAGTGTCATCAACCGTTCATGACCGTTCACGAACATCAGCATCAAAAGTTATAAAGCACTCCAAACATATATCTTCTCACCATCCGTCCCAACCACCTCGACCTCATTCCTCTGCAGGATCTTCCCCACCTTCAGCTCGCGAAACTTTCCTCAATCTTTTCTTTGGGCAGAATGGCACTGCACCTGTTCCGAGCTCCGTTGCTGCGGATCGGTCGCAGTCTTCTGTCTCGCAAACCGGAATTATCCCAATTGGAAAGGACGTATCAGGCGAGGATCCTTCCCTTACTGCTGGAATAATGTCCGGTGCTCGAGGACTCGATGGCAATAACACGGCGTATGATATGAAGAGTCTTGGGAGACATATAGAAGCTGTGAGTTCCATCCGCTTACTTCATACTTGAACTTAGTCTTTCAAAAATAGATACCCAGCGACGGATCTCGGCTTACGATGCGCGAAGAGATGGAAGTGAATCTCATTCGTTCTCTGATCACATCTTACTTCGCCATTGTCCGACAAACAATCTTGGATCTGGTACCCAAAGCCATAATGCACTTCCTCGTGAACCACACCTCGCAACAAGTGCAGAACCGATTGGTAGCATCGCTTTATAAACCTGAGCTTTTTGCGGAGATGCTCAACGAGGACGAGACATTGGTGGCGGAACGTACGAGAGTAAAAGCACTATTAGACGCTTACAAAGAGGCTTTCAAGACGTTGTCGGATGTCAATGTGAAGGGAAGCTGACGATAATTTTATGTCTATCCACTACATAACAAAATACACCATTCACCTTTTTGGTCTGACGATGTTGACGATATGTACAACCGCGAACTCGATTCTGGTGCTTTGCGTAAGTGTTTGGATTTACCTCATGTGTATTTTTAGGGCCCAGGCTCTCTCATCGGGGACTGGGAACAGTGTGGACTGATGAGCAATAATGGTATTCTTCCCAGTACCTCATATTCAATCCAATTTTTTTCTATTCAGCCTTCTAATTACTCACACGAAACAATATATGTACACACAGCACAACCAGTATCCAAAAGGTGAGGTACATAGATAGCAAATATTAGACAAGTAGCACGGCAACAAAGAGTCAAACGCACAAACAATCGACCAGGAGGGGAAGTTACAGAGGCAGCACTCAAGGAAATGCAGCAGATCATCGCCTCTTCTCCAGTCCGAAAGGGCTGTAACGAGAATGAGCACAAGGCAAACTGGATGGCAGAAAGAAACAAGATCGAATCCGGGTCGAATGGCCCTCACGCGAGGCTCATTTTGGAGTTCGTTCGGTCGTCGTTAATCCTGATCAAATCCTCAGGAGGAGATGACCTCTGTGTCGGAAGTTGTAGGAGATGCAGTAGATGGAGGAGGGGAGACAGTAACCCATTTCTCCTTCTGAGTCTCATCCTTGACTGCAACTGATCCATCCTTATCTGACTCTTCTTCAGACGTCACGCTTTCTTCAGTGTCTGCATCGATGCCTGTGCTGTTCTCTGACTCTGAGCTTGAAGATTCATTTGCAGAGAGTTCTGAAGCCCCAGAAGCGGATGTTGAATTGTTTGATGAGGACTCAAGGGGTATTGAAGAATCACCCTGTGCTGCAGCGACGTCGGAACGCGCCTTCTTCATCTTAGAACGTGATTCTTTACGCTCAAGTTTCTGTCAGAATAGGTGTTAAAGTAAATGTACTCTTTGATCGTACATGCGCTTACCTCTTTGGCTTCCTTCTCTTTCTCCTCTTTCTGTAACATGGTTAGGGTCCAGCATTTAGTCCGAAGTTCATCAGTATGTTATAACATGAGCTTTCACCTCTTTAGCTTCCTTTTCCTCTTTCTGTGAGATCATGTGAGTGCAGCATTTAATACGAAGTTCGGGGTATCATAATATGGAATCTCACCTCTTTGGCTTCCTTTTCCTCTTTCTGCAAGACTAATTGAGTACATGATTTAGTACGATAGGTCCAGTGTGAAATTTCACCTCTTTGGCTTCCTTCTCCTCCTTCTATAAGTAAGTCAGCGTCTGTGCTAAAGGATACTCTGAATGAAGCATACCTCTTTCTTTTCCTTCTCTTCAGCCTCTTTCTTCTCCTTGGCCTCCTTCTATATATGAAAGTCAGGGGGTGTTGAACAAAAGCACTTCGCTGGACACACCTCGGCCTTCTCCTTCTTGAGCTTCTCTCTGGTCAAACGCTCTTGAATGACCCACTCTGCTACCTCTTCGACACATTCTCGTGGTCTGGTCTTGTTTTTAAGGAGATAGCCTTGCAGAGCAGCAACACTCAACTCATCCTCAGGAATGGCATCTGCGAACGCCTTAGCAAGGGTGCATATCTCCTCCTCAGTCAGCAGAGGAATTGAATGTGCGGATTTACGCCTTGTTATAGGGAGGTTCGTTTGTGAAGCATCCGTGACAGTTGCAACGGAGCTAGAAGATGAAGAGGCGGAAGAATTTGAAGCTACGGGATTCGCAGGCTGTGAGGGGAAGAAGCACTTGAAGATTCCCTCTGCTTGCCATTTGGTGGCATGAGTAAAATTAACCCACACATCCATACGGCCCGGTCGACTCAAAGCCGGATCCAAACGCTCAATGTGGTTTGTAGTTGCAAACAAAAGTCTGTGAAGGGATGCAGAAATAAGTCACAGAAGACGGCGGATGAATAGATGTAATTCAAGGAGATAAAGTTGACACCCATATGAACACCATGGAACGTAAGATGAAAGGTCAGCAGCGGAAACTCACCGTCCTTCTGCAGCCGCAACTCCATCCAAACTGTTCAAAAGCCCCGACAAAGATAATGTTGATCCGTCAGTGGTTTCAGTGGCGCCGGTGGATGCTGTGGCCTCTTTCGGTGTCCCTGTAGACGTTGAATCACGACTGACTGAACGTGTGAAAGCAGCATCGAGATCCTCCAAAAGCAATATACACCTGCAGCGGTAAGAGCGGGGAGGGACAGATGAACGTGTGAATACAGAGTACAGGAGCGCTGGAACAGCGGGAGAACTCAAGGGAAACAATCACACTCACCTCGAAGGCACATTCCCCATCAAGGTTGTCAAAGTATTGTCGCTCATTCTAACCACGTCAATCATTAGCCGCGGAGCGCGATTAGAGGAGGCGGAGATAAGACTGACCCTTTGGAAGACAATGACACAACATAAATGTCAAGCCCAAGTTCACCGGCGAGTGAATGGATGAGAGAAGTTTTGCCACTACGGATTCGGAGGTCAGAACGCGTATAATTGAATTTTTTAAGTCGTATTACCTTCCAGGAACTCCGTGAAGAAGATAACCTCTTCGGAATGGGATGCCTGGTACACTCATCAGTCACCCAAGCCCATATTCAACATAAGATTTACACGAACCTCGTTCCGCATACCTAAACGGAGAAGGATAATAGGCGCGTAAGTCGCATTTCACAAATATTGGAAGACTACTCACCACTCCTCTGAACACAGAAAATCTTTACAGTCGGCTAAAAGCATGTCCTTCACACCCGGTTGCAGGACAATCGAACTCATTGGCCGCTTTTGGCGGGCGCCGTTCCATCTCCAACAGCCGTAGGTTCTGAAGGGGATATCGGATTCAATAAACTGGGATGTATACACGTAAGATGTGGACCCACGTATCGGCCATGAATATATGAACGCGGTGCTCAGCATCCTTTTCGTAATCACGCTTGGCTTCAAGGACGAGTTTCTTGAGAATGTCATTGTTACGCGCCACGACACTGCCGAGAATCGTGAGTATCGTTGGAAGGTTTTTTTTGGAAAGCGAGGGACACGGAATACGGACCTGATCTTTAATGAACCACTGTGGCCATAATCAGGATACCTTTTAGACCTAGTTATCTGCGAGCAGGCCGATGAGATACGAGCACATGTCATTTCCTTTGGAACGTACTCTTAGCCAATGACCCCGATAATAAATGGTGTGTGTGGTATCTGGAGTTCATATGGTGAGCGCAGACGTGGAGGCAGTGCGAAATCTACTTACCGACGCTAGGCATGAACGCCACTTTACGTTTTTTCCTTCCATGAATCAACGCATCGTCGTCGTCATCCTCCTCCTCTTCCTCTAAGTCCCCGGTAGTGGTTTGGGTAAGACCGTGTCTACCTACAGAACGAGTGGTAATCTCAAACTCCCTGCTGCGGCCCCAGGCAGGTTGCTGTGCAGCGGGCGCCAATTAGCTAAAAACGTCATTCACTTGCTCCATAAAGAGTGGCGTACTTTAGAAAGCCAGTGCATCAACCTAAGAACAAGATACGTTAGTCTTGCGTCAGGACTTGAAAAATATTAAGTACCAGTCGTAAGGATAATCTTCTTGACTGAAGTGAGCAGTGAGGAAAAAGGCTGAGAGGCAATTTTAAGCCGCGTCTATTATACATATAATGGCAGGGACCTACAGTCAACGAAACCGTTCCACGCAGACATACTAGCTCGCCTCGCCGTCTCGACTGTACCCCCAATTACAACGAGTTTCTGTAGGCCCGACACGATTGATAGAAGTCCGAATATGAAAATAAGCCACATACAAGTGTATCTTGGATAGCGCCAGCATTCATGGACAGCGGCGACAATACATTTTTGAGACTATTCATGGTGGAGGAGTATAACGAAAGGAGGGAACGTCAATACAAGAGTGTACATCCGCCTTATATGGGGTGGACGCATCAATTGCCTCGTGTCAGTTCTTCAGGGTAGTAGCGCTCAAGCACCCGCGGCAATTACAGATTACAGTTGTCCCTTTAATTCAGTATTCACTCCGATGTCAGCCCGGTGCGTCTATTGAAATGCACTTTTCCCTTCTCCGTCAACAGTTCGTCAGTATGAGTTGGATTCCGAGCAGCTAATTTAGTAATTCTTACGCGATTCTGAAAGCAGGACGCCCAGATCGCAAGACTGATCGCGTACCGCTTGTACCAAACAAATCCTACTGAGAGTCAGTCTCGCAGTGATGTTACGATTGGCCGAGTCAGGAAGAGTCATCAAGTCAATGATACCAATCTTTACAATCCGGACAATCCGGGATACATGCTGATACATGTTCTTTGAGGACTAATTTCGTTAGCTACTCCTACTCACCATCGTTTGGGTTATCCTCAAGCTATAACCTAAGCTTAACGCGAATACGCGAAGTAGAACGGACACGTGAGGGGTAGATTGATCGGTTGAATTAACAGCTTTTCTAATTATGAGTCAAAATGCCCTCGACACACCTTTCTGGCTCATTCTGGTCTGGTATACATAGGCTGGCATGCACTTCGAAAGATCATCAACCCAGATGCCCGGTTCAAGACTCCCCAACAACAATCATTGATTTCCAGATCCGTATCTGCAAATTTGTAAACGGTAAGAATGGTTCACTGAACATCAATTAGTAGAAGATCTCCGGTTCTCCTTACCCAAATGAAGACAGATAGATAGAGGCGCAGCAAACCGTGCCTAAGCGAAAAACAGGCGCCAAGAGCATGTGTGAAGAGGTGTTCAGAGAAGGCAGAGGATGACTGACGATGACTATCTCTCAACACGATGCTGAGCCTGCACAAACTTACTTGCCTCCTTGTATGTACTACAAACGAAACGCAAGACACTCGGCCCGCAGACCGAAACGTAGGCTTCCGCATAAAACGGACATCTTCCCAAAACATAGCGACGTTCCGTCGCGGTGCTTTTACGAATTTCACCAAGGACAAAAAATCTGTAAGCACCAGGTAAGCACTGTCCTTGTAAGTAATGAAAGCGTCTGATGTGAACAAGTGCGTGGAAATATTCACACAACTACTTACTGAGAGCTGAGAGACTACTTAACCGTGCAGACTTGTTGATATTCTTGCTTGTTGATGTGCTGGCAGTTGTACAGTGCTAGTTCTTTCCGCAACACAGTAGGTCTGAGATTGAAAATATTGAAATACTTAGAGGAGAACGCTGAAATCCTCTCCCACAAGCACATGCGCTATAATTCTTCCTTTCCACAGCCTCCCTTCCACAGCTTCCACTTCATATTGTACTCGCGATGATCAACCCGCGCTTGAGGAAAATGGAAGGCCGTAGTAGTATTATTATGTCCATTGTGTACTGCTTATGTAAATGAGATTTTAATGGACAACGACGAATGAACTATGTATAGGAGAGTATGAGGTACTGATATGAATTGATCTTCCGAAGCAAAAGGCATTAGAGTGGAATAAAAACTCGTCCTTGGACCTCGCGAGTCGCAACTGTTTGCAAGAAGGATCTTCTGCGCATCAACCGGGACCGAAAACAAAACACTATTTACTATGACCATATAGAGTCATTTGGTGATAGCTCATGAAGGGTAGGATGGGTGTAGATAGTCGCTCGTCGTCATAGACGCCAACTCACCTTTGTGACGCTGGTTGTCATATCCGCCACCAGAACGAAGAATGACTGAACCTTGCCCCATATCGTGAATTAGCTCGATAAAAGGTCCGAGATGACCTCTTGATCAACAATTTCAGTTACCAAGTTATGACTGTAAAATGAAAATCCATTCAAACCATGAACGCTCAGCGTAGATTGGGGGATAACAAAGGAACAAAAAGAAACTTACTTACCATCTTCCCTTGCATGAGAGCCAAAACCCGCGAGGTTAAATCCCGAATCCTGTATTTACAGTAACATGTAAGCAAGCAGGTGATGTGAGCGAGAAAGCCCTTGCACAACATTGATATGAAATATCAGAAGTTGCCAACAAGATCCCGAAAACATTGCTGCGAATCCTGCAGATAAATCTAGAGACACAGAAAACAAGGATTGAGGACATCAGACGAAAACTTGTGAGTAGGGACTAAACGGATAAGGCGTACAAGTTGCGTACATACTTTTGTGGCGTGGTTGTGTACGCCGGATGTTCCCCAATCTTCAACCCGACATAGAACTGGACCTAGTACCTGGTTTGAGATCCCGCCACTAGGATAGTTAACCGGTGGCTATCGGATGAGATGGCCCTGCAGCGGTTTAACAAAACTTTGCGTCCATTGACCACTCGACCAATCCATGGTAAGATTAGCGCAGGGTAAAACCTTCGTATAATAATATCCGTTGACCTGAAGGTTGTATCAAGTTGTATCACGAAGAAAGACTATCGACTTACGTTTGATAAGATAGAATAATACGACGAATTGCGTGGCATTTGGAAGAAAGATGGTCATTTAACCGATATTGTGCAGAAATTTGTCGATATTTGCAACTAGGACTGGCTAGTAGTAGCACTTCCCATGAGATGAAAGGGCCGCGGGGCACGTCTCTTCAAGATTGGATACTAAAGAAAATTTCAAATGCAGGGCCGAACTGACTCGAGGTAGTCTGCATCTGTCTGCATTTGGATGGGAACCATTCCCCCATATGGAGTAAGTCGAAGTAAGGCTTATTCTACAGACAAGTCGCTCACCAGTGACTTGAGAAATTTCCTAACCATGGCTAAACCCTGGAAACCACTTACACTTCTTGGAAGATTGAGAACACAAAGCATTGAAGTACACGCCGTCACAACAGGAGAAAAACAAGAACACGTCCCGTTACACCGAAAGGTAAACGATACCCAAGGTTACTGGATATGAACTTCATTTCAGTAAAAGCGAAATGAGTATGGCAATTGCGACTCGAATCAAAGAGGCATGAGGGGTGAACGTACAGTGTTGGAAGGTCAATACCTCTGTGGATCCGAACAGAAAGACTTCCCTTATTGCTCATGATGAGACACGACACATTCGAGACGACCTTCGAAGATGTAGATGTAGACAGATTTGATTGGAGGGTGGACTAGTCCGATGTATTCATATAAGCCGTAGATGTATTGCTCAAGCCTCGCATATGATACAATGAATAATTTGGATGGCCACTGATGATCCAAAGAAACACCATGGCGAATGAAGAACAACGCGTGCTTACGTGAATAATCTAATCTCTTCTCGGTAAGAGTTGCCCCAGTTCCATTTCATCCAAGTCTTCTTCTTGTGCGCGAGCAGGAGCAACATTCAAGCCCTCGTTCATCTCTCGCTTGACACATAACTGTTCGGCGATAACGATCGTCATAGCTGTCCCGGCAAGAACGACTGCCCAGAAGAATATTGACGTCGGGACGGATGATGAATAGTACGTTGTTAACACGAGGTGATTGAAGGCAAGAGTAATAGCGAAATCGAGGATAAGGCGCGGTCGGCGGACGAGGATGTAAAGGTAATAAATGCTTAAGGACAAAATAAGTACAAAAAACATTCATGAATGTCTTACAAGGTGACGTACTCTGCGGAACAGGCTAGCATCCAACAAAAGGCAATGATCCATCCACGGATGGGATCCATACCGCCTCTTAGCTGATCTTCTCTCCATGTAAAGCCTAATATTCTGCCTCCACTCCAAGCCCAGGAATACGAGCCCCACTTTTCACTGTCATATATACCCCGAACTGTGGGTCTTCCTGCCATTTCTCTCCAGTCCATAATCATTCCTAAATTCGGTTCTCGTAAACAAAGAATGCGACACAAAAGTCGAGTCGACGAACCAATGTTACTGGCACCTCCTTCATATGCAAGAGATGTCGGCTCAGCAAATACTGTAAGTAGTGGCGGAATGAAGATCGATAATGTTATATAATGAAGAGTTTGCATTGAAACAATCTGGCAACTGAGAATTCAGCTTCAGTTTGTGGATTGAGCGAAACGGGACTTGCCTGTGAGATGAGAAGGATAGGATCCCAGTTCGATATTTGAGAAGTCATATCGTATATGCCGGTTCAGTGATGGGTGGATACATAGAGTTAGCAGCGCTATTGCCTGTTGTATGTAATTGTCTGCAGGTCGTGGATTTTTCTTCGCATCTGGTTGGTTTTGTTACATAAACTCAAGGAAATTTCGGGCCAAGCCTCGCGCCGAGGCCGGAAAGCCCCGGTCCGGAGCGAACCCAGCATACCCAATGATTGCGGATCTACACACTACTGACGGACCAAGTTTTCCCGGCCGAAAAATATAAAGGGAAATTTTGGAAGCAAACTGCCGATTTCCCCTCAGTCATTAATTCTCATTTACGGGAAGGTATGGTTAGATTTGACGCTTGATTTTCCGTTTGTTTCCCATTTGATCAATATGCTATTTATCATAGAATAAAGATGACCTTTTGCTTTAGATAAAATATGACCTTTTGCTTTAGATAAAGCTAATCTTTTGCTCTAGATAAAGTTAATCTTTCCCATAAGATAAAAATTATCTTTTGCATCAGATAACTTTCACATTGCGCGCTTGTAAAATTTTGAATTTTACCTTCGCGAATCCAAATAAACCTAAGCACCTGTGGATGTGAGTGGCAACATCTCCCGCAATAGCCCATTTGGGCAAACAGTATCAATATATCGTGACATGAATCTCTATCAGAACAGGTATGAGAGCGCTATAGGCAGAATGATAGGGCGCACCAGTACAGACTAGTACTAGAATACTCACTTATTCAACTTCGTGCCACACATGCCACTAGGTGCTTAAAATTATTTGGATTTGCGAAGGTAAAATTCGAAATTTTACAAGCGCGCAATGTGAAAGTTATCTGACGCGAAAGATAATTTTTATCTTATGGGAAAGATTAACTTTATCTAGAGCAAAAGATTAGCTTTATCTAAAGCAAAAGGTCATATTTTATCTAAAGCAAAAGGTCATCTTTATTCTATGATAAATAGCATATTGATCAAATGGGAAACAAACAGAAAATCAAGCATCAAATTTAATTATACCTTCCCGTAAAAGAGAATTAATGACTGAGGGGAAATTGGCAGTTTGCTTCCAAAATTTCCCTTTATATTTTTCAGCCAGGAAAACTTGGTCCATTGGTAGTGACAGACTTCCACCCATTGTAGTATGTTGTATCTTCCATTTCAGGATCATCTGATACCTGTACAGGGAGATTGAGCTTGCTTTGTACAAAAGGCTTTCTGAATTACATGCATCTGCAAAACCTGCTTTTTTTGGCTGATTTTCTGAGAGCAGGTGAGAGCCCTTCCCAGCAGCCAAAGCACTCAGAGCAAGTTGAAAAATCTGCTCTCAGTGATTTGGACACTGGAGAGTGCTCTCCAGCCAGTACCCTTGTTTTGGCAAATATACAGGTTTTGCAGATGTGTTAAAATCATATATACCGGCAAGCCTGTGCCTTTAAAGATAAAGGGCTGGTCAATATCGAGTACAGAGGAGAGAGTAATGAGTAGCAGCCAAGCCAAAGAATGGCAGTAATGCCAATGATGAGGAGCAGACCAAAGGACTTATAAGTCTTAAGGTCAAGACAAAGAGAGTTTAAGGTGACAAGTCACTAAAGATACAAGGACTAGAGAGACAAATTAAGATCACCTTGCTTGCTAAGTCCTTTGCCACCCCGTCTTTGCCAAGCACCCATGCATTTTTTTCACACATTAAGCGCCTTTCTATTGTTTCTTTCCTGACGTGTCCCTCTGTACTCATCTTCATTATCCTTATTTTATGTCTATTCCTACATACTCGCTCCATAATCCCCGCTTTGACTGCCATTTCCTTTCTTCTATTCAGACTTCTTTTAACCCAATGCACAACTTTTTAAACATTCGGAAATATTCATTTGTCAAAGATGTTGTGGGGTGATTGTGTACTGGAATGCGTGAAATTGCCCAACGTGCATCAACTCATTATACACATACCCTTGAAAGACGAGGGGTTGAGCAGCAGGTCTTTCAAGATGCTTTACGGGATGTTATTCACTGTCTGAAAGCGACCAAGACTGTTTTTAACTTTGTGTTGGACATTTAGCTCAAAACAAATAATATGTAGTGCCATGTTTTGATTCATTTGCAGCTCTTACTTGTTACCCTATGAGTGAATAAAAATGGTTTGAAAGAAGAAAACATACATCAAGCAAGGTTCGTCGTGCCCTGCAGGGGTCCGCTAGTGGTCTAAGTCAATCTTATTGTGATCACTTTTTTTCATCTTTTTCCTTATTTTGTCTTATTTTTTTTATCTCCCTTATCTCATATCTCATCATATCTTGTCTTGTATTGTCACCTGATCTATTATTCATGATACAACATGCACTTTTCATTTACTTATATTAAACACAGCAATCTTACAACATATATACAGCATGGCAATCAAGCTTTTATCCTATATACTAAAAAGCAATGGGTTAGGCACTCAAGTAATTTACATAAGCAGCTCTAGGATCCAGCCACTACACTCAGCCTCACTGCATAAAATGGACTCAATGATAAACACCAACATTTATTATTACTAATAGTGTCATTATCCTCAAAGTCTGATAGTGTGGTGTGTTGTACATATATGAAATGACACAGTGTATATCCTGAACTTGAAATGCCTGGATTCAATGTCTGGAGAAAGTCATGCATATCACAACTCTGACAATGCTCATGTTTGCTCATGCCAGTGATTTTCAGTATCCTATTGAGTATTTCAACAGGATCAATAGCTCTGAGCTTCCTGTTTAAAATTGAAAATGATGCTCAGGAATCTGGATCCAACTGCCAGCTCTGCAATGACAGTTGGGCATTAATTCAAAGCAATAACTAATAATAAGTGCAGAGGAGCAAAGCAAGGACTAATGGGGCTTGGGGGGCTTGACCCCAACAAGCTGTAAACCCAGCTGTAGCTTGCAGTATGAGCAAAGCAAGCCATAGTGAAGGCACAAATGCTCTCCACCCAGCACCTGGCCAAGGGCTGAGAGCAGATCCCAGTACTGAAAGCACTAAGTGCTTTTGCTGCTGGGAAATGCTCTCAATTGCTTTCGGACCCTTAGCCGAAAATACAGGTTTTGCAGATGTGAGGACAGGAATGACCTAGTAGTAGCTCTAATTGCGAGATGTGACCCTTAAAGGGGTTCCTAGAAGGTCCAGGGAGGTCCCTAGGACAATAACAGGTGAAGATAGAGGTAACCGGTAACGAGCTTACCTCATTTTTGTGTGAAAGAGAAAGGAAGGAATTAAATGGGCACTCCAATCAACCAATCTAATACACAATATGTGAGCTTACTGCTATCAAATTTATTTAATAGCAAGGTGTAGCATTGTAAAAGGTTCCGCAAAGCTTTGAGAGCTAAGGAAAAGCTTCAATCAATCAATTTGAATCGTTTTAAGGATTCGGTATATTCCTTTGATCAAGGTAGATTCAGCACAATTTGTAATTTAGTTGCATTGATATGGGTACATCAAGAATTGGGGATTTGAATCAAAGTAAATTAAAACCAAAACACACCTATGGAGAGCTAGAACTATGTGCTGGCACAACCACACAGCGTGATTTGCCCTGAAGACCAATGACTGATCCTAAGTTTGAAGAATACCCAACAGTTGGATATAACTTCTCACAGTCACAAGGAGCAGAACACGATGTTCCTATACTTGCAAGTGCCGGGCTCAAATGGCTGCTAGCAAAGAGGTTTCAGTCTGGCAGGGGTGTGTCTTTCCTTTTTATGGATTAGCACTGCAACGTCATCCCAAAATCACTTGTATTCCAGATACATTGAATTGCTATTTATACATACAGGATGTAGAATTGCACAGTACAGTTAATTTAATAAAATAAACATTTGACCACAAGGAAACTTCTATAATAGGTCATACATCATTTAATTTGAGTCTATTCATTCTCATTTGGTCCATATTGGTTCCAAGATTCGAGCATACCTCCAAACATAGGCAGGTACTTCAGTATTCATTTAATTTAATTGCTTTGAAGAATGACTCGAATGGTGTCCAGCTGTCATTGATGCTCAACACATCTTTTGATTGTTTGTTATCTTGTCCGGAGGCAAATTAGCTCTCCTTGTTTCTAATCCTATCAATCTGATTCATCTGGATTAAACTAATTACTTCTCTCTTTCAATAGACACCCATTGTGCCTATACTCTATCAAGGGAGTTGTGCATAGTATTCATTTAATTGTATTCTTCAATATTTTCTATGTCAGGACTCTTTGACATTCATTTGATATGTCTTCGGAGCCTTGCAGTACTTTGATTATCTTTCTAGTTATTTTCCTCAACCATGCAACCTGATTGGTCTATTAGACTAAATCACAGTCTTTTAGTTTAATGCATGATCTTGTTCTAGAATGTATATTTAACAATTCCTGAGTTCTAGAAAGTCATTTTGAGTCAATCCTTGGCTCATGGTCACTTGAGTAAGTTTTTCCAAACTCCTGCCAGTGTAAGGTCCAATAAGAATACCCTTGGTATGTCACACGTGAATGGTCATCCTTCGGATGTAGTCCGAGTATGGTATAATCCTGCTTGACAAACAGGTAGACTTTTATCTGAAGGTAGTATCAGGGATGGGTAAACTAACCAACTTGTGGTAGTATGGGTATAGGGTCCCTTCAACTATTAGACTGATTCAGTATTGACTTTGACTGTCAATCTGGGTCTCAATTACAGTCCTCTTGATACAAATCTACGTGTGAAAGTGTCACAATTCACTGCATAGACATCTAGCCAAAGTTTAGGTGTGTCACCGGGAACTAGGAGACGTAGGAGTGTTGTGTAGTATGACTTGTAGTAGCTAGGAATGTCAATGTAGGATCATTATAGCTAGTAGATGATGGGAGGTTCAGATATGAGAGCTCCCAATAGAGTGTGAAACTGGGAAAGAGGTCCCGGGAGGTGGAGGTAATGGTTGATGTCCTCAAGCGGTGGAGGTGGTAATGGAGAAGTGACACATAGTTGAAGATGATGGGAAGCTTTGACATTACCTAGATCAAGGTCCCAGAGTGTTAAGATCATGTACACCGTGTAACCGTGCCAGGGCCACAAGGTGTCTAAGTGCGGGAGGTCGAGTGGGACAGTAGTGAAGCTATTAACAACACCGCCG